GAAAACACACAAGTGGGGGGTACCTCACACTGAAGACAGACCGATTTCAGACATAGGCCTCAAACTTGTTGTGTTCAAACACAAGTGGCAAATACCGAACCGTGCACAAAGATGCAGAACAATATGAGCGCATGCTTGCTGGTGCACGGGAAGATATTGAATGCCAGCTTGCGTCGGAAGTCCAAACGTGTTGAAAGTGCAAGCGCCAAGCTACACGTGACACATGGCTCAAATGGCCAATGCTCAGAAATAGGATAGCATTAAAGACCAGCACAATGCCACAAACATGCCGGCAGTTTTACTACTTAAGCTGTTGCCCCCCAACCAAATCCAAGATGTTGGAGTCTGGTTCAAAATTAACCTGGTCCCCTCCATGGCGGGAAAGGGAATCCACTGTGGTACAACAGAAAGGGCTTCGCAAAAACTAAGCTCCCATATGACAGGGGAAACTCCCGAAGGTATCACAGAAGTGGTTGGATAAACCCCTTGTGATCCCACATCCCCTCTATTCCCCTTGGCGGGGGGGGGGGGTCAAATGGATGTTGCCCACAACCCACAAAACCCCCTCCCAGCCTGGGCTGCTACTCGCCTGGCAAACAGACCTCTCGCTGAGCTCCCAACCATCAGCCGCTCTCCTTCGAAGACCTTCACCGTAGCGTACTCCTGGGGTTTGTGTTTCCCTCAAGAGGAGGTTCACTCCAAGGACAGTGCTATGCCCAAAGGAGCAGAAGAAACGGGGAAGGCTACCCTTGTCTCAAGTGGAAGTCAGAAAAATGCGGCGATTGTTGTGATTAGATAGTAGTATTTCCCCAAGCAGCTTGTGTGTCTTGATTTTTCTTGGCTTGCGATAAGATTCCCGGGTCACTGAGACTACTCGCCTTTTGATCGCCGGTATGTGTGGTGTTCTCGAAGATATGGAACACGTGTTGCTTGCATTGGGAACGCCCGGATATACTGTAAGACCACATTTTAGCCGTGCAGTAAAACTTGTTTGTGTTTGTGCAACTCGATCTCGGCACTCACATGCCTTCAGCCAGTGGTAGACTGGTAGACTACTTGCAAGATGTTGCTGGGCTATTTCGCCCTTCCTCAAGGGGGCCATCTCTATGAATACGTTGTCATTTGAGTCACAATCAAAACCCGGTATTAACATGATCTACTCAGAACCATGTAAAGAATTAAGAAGGCGGCCGCAACTATTTCTGGCTAGGACTGCCCCTTACTAACCTTCATCTACCCGGGTTTGATTGTGGCTCATTTGAACTAGGGGGGGGGCGGCCTTGGGGTCACCAAAAATGGTTCTCGGCTTTCCCGCAACCATGACTTGCAATTGGCACTATCTCCGACGCCCACAAGCGAATCCTGGTTGTCCTTGTGCGTGGAGAAGACCATCCTGCGAATCACAGACTGCAGAGCCTCCCACCCGAAAAGAACCTGCACCCCAAAAGGGGCTGCTGAACTTGATGTTTGCGCTTTGCAGAAGCGGTTGCATTTGTGTAGTGCGTTCGCCAAGAAAACATGCAGAAGATTGCACTGCTCCAGCTCACCTCCTGACCAGAAACGACGAGAGTGCCACTCCTTGGTAAGCCTTGCGCAAAAGGCAGGCTTAACCATCTGCCACATGTGGAACGCCAAACAGGGCTCCTTATACCTCCCCCTCAAACATCACAAGAGGAAACTCATCTCAGGAACATAAACCCCTGTCAAGGGTCCTCTAGAGGGTTTCGGCGCGGACGCCCTATCGAAAGGCCAACCAATATCTGGGGCGAAACACCAGAGCAAGGCCGGAGGACATTCACCCGAACTCAGTTGCACGGCAGATGGCTGGTCTCCTTTTCATTCCAGAAAAATGCCAAGGCAGCACAAACGACAAGCGCAGACAGTCACTCAGCCACTACAAGCACAAAGCCAAGCAAAGTACGCAATGACAAGATTTCACAGTCAAAAACACATTCTGGTAGGAAAATATTCTGTACTTGCCTCTCGCAAGCTCCTGCATTGCACAAAAACACAAACATAGAGCAAATCCATCTCAAAGGCCGTGTGAGCTGCGGTCAAAATCCCTTTGCCCTTGCGGAGAACGCGGGAACAGTAGCGAGCATGGTGTCCTTTCAGGGCAACTAGATCGCCCTGAGGTAGATGAAAAAACCACCAGGTAAACCAGGAATCGCCATCGATTTTTCCACCAAAACAACCAAAAAGGATGAGTCCCTGTTTGTGGGAACTTGACATAAGTTCCCCCAGGTCACCCTGCAGGCGGCCGAGGGGCGAGTTCTCGGCTGGCAGCGGGCTGTTCCGGGCCAGCACGGTGGTCATGAAGCCCCCGGCCTCAGCAAGTTTTTCTCTCTCTCAAAATCCTGCGGAAAATGCCACAGACATCCACAGAGAGGTGGGGACCGCCGGAAAGAGACTGGCAAAAAAGCAGCATGTTGGTTGCGGATTAGAATCAACCCCTGTTTTTCTTACTAGGGCGGTGGCTGCCTCCAAAAGTGATGATTCCCCACTAAACCCAGGGACACACCCTAGTTTAAAAAAAACTGGGGTTGATTAATCCGGGAATCCCCCATTCTATTCGCAATACTCAGACCTGTTCCGAATCTGGAGCGAGCCAAGGCAACCAGAGGGAGACATTGGGCCCTACCTTGCCGAAGTTTCGCGCCAATTCCTCTTCGGCGCTCTGTGCACCCAAAGAAACGCCATTTCATCCACCTCAAATTCAGGCATTGTCGGCAAACCTTTGTGTGTAGGTGTACCACCCATAAAGGGAGTCTTTATTTTTGGACTGACGTTACACGTCCGAGCTGGACCGCTTCGCGTGCGTGGGTTCCTCTTGGTTTGCGTTTCAAACTCGAAAAGTCCATACGCGCAGCCGATTCCTTACGGACGTTGACAGGTTACCCGTTCGGTAGCTCAGGCCCGTGATCGAAACAAGCTGCAACTTAGGTCCAAACACATCCCATCCAAACGGATCCCGGACTTAAAATCCATCGCAGTGCAAGGATCCGAACCCGAGCGCGGCTGCCGAGAGCTCTGCGATCGACGAAAGACGAAGATCCGCCATCGCAAGCTTTGACAACTCTGCGGCGCTCGTCCCTGTCACCATCATGTCGTTAGACTCGCCCGCCATAGCTAGCTTGTCTAGCTTTGGGAACCGAATTGAGCTCAAAATTCAGGCCATCAAATGCCATCCTCTCATACCAAGTACAGCAAAAACATCAAAAACATCAAAAACAATCCAGGTATGGTAGTCTCTAAATAGGAGACCAAAGGTCAAGCGCATTCCTCAAAATAAGATAAGGGCGCATCTAGGTGCTTCCCGGCTTGACAGTGCTTTGGAATCAATCAAGAACCTCCTCAGAAGTGGTTGGTGGTGGTGGACACAAATTGCCACCTGAACAATGTCAGACCCATCCGCCCGAGGCAGGCGCCGTCTGGATGCCCAGCGACAAAGGCGTGACGTCGATGAGGCGCAGCTCCTGATCGAGAGATTCCCAGCCAAAGGGAAACGATCTTGGCGATTGAGATTTGGGTGCGGCTCAAAAATTGAAAGAGCTAGGGAACCGGTTTGGTCTTCATTCTCATTTCCCAGGGCGCCATTTTGGGTACTTGCTCTTGACCTTTGGGCCAAATCTTGATCTTGAAAAAAAACAACCCGGCCAGACCTCTGTGTTCCAAACCTCCGGAGAAGCGCCCGTCCGGCGCCCGTTCGGGAAACTCGGTTGCGAAATCTGCGAAGCCCTGCGAAAAGTTTTCAACTTTTGGTGGTTTAGTGGAAAACCCACTAGTTGGATCAAAAAGCTAAAGTTGGCAAAATGCACCAAGGGAAAGAGGAAGTTACCTCCCACGTGCCCCACCACCCTCGAGGGACTTTTCCACCCTCGAGGCTTCGGCATCGATCGGCGATCCAGAGAGCCGGTCCGCAGCTCTGCCCGGAGCCTCGTTTCTCTTTCGTTTTGGTCTACCTCTTGCCACGAGGTTACTTGAAACCCCGAGTTTCGAAGCCCGTTCGAATCTCATTCTTGGGGTCCCTTCTGTTCAACTCCCCAAGAGTTTCTGTTCCAATCCCAAGCTTGGGGCCCCTTATGAGTTCAATTCCCGCTAGTTTCGGGCCATCGGAGCCTTGGGACGTGGCCTCCCCCCAAGCCCTGCCTCCTCCCCGCCATCAGAGCTCAGCGCCGCCGCCTGCAGAGCTGCCACCGATACCCGGTAACGTTCGGATCCTCCGCATTTGTCTCGGCTTCTTCTTGGAGGGTACCCTGAAAGGGGCGGTTTGTTTTGTTCCCCGATTTTGGTGGGGGGGTCCGACCCCCCTATTTTGAGACAAACATCAAAAAACAACAAAACAAAAAAAACGGTACGGCATATGGTGCTTTGTTCGTTTTTGCTGTTGGAGTTGGTGCGAACCCTTCTTGGCCTAAGGGAGATCTCAAAGGGAAGCCAGGCCCAATGTCGGAGGTGTTTGTTTCACGGCCTGCTTGCGAGGTCAATGGGCACAATTGGGTATGGAACGGGTATGGGTTCTCTCCCAATGACTGCCAGGGGTTCAAGGGGAAAAAGTCCGTTCAACTTCAGCTTTGGATGCACTCTTAAAAGTGACTGGGTACAAGAAATGGGTCCTATGCTGTGGCTTGTCACCTCGCTTCTCTTTAGGAAGGCTTAACGACCCCGCTGTGCGGCCTTCATGTCCAAATGTCGTCTCCGCCGTAGGATGTTCGAAAGTATGAACCTCCTGGATATGAGTTCCTCTTCGGAACCGTCTGAGCAGCAATTTCATGCCCACCAAACAGGTCCCAAAACGCATCGGCCCCTCTGTGTGACCAACTCCCAACCTCGAAGGGCAGGTTCACCAACATTTCGTCCAAAGAAGATCTTCCAGCTGGTCTTTTTTGGCAGGTTTCACCCACATTTCGTCAAAAGCAGGTCTTCCAACTGCTTTTTTTGCCGGTTTCACCCACATTTCGTCAAAAGCAGATCTTCCAACTGTGTTGTTTGCCTGTTTCACCCTGTTTCACCCACATTTCGTCAAAAGCAGATCTTCCAACTGCTTTTTTTGGCCTGTTTCACCCACATTTCGTCAAAAGCAGATCTTCCAACTGCTTTTTTTGGGCCGGTTTCACCCACATTTCGTGAAAAGCAGATCTTGCAACTGCTTTTTTTGGCCGGTTTCACCCACATTTCGTCAAAAGCAGATCTTCCAACTGCTTTGTTTGGCCGGGTTCACCCACATTTTGTCAAAAGCAGATCTTCCAACTGCTTTTTTTGGCCGGTTTCACCCACATTTCGTTCAAAGCGGATCTTCCAACTGCTTTTTTTGGCCGGTTTCACCCACATTTCGTCAAAAGCAGATCTTCCAACTGCTTTTTCTTGCCTGTTTCACCCACATTTCGTGAAAAGCAGATCTTCCACCTGCTTTTTTGGCCGGTTTCACCCACATTTCGTGAAAAGCAGATCTTCCAACTGCTTATTTTTGCCGGTTTCACCGACATTTTGTCAAAAGCAGATCTTCCAACTGCTTTTTTTTGGCCGGTTCACCCACATTTCGTCAAAAGCAGATCTTCCAACTGCTTTTTTTGGCCGGTTTCACCCACATTTCGTCCAAAGCAGATCGGCCGGTTTCACCAATGCAGATCTTCCAACTGCTTTTTTGGACGGGTTTCACCCACATTTCGTCAAAAGCAGATCTTCAAACTGCTTTGTTTTTGCCGGTTTCACCCACATTTCGTCAAAAGCAGATCGTCCGGTTTCACCCACATTTCGTCAAAAGAAGATCTTCCAACTGCTTTTTTTGGCCGGTTTCACCCACATTTCGTCCAAAGCAGATCTTCCAACTGCTTTTTTTGGCCGGTTTCACCCACATTTCGTCAAAAGGCAGATCTTCCAACTGCTTTTTTTGGGCCGGTTTCACATTTCGTCCAAAGCAGATCTTCCAACTGCTTTTTTTGGCCGGGTTCACCCACATTTCGTCAAAAGCAGATCTTCCAACTGCTTTTTTTCTTTCCAACTGCTTTTTCGCAGATCTTCCAACTGCTTTTTTTGGCCACCCACATTTCGTCAAAAGCAGATCTTCCAACTGCTTTTTTTGGCCGGTTTCACCCACATTTCGTCAAAAGCAGATCTTCCAACTGCTTTTTTTGGCCGGGTTCACCCACATTTCGTCAAAAGCAGATCTTCCAACTGCTTTTTTTGGCCGGGTTCACCCACATTTCGTCAAAAGCAGATCTTCCAACTGCTTTTTTTGGCCGGTTTCACCCACATTTCGTCAAAAGCAGATCTTCCAACTGCTTTTTTTGGCCGGGTTCACCGCGTCAAAAGCAGATCTTCCAACTGCTTTTTTTGGCCGGTTTCACCCACATTTCGTCAAAAGCAGATCTTCCAACTGCTTTTTTTGGCCGGGTTCACCCACATTTCGTCCAAAGCAGATCTTCCAACTGCTTTTTTTGGCCGGGTTCACCCACATTTCGTCAAAGCAGATCTTCCAACTGCTTTTTTTGGCCGGTTTCACCCACATTTCGTCAAAAGCAGATCTTCCAACTGCTTTTTTTGGCCGGTTTCAACATTTCGTCAAAAGGCATCTTCCAACTGCTTTTTTTGGCCGGTTCACCCACATTTCGTCAAAAGCAGATCTTCCAACTGCTTTTTTTGGCCGGTTTCACATTTCGTCCAAAGCAGATCTTCCAACTGCTTTTTTTGGCCGGGTTCACCCACATTTCGTCCAAAGCAGATCTTCCAACTGCTTTTTTTGGCCGGGTTCACCCACATTTCGTCCAAAGGCAGATCTTCCAACTGCTTTTTTTGGCCGGGTTCACCCACATTTCGTCCAAGGCAGATCTTCCCACTGCCTTTTTTGGCCGGGTTCACCCACATTTCGTCCAAGGCAGATCTTCCAACTGCTTTTTTTGGCCGGGTTCACCCACATTTCGTCCAAAGGCAGATCTTCCAACTGCTTTTTTTGGCCGGGTTCACCCACATTTCGTCCAAGGCAGATCTTCCACTGCCTTTTCTTGGCCGGGTTCACCCACATTTCGTCCAAGGCAGATCTTCCAACTGCCTTTTCTTGGCCGGGTTCACCCACATTTCGTCCAAAGGCAGATCTTCCAACTGCTTTTTTTGGCCGGGTTCACCCACATTTCGTCCAAGGCAGATCTTCCCACTGCCTTTTCTTGGCCGGGTTCACCCACATTTCGTCCAAGGCAGATCTTCCAACTGCCTTTTCTTGGCCGGGTTCACCCACATTTCGTCCAAAGGCAGATCTTCCAACTGACTTTTTTTGGGCCGACCGGTGGCCACGCGACCGGGTCGCCTGGATGGCCGCGCCATGGGCCACCACCTCATCGGGGTTGATGCTTCGAATGAGCCTCACAGCGGATCGGCTTGGGGGTTTGGGGTGGCTGGGCTATGGGGTCAAGGCTTTGGGTCTCCACACACCATGAGAGAAGCCATGAAATGCGGGGGAAAAAAGAAGAAGAAAAAAAACGCCCATGGAAAGCCGGCAGCGTATTTTATTTGCATCCCCGCCCGCAATGCTTTGTTTTGAGAGGACCTGAGCGTCCATTGAGGTCCCAATGGAATTGTGAATGGGTCCATTCCAGGCTACAAACACCTGTTGACTCAGAGATGTTGTTTTGTTGGGCTTGGGAGTGGCAGGCGCGCGCTTGCGCTTGGTAGCTAGAGCTTCGCATTCAAATTGGTCGCCGCGGGTTTGGTGCCACGTGCAGGCTGAGCATAGCAAGTGAAGGAACCAGATGTGCCCGGTGCGAAGCACAGAAATTTCATGGAACCAGACTTTTGAAGGGCCAGGAAAAGGCCAGTGTCCATGTGAAGTTCCGTCAAAATGTGTTGTTCGCAGTAAGTAAGTTCGAATGTTTGAAAGTCCCCTATCGTTTTCCATCATTTCAAGCACCTTGAGCTATATGGATGTCCAAGTGTAGACTGCTTTCCTTTTCCGTAAGTTCTGACCGCGCTTCATGTGTCCTCAGTTTGAGAACTCGCAAACCCGTTTTGTGAGGTCGAGATCCCTCAGTGAACTGGATCTCTATCCATCGCCCGATCTCCCGATCTGCAGCCGAATGGCTCCTTCTCGAAGAACCTGAGTCTTGGCATGTCCCCTGAAGTATCGTGGTGTCTGTTTTCTGCGGGTACCCATTTTGGGGCTGGTTTCAAGGGAAAGAAAGCCAAACAAAAATTAAAACCGAACTAATTTGGGGGGGTCCACCATATAAAGCAGACGGGACTTGCAGGTTTCCGGCCGGTTCGACTTGGGGATTTGGACCCCCAAAATGGTGGGCGTCCCTTCAGCAGCGCACGCCACGGAGCCTGCGTTTTTGAATAACCAGGCCAAAACAAAAACAAAGACCACCTGGGAAATCTCGAGTTGTTCATGAAAAAAACACCACAAAATAGGCTGAACAACTGCAAAACAAACTCGAGTTTTCCCAAAAAAGAAACAAAGAAATCAACATGCCGGACCCAATGACTCCATATCCTGAGCTGTGCTCAGATGGGGTCGGTCATTCTGATTTGGGAAAAACGAGGTTGTTTGCATGCTTGGAAAAGAGTACAAAACAACTCGAGTGTTCCAAACAAAGTTAGAATTGCTTCAGCTTTAGCCTGAAACAAAACAAGATCTACTTGAGGAGCTTCCCGATCAATTCTCCCATGCAAATTCTGCACGAGGAATCTGGTTGTTGGTTTCCAACAAATCTGGCGTTCAGCTCGCTTCCTTTTGGATTCCCTTTATATCAACCACCCCAGCAAAAGGTGGCTCGGAAAAAATGGATGGCTCGTCTTTCTTGAGAGTACCCCCATTTTCGGTTGGCTTTAAAGGGAAACCAAAAAGACGCCAGGGGGGTCCAACCTAAAAAAGGGCGAGCCACCCAACTGAACTTCCCACGTTAAAAAGGTCAGGGGGGCCCCCATTGGAACGTCCCCATTGCGCCAAAAGCTCGAAGAACACGTGGGTGCTTATCGCCAAAGCCCCGAATGAGAAACGACCAACCAACCAACCCAAACCACAAACCAAACAAACCACAAACCAAACAAACCAAACAAACCAAACACAAACCAAATCAAACAAACAAGCAAGCAAGCAAGCAAGCAAACAAACCAAAAACAAACAAAAACAAAAAAAAACAAACAAAGAAACAAACAAAGAAACAAACAAACAAACAAACAAACAAACAAACAAACAAACAAAAACAAAGAAAGAAAGAAAGAAAGAAAGAAAGAAAGAAGGAAAGAAAGAAACAAAGAAAGAAACAAAGAAACAAACAAACAAACAAAGAAACAATTAAAAAAAGAAACAAACAAACAAACAAACAAACAAACAAACAAACAAACAGCAAAGAAAACAAACAAACAAACAAACAAACAAACAAACAACCAAACAACCAAACAAACACACAAACAAACAAACAAACAAAACAAACAAACAAAACAAACAAAACAAAACAAACCAACAAACCAACCAACCAACCAACAAACAAACAAACAAACAAACAAACAAACAAAAACAATCACACACACACACACATGAACAAACACACACACACAAAGGAACGAAGGAACAAGCAAGTGACCAAGCAACCAAGCAAGCAAGCAAGCAAGCAAAGAAGCAAGCAAGCAAGCAAGCAAGGAAGGAAGCAAGCAAGCAAGCAAGGAAGGAAGCAAGCAAGCAAGCAACCAAACGAGGAAGCGAGGAAGCGAGGAGGCGAGGAAGCAAGGAAGCGAGGAAGCGAGGAAGCGAGGAAGCGAGGAAGCGAGGAAGCGAGGAAGCAAGCAAAAAAGGAAGCAAAAAAGGAAGGAAGGAAGGAAGGAAGGAAGGAAGGAAGGAAGGAAGGAAGGAAGGAAGCAAACAAGCTAACAAAGGAGCCTCGATTTTCAAAAAGTTGGTGCCGAGTTCGGAACTGACATGGATACCTGGTGAGCAGCCCTGCGCGATTGGGGAACCAATATCATATGGGTGTGATTTTGTGAGGGTACCCTATTCAGGTTGGTTTCAAGCAAAATTAAAAGGAAGCAACCCAGTTTTGGGGCTCCCACGTTTTAAGACAAACAAATTCAATGGCTCATGCTCCCCATGGGCGGGGGGTTTAGACCCAAGCGAGGCATGCCTTGAATGGCATGCCTTTGCAAACATCTGCCCCTGTCTTTTAGACTAGGTCCTCCAGTAGAGAGGATAGAATAAGGGTACCCTTTTTTCTGCAGTCTATTTTAGTAGGCGAACCCTCCCCCAAAAAAAGGTAAAAGGGCACTACTGGGGGACCTAGTGATATATAGTTGGGGGGACGGACAGAGTATGGAGTCGAGCGGCTGGCTCAGCATTTGCTGGATCTTGGGGATGCGGGCAGAGCCCCCCGCCAGGATCACCTCTGGGACGTTTGGATTTGCAGCCCCAAAACATAGGTGTCCTTTTAGGGGAAATAGATGGCCCCGGTAAATGAGAAAAACCACCAGGTCAACCAGGAATCGCCATCTATGTTTCTACCAAAGCAACCAGAAAGGACACCTATGCCCAATATGGTGCCCTTCAAACCAGGCTAAGAACAGGTCCCTCAACAAAAACACACACCCTGTTGGCAAGAGGCGGCCTTTGCAAAGAGTGCCAGGACAACGCAAACATCCTGGCCATGGGTAAGCCAGCGTTTCAATGATTGAGCAATGGTTTACAAAAAGAACACACAAACACACAGATGCGAGTTGCAAAGGGTGCCCCTTGATTACCTCTGATTGAATTCTCATGGTTTCCCTCCATGGAAGTGACATCCTCGAAAGCCCAGAAACTGTTGACGAAAAGGCAATCTACTTCCACTGCAATTCTGCGGTAAGTTTGTCGATGTTATGCTTGTGCTGTCATCTTCATCGTTGACTCTTCTGTTTTGGCTCGACAGAAGCCTCATCACCTTGGGGGGGGTGCGGCACCGCGCATTGCTAACCACAAGCATGACGCATCCATGCCAAGCGAGCACGCACGCTTGCAGCCGGGCACCCCCCTGCCTTTCACCAACCTTCTGCCTTCTGCCTTCTGCCTGAAAAAAAAACTAGGCTCGCCACTTTCGCCTAGAACAGGAAGTGTTCTTGACTCTTACAGAGTGTGGGCATCCGACAACTGGCCAACTGGCATGTCGGCCATGAGGCAAGCTTCACACAGTGTTCGAATGGTAGCTTCCGCAGGCCCCTCCCCTCCCTTTGGCCCTTCTTCCCTTCGTCCGCTTGCGCGCGAGACGGCGAGACGGCGAGACGGCGAGACGGCGCTCGCCTGAGTGATCTGGCTCTTCTCCAGCCCTGCGTCCTTCAGCGCGGAGCGGACCGGCTCCAACGTCCTGGCCAACGCAGCCCTCGCAACTGGTTTGCCAATAGGCGTCTGGCCCAGGGCAGGCCCCGGTATGCCAGCCAGAAACACCGTGTCCCCTTGTGCGGTGCACTTCTGCTTACATATTTGAGTGCACGACCATCCATATCTCAACGCGTCTGTTGACAGCACATCTAGAGAGAAGCAACAGCTTCCCAACTGCGTCAAAAGGCCAAACCCACAGCCCGAGCCAATTCTACCAAGCACCACAGTGTCTGTATCCAAAACACACACAAAAAAATAACATACTCAGGTGTCTCCCCATGTATCCAAAACAAAAAAAAAAAACTCAGCCCTGAAACAAAATCCTCCAGCGATTCAGCCATCCTGAGGAGTTTCCTCCCCACTCGACAGCTCCTTTGGAAAAGCTCGCTGTTGAGCTTCTCGAATTGGGCCCGAGTCCTGAGCCAAAGCGTGCTGCTCGACGGGTAGGGAATGGCCTTCGTCCGGGTGTTGGGAATGAACCGGTTTCGGGGATTCCCGCAAAGGAAACCACGAAGAAATGGTTTAAAGCGGGGATGTTCCCTCATTCCCTGCTGAGAACCAGCAAGCTAGACCCCCTGAGATTGAAAAACAAGTCCGCAAAAGCACGCCGGAGGACCAACGGCCGTCTCTTGAGAGGAAGCACCCGGCGTTTTCGTGCGGCGCCTGATTGGCTATTCCAAGAGCGGGTGCTGCCCCCCCCCAGTCATCCACAGAGCCCAGCGTCAGCGGTTCGGACAGGTCAGCGCCATCTGCAAAGCCGTCCACCTTCACCGCGGCCTGGCGGAAGCTCGAGCCGCGCCCCAAAACTGGATCACTCACAGCGACCGCTCCCAAAATCATTGTTTTCCAGTGGTTGAAACCACCAGTTGGAGGAGACGCTGTGGCTCTTGAAAAGGCCCGGCAAGCAAATTCCCACCCACACGAACCAATCAGCCAGGCCAAGGGGCGGCCAAGGTTCCATGTCAAAGGGCCCCCGCAGCAAACTCATCGATGGAGGTTGGCGCCAGGGAGCTGGGGACATTTTTGGGTGTCCCTGCCCCCACCGCTCGTTAACTGGGGAGAAGTTGAGCGCACGCCCCAAGTCGAGACACCCAGCTAAGAAGAGACGACCAGCAGTTCGGTGAGTTGTTCGGGTGTCCCTGTCCAATCAAAGAGAACGAAGTCGCGCCGTTGTGTTCTGGAGTTCCTTGGTGACTTTGAAAAACAATCCTTTGCGGTCTCGTTCTTGCTGCTGTTGTCAGTAGGGGCGAAAACCCTGCTGGCTTGCTTTCTTGCTACTGGTTCGTTCGTGTCCTGGGACATCGGAAACAGCTGCTTAGTTCAATGCCCTTTCCTACCAGGCTACCGGTGGCTGCCGCCGCCCTCCGACTTTGATCCCAGTTTTGTCAACCCGTCCTGGAAACCGCCTGGCCCAACACCTCCAGCAGACCGCCCGCGCCAAGCTAGGCGTTTTTTCAGCCATTCCCGCCGGAAACGTCGCAACTGGCCCGCAAGGTGATGCCCATTTCAAGCAAAAGGGGAACCGTGGGCCTTTTAAGTTCTCCACCTCGCCTGCGGCACGGTGCTCAGCTTCCGCTTGGCCTGAACAAAGGGCACAGGGCGCCGTGCATTCGAAGCGGTGCCATGGGAGAGGAAACGTCGAGGGGTGCCAATTTCTTGCGGGGGCCGGGGGGGGGGGAGGGCTTTGAAGGGGGATGCGGCCAGAAGTGCAAGTTCAAATGTTGTCCACGCGCGTGGCAAATCTCAATCTCTACGATGCATTTCCCCCTTTGCCCGGTTGCCCAGCCCGCGAAGCAAAAGGCGCCTATTCTGTTTGGGGTTGATCATTTGTAGAGGGAAAACCGCTGAAAAGCGAGGGGGTGGAATCCGCATCAAAGTGCCGATGCACCCCAAGCCAATACTCAGCTTGCAAAACGTATACGGTAACTTCTGGTTGGGAAAAAACCTCCCTAACCTCCAAGCCACCACTCCAAACTGGTTGAAGGGAAGCCGAACCACACCCAAACTCACTGAATCCAGAAAAGAAACATCTACAGGACATCGGAAATCCAAATCACGACCTACCCAAAACAAACAACAAAAAATGACCTATATACCCAACAAAAACAACACAAACAACAACAAAAACGTAAACACAAAAAAACACCGTGGAACCTCCTTCCCCTTTTTTTTGCAGCTCCAAAGTGACCAACCCTTGGGCCTTCTCCGCCTCCGAGCGCAGCCGGGCCACGGCTCTCGCGTCCCGGGGCTCCTCGGGGTGGCGATGAATGGAAACCACGGGAAACCCAGTTGGCTGTGGGTCAAAATCCTATTTTGGTTGGGATTGGTGATTTCACCACCCATTTTAGAACCTATTTTAGTGGTTGGATTGGGTCCCGTTCACCGGGGGTACGATTTGGATTGTGACCCATGGCCTTTGAACAGGGAGGGCCTTCCAACTGCGTGTTGTGCTTGGAATCAGACCACTTTTCGAGGGGCTCCCACCCCCCATGAATAAACTGGGCTTGGTCGGACCCTCTCGGGAACAATGGGAACCCAATGGAACCAGCGGGACCAACATCGAAAGCCTTGGCCACGTACCTCATGCCCCAAACTTCTCTGGCGAGAAAACGCGGCCCAAGGGACCCGGCAATCAAAGGCGAACCTTTTGGGGACGGGAAACCAGATCCGGTCAGAGCCCGGCCGGTCCATCCGCGCCTTTTGGGCAAGTGAGTCAAACCAAAACCCACGAGGAAAGCCGAAGAAAGGCCACCTTCCCAGTTCAGCGGGTTTCTTGGTGTGTGAAGCATGTTCGGAAAACATGGGCCTTTGGCCCAATCGATCCCCCGATCCCAATGAATGGTCCAACGACGTAAATCGCTGCATCTCATGGTACCTTGATGATACACGAAAGGAGCTCCCTATCGGATCTTTGTGCCCGAAACCCGCAGGTGCCTTCTGCTTCTGGGAATGCCACCGCTGAGAACAGGCCCCCTCTCCATGGAGCCGAAGCAAATTCGGATTCTTTGAGGAGCCATTCGCCCACTTTCCCCTCGGGCCATCCCCCTCCAACTTGCTACAAGGCTCCCTCTCGGTGGAAACTCATTTGTTCCAGAATCCCTTGATGAACAACGGTGACTGTTTCTCAGCTTGCAACCACCAAACATCGCCTTGTCAGAACGCCCCGGCGATCCGGCCTTGGCCGTCTTCTTCTTGAAGGCGCTCATCCTGGGCCAAGAATTCTAGGGCTGGATGCGTCGAACGTCTACCAGCATGAATCTCACCACCAAAAAGGAACTTAAAAACCCCATGGTGTGGGTCCCGGTGACTGCGACCGAAACTTCGGAGCCGAGTCACCCACCAATGAACTTGGAACCTGACGTAGGGGGGTCCTGGTTTGGACCATTTTCTTTTAAGGGGCCCCCTGTCAGAATCCAAGTTGATTGATGGGCGGGTAGCTTTTGATCTAAAAAGGTGGCGAGCGTCAGGTGTGCCACCAGCTTCTGATCAAAGTCTTCGCCCCCCAGACGAGGATCTCCGCTGGTGGCTCGCACCTCGGGCAAGCCAAACAATCGCAGAAAGCCCTGCCGCCAAAAAATGTTGACGGCCTGAACTAGAATCCCGTCTTCCAACAGACCGCTCAACCAAAACCGGCAGGCAACTTACCAGGGACCAGGAGCCTCACCCAAACCACACCCGCCTACGCAGTCCCATCATTGTCTCCGCAAAAGGCAAACCGTCCACATGGTGCAGGGACTGGACAAACAGCTCTCCGCAGGCAAAAGTCTCCAAAGGGATGCGGCGCGAAACTGGAGATGCCACTCAAAGGCGGATTTCCTTTTTGTCATTTGCTTGGCCAGTATTAGAACTTCAAATGGTCACAAAAAGGAAACCAAACACAACCTTGGTAGCGTAAACAGACTCAACCTGAGCCTTCCCCTGATGAATCCCTCCAGTCGGCTCTTGCTGCTCTGATGCTTTCTGGATCGACGGTCTGCTGATGCTCCATCGAAATTTGGTGGCTTCGTTAGTTGGTTTGTGAGTGGCAAGTCGCCCTCCCATGGTGGTTTTTCAATTCCCTCCAACAGTGTTGTTGTAGACAACCATCAAAAACTGTCGCATGGATCCAGAATCGTGGAATCTTTGGGGCTGAATGGCGCCGACGTCAATGCGTCGCCCGTGGAAGTTCAACGCCAGATTCGACCCGCTTACCCGGTGTGGCGGAGCGAATGCAGGGAGTCAGTGGGAGCGGTCCATCAGAGAGTACACCTAGAAAAAGCGCTTAAAAGGCCAATTGTTGAAGGGGAGTTTCGTACTCTAGGTTCCATACTCCACAGCGTACTGCGATAGACCCTCCACAGACCTATCCAAATGTCAGCAGCAATGTTCCTGCCAACTTTTGGTTCCGGTTGGTTCGGCACTCAAAATGAGCGCCAAATGCCCCTCGCTCCGTATCTCTACAAGCACACAGACACACACATGTTAGTATGAACACCTGTGTGTGTGTGTGTATACATGTGTATATGTATAATATATATATGTATATATATATATATATGTGTGTATATATATATATATATATATATATATTCATGCAAGTAGTACAATGGGTTATATGTATGGTTATGAACTAGGTTTAATATGCGCACATACCAGATGCAAGCAAATCTACGCGCATATGCATCAAACATGCACTCGGGTAGATGCCGCCTTCCCCCTTACACTAACACTGCCCAGCCTGCAGCACGCCGCCCTTGACCTCCAGCACCGACACGTCGCCTCAGCCCAAAAGACGCCCTGGCGCCCCGGCGCGTAAATTTTCATGGTTGGTTGTCCTTGATGCCGGAACCCAAAATTGGTAGCAATACATATATATATATATACATATATCTGGGCTGCCCTCAGATCTCCCGCTAAAAGTTTAACTTTTAGTGGGTTCAATGGAAACTACCACTAAACACTAAAAAGCTAACAGGCTAACCGCATGGCTGGGAGCAACCAAGATATTAGATATATCATATGTCCCCATGCTGATGCCCGCAGGCTGCCCATGAAAATTCACTCCAACGCGGCTTGGCGATAGAATTGCTCGAATCCAAGATCCTGAGACGCCGGCATGTGCCGCCGCCAAGGTCGTAGACCAGCAGAACCTCCTGCACTCCATTCAATTTTAACAGATCGGCCCTGAGCAACCGGAAGCAACGAGTCAAGGAGGAGGGGGAGAAGGGGGAGGAGGGGGGGGGAGAAGGAGGGGGGGGGAGGAGGAGGGGGGGTCATGTCATAAAACCGCTGATCTCTGAAAAAGGACGGTCATATCATTTGAGCGTCGGAGCAACCCCGCTGATAGTGCACCGCAAAGCAGGAGTCCCCAGGACTTGTTCATGGGTCCAGCAACGCGCAGAGATGCAACGTGTGCTTACGATCTTGCCCAAACACGGGCCCCATGTGACGTGCACCATCGTCCCATCGTGGCTGAGGCTGCTTCATCGAAAAACCAGCGATCCAAGGGGGTGAACGCTTTATGCAGGCGTGCGCGAGTGGCTTCCTTCTTCCAAGGCCGAATGCAAAGCCCCTCAGTTGAGAGCACAGGGTTTGGGCTTGCGTTCAGGATTCAGCATGCGAAAAAAAGCACCGGATCATACACAACAGGGCTCAAAATCATCCCCCCCCCCCCCATGAATCATGAGACATCGCGCCAGTGGGCAGGAAGCTCGCAAAAACTACATGGCAACCAGGAGTTTGCCAAAAACTCAACATTATTACGTCTTTTCTTTTTTTCAGCCATCTGCACATAGAGAGCCCCGTACAATCCAAAAGACGCCCCAGGCCCAAGATGCTAGGCCAACCCGTCCTCAGCATCCTGCTTCTCCTGAGATGATTTCCGGCGTGGATGAGTTCTCAAGAAAAGAAACCTTAAGCTCGCGATGCCCATGTGACATGCTCACTTTCATCTGGGGAGACACACAATGTCAACCATGTCTTTGGGAAAAACCGCCACCTCTTCACAGCATCCGACTCTGGGATCGGTCTTTGATCCAAAACTTTGAAGGAAACACGAGACAACCATTCCTCCAAGGCGAGGACGCGTTGACCCACCTTCTCTCTCGCCCCAACACCCAAGATCTCCTACGGGAAACAACGTTCGGGCCCCCCAATATGGTGGTTTTCCTTTTGGTATTCCCTGTAAAACGACAAAAATAAAAGTGCCTAGCTGTGCCACGGGGCCCCGCCAAAGTGCCTCAGAATCGGTTTGTTTTCCCAAAGGCCTCCCAACCCCCCACGCAGAGCGCTGGTGAGCGTCGTAGCCGTAGGCAATCGCCGCGGCCGTGGGCTCATTCAGGATGCGGAGAATCCTTGGGGCCAGGCAATCGACCCTTTGCACACGGGGAATTACGACGTTTAATGGTAACCCCGGATTCATCCACCTCGCAGAGTGATAGGAGCATGCTTCCCGCAATGAAAGGCATCCCTAGTCAACCCATCAAAGCCGTAATTTCTGGGGCAGCGTCTCAAAATGAGAACCTCTCCCGACAATTGTTTGCCTTTTCCGCTCACTTCCCCTTTACAGCCCTCCCAAAAGGTCTTGACTCAACGAAAAAGGTTCCCACTGATATTCCGGGGCACCAGCAACATGTTTTTCTGGGAACTTCACCCGCATCTGCTCCATCTCCAACAACGCGCTGTGCAAAGCAAAGCAGTCGCGAGCCCGAGCGAGCCAAGCGCAGCCAACTGGTTCCAAGAGGCTCGAGGCCGGCCAGCTGCCCAGCCTTCTGCATGGCGCGGCCTCGAGTTGCGTCCCAAGAAATCACGGAGGTTGTTGGGTTTCGGGGGGGGGGGGGGGGGGGGGGGGGGTGGTTTGGGGGGGGAGGGGGTGGTTTGCGGGGGGAAGGGGCGGTTTGGGGGGGAGGGGTGGTTTGGGGGGCGGAAGCAGGCGTTTCGGGCGCCTACAAGACCATGTTTTCCTTGAACATTTCGCCCTCTAATAGGTTCATCATGTTTGCGGAAGGAGGGTACATTGGTGGAAGAGACCAGTTCTTCGCAAAAATGTCCGGAAGTCAAAACACAATCTACCCATTTCAAGCTCATTTGCTCATCCCCGACCAGTTGTTTCCTGGATGTATCGGTTCCGCGCTAGTCTTCGGGGCATGCATCAAAGCGAATCTCCGCTTGCCCCACGCATAAAACTGAATACTGCACAAGGATAGAAGAAATGGGTATGTGTTGCGCTTAGAGATTTGGGCACCCCCGTCCCCATTGTTCTCTTGGATTCTTATGGAGTATATTTCTCAGATTCTCGAATCTTAAATCCGGATAATAAAAAAGGGGGAAAAAACGTATCTATGGTTCCGCGGTTGTGGAACAGCCATGCCTTTTCAAGCACCTGCTCCTTGTCAAAATTATGCTGTCTTGCTGCTCGGCCTGGGTTCCCATTGAGCAGGTTCATGCCCTTGCTTTTTGCCAACCTGGTAAGGACACCTTCCAGCCGGGGCGCGCTGGCCATCGTTGAAAAATGCCGGCACCGTAAGGACCTTGGCGCAGCATCAATCCGCGGAAAAACCAAGAGAACCTCTCCCTCTGCCAGGAAAGCATCTGCAAAAACCCTTTCAGAAAGAGCTCTTTCAAGAGTTCCGAACACCAGTCCTGGGAAATGACCACTGCAATGCAACAGAAAGGGTCAACCCCCTATAAGGGGGAGATTCCTTGATCCCACAACCCTGGTCCCGGGGGGATTGAGGATCCCAATGTCTCTCCTCATCCCTCACGCTTTTGACCAAGCGATTCGAATCCCCGGTGGTAAAAAGCGGCTACTCAGGGAGTCGGAGAGAATGGCGGCAGGCGAGTTGCAGAAAACTCCGCAGCATCTCCGGGGCAAAGGCACGACAGGGATTATCTCGGGTTTTTTTTGGGGTACGACCAGGGAAATTCCCTTTTGCAAACCAAAAGTGGTTCCCTTGCCCAAGCAACATGGCGAAACTCAAAGTTGACCCCCGCCCCGTTTTTTCATCAACCTGGTAGATTCCTTGTGAGCCCCCTTTTGGAATGGGCCACCCCGCATTCGCATTTCGAACTGATGCAAAACTCATAGGATTCGAAACTGACATATCCACGACGAAACCCAACATCAATTGCTGGTGTTCACCAAATTATTGGATGTCGTTGAAGCACCAACCCATCATTGTGAGCAAAAATAAGTATGTATTGAAAGCAAACATCAGGCAAATGGATTGATCATGTGCAATATGTTTGCGGGGCTCGAAGTCTTCGAGTGACGATTCGTTACTGCTTGAATGTTCGCCCAGGAGACCTTCCTCCCCCCCCCTCACGTTCGCCCGTCTTGTGCAAGGCTCGCTGGACGCCGAATCAGAAATGGGTGTGTCTGTTTTTAGGGGACCCCTCCAAAAATGTATATATATATATATATACATACATTACTGATAATAAGAATAACAATAACAATAACAATAACAATAACAATAACAATAACAATAACAATAACAATAACAATAACAATAATAATAATAATAATAATAATAATAATAATAATAATAATAATAATAATAATAATAAATAATGTGGTGGGTGTTTTTTCTAAAAAAACAAAAAAATGGGGTACTCCTCCCCAAATCCGAGTCGTCGATGTCATTTTTTCGCATATCACGGGCTGCTGCCCCTTGAAAACTCGGAGTGCAGCGCCACCAACTTCCGCGCAGGGATGGTGTGCTGCGACGCCACCTCGTTTCCAGGCCCCTCAAAAAACTGATTGATGCTTACGAATCCTTACCCCCAACAATATCAAAGGGCCCCTAAATGAAAAAGAAACTTAGGAAAAACATGATTTGTAACCCCCAGGGCAAAAAAGGGAAAATGCTGACTTTCTTTTGGTTTCACTTCAAATACTACTTTGAAAAAAAAAAAGGCTGGAATATATAGGATGCCTCTAAAAAGCCCTTACTTTCGGATGGTGAAGCATTCAGCCCGAATCATCCAGTTCGAGCTGGTGCATACTTTCACCTCTGTGCGATCCATTTGCTCGATGTGTGGTAAATAAATCACCAATTGTTGCTCATGTGCCACCCAGTCATATCTTGATTGCTGTTGACCCCTCTCCAATGGAAGCAAGATCCGCTACCAAATAGCCATGAAGATGTTTGTTCAAAAAGAGGTCAAACTGAGAGGCCAGACAAAAACAATTTCAGGTGCAGCGTCAGCGACGGCTCCCTCCCCATCCCTATCCCCAAAAAGATATCCCCCAGAGGCCTGCTCTTGCCCCTTTTTTTCCCGCAGGGAATGAGACATGACCCCTGAACAAACCATCCAACTGCTGGGTTCCTTGGGAATGCCTCAAGCGGTTCATTCCCAACACCCGGAAGAAGGTCACTCCCTCCTCGTCGCAGCAAGAATGACCCCTTGTTCTGAGGATGAACCTTTGGAAACCCAAGAAAAAAACATAGAACATACCTGGATCGCCAGTTGCTGCTTTTTTTCCCCCATGCACTTTACCCCAACAACCAGCAAGAGTGACTGAAAAGAAAACAGCAACTTGGCAATCTAGGCACCTTTTGCGGTAGAACATGGGCGACATTTGGTAGTGAAGGATCGACCCAATCGACCAATGCTCCACCCCCTTGTGAGAAAATGGGCGACCCCCGCAAGAAAACGTGAGAAAATGGGCTAAGAATAGAAGATGGGTCTTGCTGGGCTCGTTCCCTTTCTCCTCCGCTCCCGGAATTCCCCCCCCCCCCAGCCCCTCAGCTCCGCGCCGCCAAGTTCACGGCCCGCAACGGCCGGAAGAAGTCCAGGCAACCCGCGCGCCGCCCTCCCAAAGGCAGTCGTTTCATGTCTACGTCCAGCAGAGCGGTTAGAATCAGGGTACCAACTTTTTTTTCGGTGGTCTATGTTAGTAGGGGAACCAGGGATCCTTACATGAAAAACACCTGAACATTGCAACTTGTAAATGGCGGTAAACCTGTATTTTGGTGGAAGGAGCCATGCTTCAAATGGGCAAAATGTATCTTTTGAGGAGCCCTGTGCAAGTAGATGGCATCCCAACAAAGGGCATCCTAACAAAGGCAGCTTTACGTAGGGCATCCAAACAAAGTGCATGTAGATGGCTCAATTCCCTTGTGAGTGAAGGGGCTGACCAAACCGATCATGGTGCAAGTTGGCTTGTGGGCAAACCAACAATGCATTGTGACATCTCTGGCAACGGGAACCCCAAGGCAGATTCCCTTCACAATATGTTCACTTTGAAAAACTTATACACCCTACGAGGTGGTTGGCCCAAACCTGGCTATGGGTCGGCCAATATGTCCATCACGTCACGTGAGCGGAAACCCTTTGAACTGTTATGCGGGCTTAGGGCCTAAGCCCATGCCCAAGGTGTTTCCAAACGAGTTGTCCCTATAAATCCAGTGGCTCGACTTGTGTGTTTGTTTGTTTGCGTGCTTGCTTGCTTGCTTGCTTGCTTGCTTGATTGTTTGCTTGCTTGCTTGCTTGCTTGTTTGTTTGATTGTTTGTTTGTTTTTTATGATTATTATCACCGTCCCACCAACTAACATGGAAGTGCAAAAAGGCCCTTTCCAAGAGGAAAGTCGTCTTTCTACAGGGGTCTGTGCACTTCCATGCTAGCTGGTGGGAGGGTATTTTTATTATTCTATTTGTTCTACTCAAAGAGGCCTCGATGCTTTTCCTGCAGGGAGCGTTGGTTCCGAGTGGTGTGCGGCCGCGTTCTCAGGTTCCGGGAGGCTTCTTTCTGTTGGCTGCTGTTGGGAGCGAGCACCACCTCGTATGCTTCGAACGAGTGAAGCGGGTATTTCTTGGCATCGCTCTTTTTTCAAAGGAGTACATCCCACCACCCCTTCCTCTCGGTTTTTTACCATGAGTAACTCACCCACCACCCCTTTTCAGTCAGATATTTGTCCCTTCTGCCACTCCCTCTCCGGCATCCCTAGAAGCTGCCCCCACTTCCCCGTCAAGCCGCTCCCTTTCCCCGGGCTTCGGATTCCGCGGGAATGGCCGCTCCGCAATCTGCGCGCGAGGAGCTCCACGTGGCTCCTCCCTTCAAAGGCCATCCTTCTGCCATGCGGCGGCATAAAAAGAACGAACGAACAAAAAGCAAACAAACAAACCAAGCACAAGCTGCAGAATACATCGGCAAACAACACGCCAGAAAACGCCAACACACACACACACACAACACAAAAAAACAGAAGCCCAAGATACACAAAGGGCAACCCAACGCAACAAACACCGAAAAACAACAACCCAAAAAAAAACGAAAAAGATTTCGGCCTTCTTGCCAGTCGTCCATGAGCTCTTCCAGGTAGCTGAACACTCGAGGCACCGACCTGCGGCTGGCAGCCCCCGTGCTCGGCAAGAACTGGTTCCGCCAGGCGCGGTAGCGCCTGCGGCTGGGCGCTGGCCGCCGAATGCTCGGAGTTCCCTGCCCCAGGCTAGCTCGCACACCCCTGGGGAAGCTTGGGTTCCAGTTTTTTTTGTGGCCTTCTGGAAGCGTCCATGTTGGTCTGAGGGAATATACAAACCCAGGCTTTAAACGTCATTTGGGTTTTAAAAGCTAGTTTGGAAGTAACCAGTTACCAAGGCGGCCGCACCCATTTATGGATGGTATGCTCCCTACTAACCTTCATCTACCCGGGTTTTGATTGTGGCAGCTGTATGAGTGATACCTTGGCCGGCTTGACGGTCAGCTTCCACTCAAGAGACCCTCTGGTGAGTTCTATGTTGGTGGGAGGGAGGCCAAACGTTGTTGTGTTTCAGTTCCGTGGCATTCCCATCCAAGTACTTTATCAACCAAAAATTGTTTCCCCCACAAAAAACACACCGAACGTGGCAGCCTTCCCCCGATGCTTTCCACCCAGGAATACCCTTGGCCCATGCCTCGTGGGAACCCGAGCTGGAAAACGGAGCTCCCCCCCCGCTAGCAAGAAGACAAATACAAACCAGCCGAAAACGCTAGAACCTTGGGGCCCGAGGTGGCAAACGAGAAACCCTTTGCGAAGTCACCATAACGTTGGCCTTGAATGATGTCAGATGTGTCATGAATGGGCTTCGGCCTTATCAAACAGCATCTTATTACTTGTCAGTTGTCGCAAGGTCATAGACCCCGGGCTTTCTTGTCCCAACTTTTCGGGGAACCTTGGGGAGTTTGGGGTCCTAATCTGGACATGGAACGGTGCCCCACTGTGCTGTTCCAAACAAAATTACAGGGGGGTCCCACCAGGTCGACTATTTTTTCTTCGCATTCCCCTAGCTCTTTGGCAACATTCTCCGAGGGTTCAACGCGTGATTCGCGTGTGTTCTCTCCGGGGGGATTTTTTTTTTTTTTTCGGGGTTTAACCGGATGGTTGCGGAAAAGGATCCTCTCTGCAATAAGAGGGCCATCCCAATGCCCACTTTACCACCTTAAAGGGGATTAGTTTTGGTATCGCAGAAAGTGGCCACAAAAAGCCTACTTCCCACGTGCGATTCGAAGACCGTTTCTTCACTGGGATCCAACCACGGAAAGAAAGCTGCGGAAGGAAAAAACGACACAACCATAGGTTTCAACACCAGCCCCATGTATTGCTCGCGTTTTCTTGCTGGTGCTCAGTAGAGCATGACTTGGAATGAACCTGGGGATTCCCGAAGAAAGGACACCAGCAGTTGGATGGTTCGTGTCCATTTCTCATTCGACTCACCTCTCGCGCCACGCCAAATCAGGGGAGTCTTTGTGCCACCTTGATCGACCCCCTGATAGATGCCAGTTCCTGGGTTCCCGAATTTTCTCCTTTAAAGGTCACCCCACTGAGAGAACATGTGTCGTAGGGATTTTTCCGGAGTCTCCATCACCCTTTTTCTCGGACCGCCAGGCGAGCGCAGCGCCAGCAGTGTGGCGCTCGGTTTCTCCATAACCCTTGAAAAATGGTTCGATCGACCCCCTGGTAGATGCCAGTTCCTGGGTTCCAAAATGGGTCAACGACCCGCCTCGCGGCGGCGCGCCGCGAAGGGAGGCCCGGCGCCGCGAAGCTGCCGCCCAAGAGCCGCGCCAGCCATTGGGCCTCACCCCGGGGGGACGGGGGGCGGCGTTTCTTAGGTTGGACCCAAAAAAAATGCGGTTGTCCTTTTGGTGTCCCTTGAAAAAACACGAAAAAAGAGAGGATCCTCTTAAAACAAAAAAGGATTTCGGGCTTCCTTTTGCCCACAAAAGGGAGGAGCCGCCCTTATGAGGCATTATAAAAAACAAAAAAGGTATCAAAAAGTCGGGACCCAGAACCACGTAAGGAATTACAAAGACGTTGCGAAGGCACGCATCTATGGCAAGGGAATTATCCCTAACCTCATCTACCGGGGTTTTGATTGCGGCTCACATGACTATGAGCATAAGCGAAGTTGGCAAAAGCTGTGTGATCTCTCACTTCCTGAACGGATTGGCCAAACAAAATCCGAACTTTTGGTTTACCAGTAAAACGGTCTTCCCAACAAGTGTATCGGAAGTGAGTGGCAAAGGAAAGCCACCAGCTTTTGACGGTCCCCAGTTTTAAGGCACGTCAAATGTGGCTTTAAAGTACCCCGCAATCCCGTGTTCTCATGTGGCCTGTTCAGGTCGGTTTAGACAAAGGGAGACCAAAAGAAACTGGGGACTTTGGTTGCTTCGGCCATCTCATTTTTGAAACAACCTCCAAACAAACATGGTGCTCCTGTGTCCTTCATTCTCAACACCAACCAGGAAAGGCTTCCCCAAACCAAAGACAGTTGGGTATCAATCTGATTGGGGACAACATTGTGCCACGTTTGTTGAACACCCTTCAAAACAACAACATGAGTCGCTGCAATTCCTGATCCCTTCAAACATTGGGAAATATGGATATCATGCAGCTAATTGGATATAAACCTCCGGAAACAGTCAAAACAATGGGCACACACATGCGTATGGAACCTTCCATGGGCATCATAATTCACACCCGCTAAATTGAAACATGCCAGGTGAGCAAACTCGGGTGGATTCATCCCCCAACTCACCTGGAACCTGACTCGGGGCGTGGAAGATACTGTTGCTCAAGAGGCTGAATAAGGGTTGCTCTGTGGGGTCGGAATTTGGCAGCTCGCAATTCAGGCTGCAACCCCGGAGTTCAGCTTGGGTACTCTCTACTTACGTGGAACTTGACGGGAGGGCCCTGGAAAGTAATGTTCCTCCTGAACAGACCTTCTGCTGGGTCCCAGGTAGATGCTGTGCGTACAAGCAAACCTGCGTAAGCCACTGTAGAACCAAAAAGGCTTGGATTGTCTGAGCAAACATCCTCTAGCATGGAACCTGACTGGGAGGCTCCAGGAAGACCACTTTTTTTGAGGGAGCACGTGGACGGAAGGGTATTGTGAGTAACCAATAGGTGCCGGCTGCACGCCTTTGGACACGTCCAAGGACGTGGGCCACAGCTGCGCTTCCATGAAGTTCCATGTGCTAGCTGATGCCCCCGGTAAATGGAAACATGGACTAAAACCTGCCGTCCCCTGGTGGTTTAAGCTTGAACCATGCCCATATCTAAGTCAAATGGATCTACACCGCAGCATGGTGCAGGACTCAGCTCGCTCACTGGAACTCCACCCGAACGGCGCCGGAAAGGGCGCCGTGCACTCGATTGGGCAGGTTGCAGGGTCTATGAGCGCAAATCACGGGTGACACACGTAAGATGATCGGCGAGCCCCTGGTTTTCTGTGGCAGACTTTGGACGATGTCGATCGCCACGGCACTCGTCCAGAAGGGCTTTTTTGACTCCGGAAGGAGGTGGGAATTATCCACGTGGGTGTCTTCAAAAAGTTGGGGACCCCTCCAGGTAGGTGGCTTCCTTTTGGTTTCCCATTTAAACCATGCAAAACGGGGGCACTTATTTTGAGAAGCCCCCACATGAACATCAAGGGCTATACTTTGGAGGTCGGAAAGACATCGAGCGCACGCCAAAGAGAGGCCGACGTCTTCACGAAACCGATTTCGCCACCAACCGATTTGCCCCAAAAACATTCCTTGCAAGCAAGCCCAACCTCTGCAAACTTACCGGCGTATGAATGTAAATTGGTTGAACCCTTCGGTGCACATCACTTGCATTCAACAATCGAGTTTCTAGGGTCCAACTCTGAAACTCATAGCCACCTTCACCCCGGCCACCCCCCCCCCCAAACCCGCCTGCACGTGAGAGACCACAATGTCGCAGGTGGACAGAATCCGGCCAATAAAAGCCAAGCCCGGCACCTCCTCCGTGGGCAAGATCTGCTTGTAGAGGTCCTGAAATTTGGGGGCGTGGTTGTTGTTGTTGCTGCTTTTCCTTCTAAGGGAGGGTTCCGGAAGGATTTCGAAATTCCGGGGCCGTTGGGGATGCCATGGGCTTTTTGTCGCTTTTCACAGTACCCGCCCTGGGGGGGGGGGGAAACCCACCCGTTTTAGGGGGGTGACACATGGTCGAAACCTTTCAGGCTTGGGAGAACCCTTGAGGCCACGATGGCTCAGGCGATCCCTGTTTGGACCTTGGATTTTATGATCTGCTTGACAGCAAAGGCATTGGAACCAGAGTCTGACAGTTGAGTCGTAGGGCCGGGCTGATCTAGCATTTTTGTTTCGGCTAAGCTGGAGAGAAGGGTGGAGGGAAACCCCGTCCGAGCGCTCTTTGAACTGTCGGGCCTTCCAGCATTGCCACGTGAGCCATCTTCTTGGGTATGGTATGTCTTTTGCAGACTCTCACTAAACATGAACAGAGCCGCAAAGAAACGAACACCTAAACAAATACCAACAACGGTAAAGACAAGGAGTATGTAGTACTGGGTGCTGCTTGATAAACCCCAGGAAATGGCAAAAAAAAGAAGCACCGCTTCAGAGCCATCCTCGGTTCCCCTATGGCTAGTCCGAAATGGACGATTGTTGGCACAGTCGTCGCAGTGTCTCCCCTCACGCCACCTTGCAACTGATAGATGCTGACATTTGTGGGGGGAGCAAAACGGTTCGAGGAGGTCTCTTGATTTGCCAAAAATGTTTCCCGTTGCAACCCCAAGGCAGTGTACCCTCAACGCAAAGACACACGCCCACCTGATTAGCTTCCAGCGGACCCCAAATTAGTGCTGGTTTTCTGTTTGGTTTCCCTTTGACATGTCCGTTTGATTTCCCTCAAAAACGGGTTTTGTGAAAAGTGTCCCTTCGGTTTTCCAATTTCTTTCCTTTGACGTCCGCTTGGTTTCCCTTTGCCTTCCCTCTCGTTTCCCTTTCTTTCCCCTTTCGTTTCTCTTAAAAATCGGGCACCGAGCCTCAAATTTCAGCACACAACCCGCGCCGAGCCACAGGCCCGTCGCCGTGCGGCGCCAAAGCAGCCACAAGGTCCGGGTCGAAGAGATGGGACCAGCACTCCTGACCCCCCCACAAAACCCGTTTTTGAGGAAACCAAAGGAAAAAAACCCAACACCACAAGATATTGGGTGGCTGTACTTGGGTGGCTCGTCCTTTTTTCTAGGGAGGGACGCCACCAAAGCCAAACCAAAGGGAAACGTTCCACAAAACCAAAAGCAAGGTGTTCCAAAAGGCGGAACCCAAAAAGAAGGGTGGCGTCTTCCCTGTAAAGGGGCTGTAAAACAACCCCAAATAGGGGGGAACACGCCCAAAAGGTTGGTTTAACAGTGGTTGAGGCGTAGGATAGACTACTGGTTGTTTAATCCAAACTTTGGGTCTCCCTCTGGTTTCCCTTCAAATACTATCCATAAGGTGGCCAATAAGGTTGACCCAGGAATAGTAGCCCCTGGTTGACGGATAGGGGGGGTGTCTTTTGAGGGGAACCAGATCAGTTCTGGGGCCAAGATGCCCCCCCAATCATCGACCAGGCTAATTTCTCCAGGGGCGACGCTATTCCTGGGAGCAAGGGACAGTTTTGTTTTTCCATCTTTGCCTAAAGCTGGCATTCTCCAGGAGTCCAGCATATGGAACATGGATGCCCGTTCACACCATTTGGCGGGATAGTCACCATGTTTTGGCTGTCATTTTGGAAAAAGGCCCTCATATCACACAAACCTGCCCAACGTCTCTGGGATTCCAAGTCCAGCACGAGAGATCAAAGCCACCCTCCGAGAGTGAAAACGACCAGACAGAGCCCGATTCTCTTATGATCATCGTCATCATCGTCATCATCATCATCATCCTCATCACCAGCAGCAGCCTCACCAGCAGCCTCATCATCATCATCATCATCATCATCATCATCATCATCATCATCATCCTCATCACCAGCAGCAGCCTCACCAGCAGCCTCATCATCATCATCATCATCATCATCATCATCATCATCATCATCATCATCATCATCATCATCATCATCATCATCATCATCATCACCAGCACCAGCACCAGCACCAGCATCAGCATCAGCACCAGCAGCATCATCGTCATCGCATCCTAAATATATAAAAGGAGGATACAGAACATGTGGAGCTCCTGATAGCCGGTGGCAAAGATCACCACCTGCGCCGGCAGCTCCTCAGGTGAAGTCAAACACGTCTGCGCGCCTTGGCCTCGAACTATCTCCCAATCCACACTACCGTGGCTGGACGAAATCCATTTCGCGCCACCTGAGAAGCCCTGGTTTCTGATGATTCGCCTGTAGATGCCAACGAACAATGGCTTCCTATGGTTTTTCACGTCATGCAGGATTGCGCCATTTACAGTAGGGGGGGGGGGTTCTAGCAGACCTCACTTGGGTTTGTGTTTCTTGACGCTCGGTACCCCTTTCAGCTTGAAGAGAGACAACGTTGTGGAGGTCCCCCTATCTTGACATGTACCACGTGGCGTGCTGATTTCAACTATTCTCTTTCCCCTGCCACAAATGGCTAACTTCATTTGGCTTCCCTTTTGACGCCATGCAGGGCAACCCAATCTTGCCAACCCAAAACAGAACATCTTTGGAAAGATTAACATTCTGGCCATACACCTGGCAACTGCCCGGTGTATCTCTGGGCGTACAAATCATTTGATGTCCCTGGATTCAGTCCCCGTTCCAATCCCGAGTCCGCTCTGCCCACAAGCGTACCACAGTGCAAGTCAAACACACTGTTCAATGGTGCTGCTCAGCTTTGCACAACTGAAGTGGGAAGTTGCAAGTTTCAACTAACGATGCTTTCATAAATAAGTGTTTAAATATTCAGCCGAAAGCCGAGTTGGCAAATGAACCACGCAAGTTTGCCCTTCCATTGCAGAGTTCCGCCGAGCTCCGTGTAAGTACAGGTCTGGACTGGTGGAGGAGGAGTGGGGAAAACAACCTCACTGAAGCGGGCCTGGGAATACGCTGGGGAAGGGGATTCCTCTCCTTGACCACTTGAGCACTTGAGACGAATCAGGCGTTTTGGTGACTGGAAAGCACACCAAAAGCATGTTCTGCAAAGGCACACTCCAATTTGTGCATGCAGCCCCAACTGCACCCGGGCCAACATTGAGGGGCCCATCACCCGCCAGCTGTGGATTCTGGAGCCGAAGGGTCAAGCAAAGCATGATGCGCGGTTCAAGAGGTTCCCCACCCCGAATCCAAAGAGGCCTGGCAAAAGGACTCTCCTCCACTAGCCTTTACTTCACCTTTGAATCGAGGCTCTCCTGATGAATTCTTTGAATCATTGAAGTTCCCGCCCCCTGCCCCTGCCCCAAAACTGAGCAAACTTGCTGGTGCTCAGCAGGGAATGAGGGAATGACCTCTATAAAGCACCTTGTGCTTTTGTTTGAAGGCATCCCCAAAACCGGCTCCTTCTCAACAACAACCCGGACTCGGTCATTCCCGACAATCCCTAGTTTCATTCCCAAACACCCTGGGTCGTTCCCCACCCATCGCACCAGCAAGAAACACGGCATGATTAGAGTTAGGCCCAGTTATAGAATGTATATTTTCTGGTTTGCTTCACTCTGAATCACTGGCAAAATGTAAAATGTATCCTAAGTCTACCCCAGACGGCCATCGCCTTTTCGCTCCAATCCGCCGACCGCCGGCCGCCGGCCGCTCCTCGCTGCGCTTGGAGTAGAAGTCCTCCACCACCGCCCCGCTGGCCGTGAAGCTGGAGATCTGCCCACGCAAGCACCTGGCGGTACAGACCCAAAACCTACATCCCGGAGGTGGAAAAACTAAACTGGGCTGCCCTTAATCCCCTGCTAAAAGATTAACTGTTAGTCGGTTAAATGGAAACTACCACTAAACCCTAAAAGCCTAAAAGGCTAAGGGGATGGCTGGGGGCCACCAAGTACAGGAAGCCGTTTTTAACCCATGTCCTGTCCAATTTCCTAAGGAAACCGGTTCATAGCCATGTTCTAGCCAACTTCTCTCACTTTCAGGCTCAAAGTCAATCAGGGCTTACGCTCATTCGCCAAGTCCATCACGGCTAAAAGAACAACCGGGAGCTCTTTTCGGCCCTTGCAGCTCATTCTGAAAGGCACCCAGGGCGAAAACGACAACTCACTCTATGCATTTTTTGTCCAAGGGCCTTTGCACGCAAGAACCCATCGTGATGCTTTTGGGGGAAAAGAAAAAAAGGGAGGTGTTTTTTTCCCCTTCCTCATTTCTGGAACCCGAAGCTTGCTGTTGGGAAAGGAAAAAGGGACCCCCACTTTTCGCCTCCCGAGCCAAGCTCTTCCCATTTTCTGAGCCCGCGCCGGCCTCACGTTGGGCCGCCGGAAGGCCTCCTGCGCCAAAAAAACTCGTGCGAAGGCGAAGGCTTGGAGTGGGGGGTGCTCGTTTGCGTGGAAGGCGGCAGAGAAGATGCATATGATGTGCCTCTTACGGATTGATATGTACAAACATATATATATATATATATGTATGGTGCCCCCTATATGGTACCCCCCCCCCATGGATCTACCTTCCTTGAGAATTCACTGGTATGTGCAGTGTGTTGTGGGGCTTTCGGAATCCAGTCGGTTAGATCTACCTCAGTCCTATTCCTAAGCTGCGGCTTTGTCAGAAGATCCAAAACATGTTGGAGCCCTTAGCCCACCAAAAGTGAAAACGTAAAGAAGTAAAACGTTAGAGTCAATAATGATCCAAAAGGTTTAAACAAATGTAAATTCTGGAGCCAATGACCCAAAAGTAAAAAGTGAAACACTAAAAATGTTGTTTGGGTGAACTATTTCAGTCCATGGTCAAAGCAGTTTACTTCAGGACCATAGGCTGTTGTGTTTTACTTGGTTTGTACTTTTTCACTTTGACTTGGTTTTACTTGTCTACTTGTTTTTTTTTTTTTTACTTGTTTACTTTGTTTTTCTTGTTTGTTTGTTTTTTTTTGTTTTTTCTCTTTTGGTTTACTGTTTACTGGTTTTACGTCCTTATTGTTTAATTGTTTGCTTTTACTTTATTTACATCTCTTTGCTTTTTACTTCTGGGGCATTGGCTCCAAACATTTACTTTTACTTCTTTACTTTTCTACTTTTAAATCTCTGGCTCCAAAACGTACTTTCTTTGCTCTTGGGTCATTGGCTCCATTTATTTTTTACTTTTTACTTCCGTGTCATTCGCTCCGGAACTTTACCCTTTTACTTTTGGGCTATTGGCTCCATAAGTTTACTTATATATTTTGACCTTTCCAAGCTGCTGGTTTGCATCTTCTGACCAGACCTGAGCTTAGAATGGACAGGCTTAGGGTGTAGGGTTTGGGGGTTTATTGACACACGTTTATGGGTATCGGACTTAATTCTCGTTTTTGGTTGCTCAATGAATTGCATTGGACACATGCTTGTTTGTTACAGGGGAAAACATGTGTTGTTGTTTTTCCTTTTTCGTGTTGCGTTGCTTGGAATTCAAAGTATTCGATAAGGGTCAAACATCAAAAACATCAAAATAGAATTCGCTTGTCTCAAAGTAGATTTGACGGATGCCGTCAAAAGGGGATCGGTTTCTCTAGGATTGTGTTTCTTCAATTGTCTCATTCGAATTGACATGGAACGAAAACAAGGAACCCACCCTAGTAGAGTTTCTAGTTTGAAGAGATTTTGTTGAAATTGGAGTTCCTTGCCCAGCTAGATGTGTAGTCAAATTATTAATTGAACCCAGATGTTCAACCGGGTTGATTTGTTGGCATAGGTTCAATAGACTTTGATAAGTACATAGTTTTATTAGAATGTCTAGCTTGAAAGAGAATTTACACGGTGTGTGTGTGTGTGTGTTCTTTTGTTAAAGGTGTTTAATGATTGGAATTCCTAAAATAGATGTTCAAAAGGATGTCTTCTTCCATGATGATTTGTTCAAATTTCTAATTAGACCTTGAATAGAAATTGAAAGTGAACAACACCTCACCTAATGTAATATCTAGACTTGAACATGAGTTGATTATATGTTCCATTTTGAAGAACATTGTTCATTGGGATTCTTACTGCAAAACATGTTTTAAAGAGACCGCCCTTTCCCAGGATACTGTTTCTCCACTTTCTATTTAGAATTTACTGGAATCTAATCAGGCAAGTTAATTCAGAATCTCCAGTCTTAAAACTAATTTCAATAGGATGTCCTTTTCTACAAAAACACAAAATTGGAGTTGGTATTTCAAATTAGATCGCATGGGGCATTCCAAATAAAACAACTGCATTCCATCTCCAAAATAGCCTTCAACCAGCAAAAAGGTAGATCCTGGGGGGGGGGGGGCTTATATGTGTATATATATATATATATGTGCATACAGATTATGTATATGCATGCAAGTGTTCACAAACGCGAAGTGCCCAAGCCTGTTTGGGTGCTCGACCTATCCCCATCCCTCCCTGTTCATGCATCCCAGGAGTGCTAGGTTTCAGCTGCAAATAAATCAGCAAGTTGACAGCATGTTGGTTCAAAGGCAACACAAGCTGACACAAACAGGTCGCCAAACATACGCTGCAGGGTTCAAATGCTTGGCAGCGACGGCTGCTTGCTGTTGCTCATTTCATGCGCGTCTGCCGATCGCAAGCGTGTCAAATGCTGAGCAGCTCAGGTCTTTCCGCAGCACCCACGTGAATCTGCAGGTGTGTTGTGACGCTGCCTTGTTCAAGAATGCCCCCAAACATCATGCATTGCATACATGTGTGTGTGTGTGTGTGTGTGTGTGTGTGTGTGTGTGTGTGTGTGTGTGTGTGTGTGTGTGTGTGTGTGTGTGTGTGTGTGTGTGTGTGTGTGTGTGTGTGTGTGTGTGTGTGTGTGTGTGTGTGTGTGTGTGTGTGTGTGTGTGTGTGTGTGTGTGTGTGTGTGTGTGTGTGTGTGTGTGTGTGTGTGTGTGTGTGTGTGTGTGTGTGTGTGTGTGTGTGTGTGTGTGTGTGTGTGTGTGTGTGTGTGTGTGTGTGTGTGTGTGTGTGTGTGTGTGTGTGTGTGTGTGTGTGTGTGTGTGTGTGTGTGTGTGTGTGTGTGTGTGTGTGTGTGTGTGTGTGTGTGTGTGTGTGTGTGTGTGTGTGTGTGTGTGTGTGTGTGTGTGTGTGTGTGTGTGTGTGTGTGTGTGTGTGTGTGTGTGTGTGTGTGTGTGTGTGTGTGTGTGTGTGTGTGTGTGTGTGTGTGTGTGTGTGTGTGTGTGTGTGTGTGTGTGTGTGTGTGTGTGTGTGTGTGTGTGTGTGTGTGTGTGTGTGTGTGTGTGTGTGTGTGTGTGTGTGGTGTGTGTGTGTGTGTGTGTGTGTGTGTGTGTGTGTGTGTGTGTGTGTGTGTGTGTGTGTGTGTGTGTGTGTGTGTGTGTGTGTGTGTGTGTGTGTGTGTGTGTGTGTGTGTGTGTGTGTGTGTGTGTGTGTGTGTGTGTGTGTGTGTGTGTGTGTGTGTGTGTGTGTGTGTGTGTGTGTGTGTGTGTGTGTGTGTGTGTGTGTGTGTGTGTGTGTGTGTGTGTGTGTGTGTGTGTGTGTGTGTGTGTGTGTGTGTGTGTGTGTGTGTGTGTGTGTGTGTGTGTGTGAGTGTTTGTGTGTGTGTGTGTGTGTGTGTGTGTGTGTGTGTGTGTGTGTGTGTGTGTGTGTGTGTGTGTGTGTGTGTGTGTGTGTGTGTGTGTGTGTGTGTGTGTGTGTGTGTGTGTGTGTGTGTGTGTGTGTGTGTGTGTGTGTGTGTGTGTGTGTGTGTGTGTGTGTGTGTGTGTGTGTGTGTGCGTGCGAGCCTGAAACTTGATTTGCCCTGACATATTTTCACTCTGCTTCCCTGCCTTGAGCGCAGACGCATTGCAAATGGACACGGAATGGCCTCAAAGGAGCTGACAAAACGGGGGCCGCCCCGTGGGGCGAACTGAACACACCACGACTCCGACGGCTTGCATAGGGTGTCTTCTGGGGATTCCTGAATTTCGAATCATTGCCAAATACTGGGTCGATATTGATAAGAAACGGCAGGTTGACACAGCAGGATGCAGCAGGGAGCCTTCCATCTTTCACAAACTGTGGAGGATTTGCCCAAAAGGAAAGAAACCGGGCGAACCCGGTTTAGAAAAATCAAAAAAAGAAGAAGAAATCAGTGGCCAAGTCGATAGAGACCTCTCCCTGTACCAGAATCGTCTGGCAATTTGCAAGTCCATGCCATGACTGCCGGAAGTAGCGCAAGTGCCTGGTAAATAGGGTTGGGCCAACCCATGTAGGCGCCCGATTGGGGCAACTCCCCAAAAAGGAAGTTGCGTGGGGAACGTGGCCAAAGGCCAAGTCCGCCAAGCCGGCCGAGCGTCCATGCCAAAGCTGCCAGCGCAAGCTATAGGCCGGCCACATCGCCCAGGGCAGGCAAAAGTGGAGCCTCGGGAACGCCGCTGGCATAGGGTGCGTCTCCAAATTTTCGGGAGGGGGGGGTTGAGGTCCGACAAAAAGCCAATCGGACCTTCCCCAAAATCTGAGACCGTGCCAAAAGTTGGCACCTGGCAAGTACTAGTGCTGGTCCCCAAACTTGAGAAGCAGGCCCCACCTCTCCATCGGGCGCAGTTCTCCCGCTCTACCCCAAAACAGCCGCCGCGGCGCACATACAATCGGCCACCACTGGCTCAGAGATGGCGACATTCATCCGGGGTGGCCTTTGCAATGCACGGTAGTCCGAAATTAATCCATCCGGCTCCATCCGACCCCAATCCATCTGCACAAATTGCTATGCTGCATCTGTGGGCAAATCAGGACACCTTCGTCACTTGTATCTTTCCCCCCCCTAGGTGAGCTTGTCCTAATTTGCGCAGAATTCATCGAGTCCGCTCCCGGGAAGCCCGCTACATTGCTGCCGAGAGGCCAAACCAATGGCGAAAGGATCCACCACAACCTCCGTGCCATGGTCACCACTCTCTCTCTCTCTCTCTGTTGTGGTTCCCCCCAGTCGAACATTGCCACGAAAAGAGTCTTTTTGGAGGGAAGCCATTGTAAAAATCATGGGCTTTTAAGGGAAGCCACAAAATATGGTGGGTTTCCCTTTGATTTCCCTTTACCCCAGAAAGGGGTACCGAGCGGATGGAATTGGGCTCCAAATTTCACTTTGGCACCTGGACATGAAGGCCGACACCTGGGCTTTGGACCGAGCCTGAAGGCTCCAATGGATCGTTTGGAGCTCGTCCCTCGTGTCCATATACAGTATTCGTTTGGGCCGTGTCAGCAAAATGCCCCAGCTTCCTTGTCAGGCAGCCTCAAACATGCCAATCCCTCCACTTAGTAAACAACTTTGAATCAAAAATAGGCCAAATGCATCCATCTCCAGCACCCAGAAAAGAAAAAAAAAGTCCGCGCGCGAAGGGCGCTTTCAGGGGATTCTGCGCGTGGGTGTTCCAAGCGAAGGGGCAAGGTCTGCAGGGGCAGCGCGAGGTACCCAAGGCACCGGCGCACAAGGCCTCGGGCAGGTTGGATGGAAGTGGGATCGGGGGGGAGGGGGGGAGGGGTTGTGGGTTGTGGGTTGTGGGGTTTGGGGTTTGGAGGGGCTAGTTGGGTGTGCGGGGTTGGGGGGGGGGGGGAGGGGCTACTTGGGTGTGCGGGGGGGGGGGGGCTGGTTGAGGTTGTGGGGGGGTGGGGAGAAGGGGGATAGGGGATGGGGGAGACTACCAATCATTTCGCCAGTTGCTCACGCTGGTTGAACTCCCGCAGCCAAGGCGCCGGCGTCGTGGTACGGTGGGAACACCAGGTTGGCAAACCACCCTGAGCTTGCGCCCTTGGAACCAACGCCCTGAAGAAGTGACATCCTCGAAATCAGCCTAGAAACACAACAACTTGGACAAACCCTCGACATGTTCACTCAAAAGGACGCGGTACTTCAGAATGTGTGAAGCTTCGGTGAGTGGTTGTCTGAAGGGCTCTCCTGCGGAGCAACCTGAGCTTGGCTCCTGTTATCAGTCAAATGAAAAAAGGGGCATGGCCATTGATCTATCACCCCTGCAAACCCTGGATGGGGGTTCCCTTGAGCCTGAAAAGCCTGGTTACTCGCCCAGCTCTGACAATCCCCAAACCTCCACCTTAACGTACGAAGTTCCCGTGACTCGGAGTCACTCCAAACAGACACACTTGGCCGAGCCGCGGAAAAATTGTCGCACCTCTGCCCCGGTTCTTTGGAACAAGTTGGGCGGTTTTTGGTTTCTGGGGAAAATGAGAGGCTGGCGATTCCCCCTCCCCGTCACTTCACAAAGCAAAAAGATAATTTTTTGGGTGACTGCTGGCCTTCGGTCAGCACGTGTGCACGCGTCCATCTGATCCCAGAAGTAGTGATCTCAAAGCGGTTGGTGGTTTTTTTGCGTAAAATATGTCCGGCTCCAAGATTTCTTAGAAATCCCCATCCACTGTAGGAGTATAACTCCTTCCATGGCATTTTCCAGTCACCAGTTCCGCCCCTCAAACCCCAGAGCACCGGCCACTGCGCTCACACCTCACACGCCGAGCCGAGCCGCGTGTGGCGGCCAACCACTCCAAGGGCAAGCCCAGGAAGCGCTGGGGCAAGATCCACGCGGGGCTCCGCGCGACCAGCGTCACCTCGCTGGACGCGAAGCGAAGCTCCGCGGATTCGCGGAAAGCACATGGGCTGAGGGAGAGGGGAGGGGGAGAGGGGGGAGTGCAAATCAGACCTGAATGCCAAATTGCTGGGAGGCAAAGTGTTCGCCCCCTTCTGCCCCCCCAGAAACGAAAATAACAAACAAATGTACATTATATATATTGAGTTGTATATAAATCTATTTTTATGAGTATTATTAGTATTATTAAAAATGATTCATTAATTATTATTATTAATAATTATTATTTTCATTTTATTGTTTTATTATTATTATTTAAAAAAAAAAAAAAAAAGACTTGGACCGGCATGCGCGAGCCAAGGCGCCCGCTTGGCCTCTTTAGAGGCCAAGGCCAGGCAATCCAAGGCCGACTTCCCGTAGCCCACCACCAGCACCTGCCGAAACCGTCGACGAGCGAGAGAAACGCAACCCGACCACCCCCGGAGGTACGGATCCATAGGTGTCCTTTTTGGAAAATAGATGGGTTTCCCTGGTAGATGAGCAAAAACCACCAGGTAAAAACCAGGAATCGACTTCTATTTTTGTTAAGCAAAACAGCCAAAAAGGACACCTATGTACGCATCCACACAGAAAAACCTAAAGACAACACACATAATCGGGGAGGGGAGGGAGGGAGGTATGCAAATAGGAAAACCCCCCAAACAGGGTCGCCTCCCAATTGGGGGAGGTGAAAGACACAATGTGCCCCAAATGGGAGTAAGGAAATGAAAGCCTCCAGTACTGCCCCGTTCGAAGGAACCTTGGAGGGGTTCTTAGACCTTTCTGGTGGGTCGACTTGAGTCTTGGGCCCAATGCCTGCCTGGATTTGCAAGCTAGACCGAAATTGGCCGACCATGTGGGGAAATCGGCAATCTATTTCATTTCGGAGCCCGATGTCCCCGAATGTCCAGCCCAAATTTCAAGCAGAGCCTGGCGGATTCATTGGGTCTTTCAACCCGAAGAAAGGTCCCAGACCCCCTCTAGAAGGGGAACACCCCCCGATCAATCCAGCATGGGGTCCTGGGTGAACCCAGGAGAAAAACATTTAGGATGCGGTTTTGTTGTAGGGGTCGGAGGCCATCCCGGCTGCCGTTCTGCTCAGCGGAAACTCACAGCGGCGTGTGGGAACCTTTTCGAGGGTCAATCACCCAAGCTTCCTAAAGCCTTGGCTTTGGAAATCAATCTTGACTAAACAGAGATGCTGGAAAGACACGTCCAACGGTTGTCAAAGCGGATGAATGTTGGACTGAAGGCGTCAAGGGGCAACAAGAGAATCCTCAGGATCCCAGATTCCGAGACCCCACTTCAGGCTTCCGGTCAAAAAAAGCGTCCGGATCTGGACAAAAACCATGAGCACATCTTTTGGATGCCCGAAGTTCCCCATCACCAACGGGACCCGAGTCTGGGCTGTCCAAACTGATCCCCGCTAAGAGTGAATAACGTTTCGTGGATAAAACTCGGAAACCCAACCACTAAACCCACGAAAAAACCACGGAAAACCCACACAGTACCGGACTGCGAGCCACCAAGGGTCTGCATGTTCTACAATATGTCCCCAACCTGAAATAAACGATCCCCAACTAAAGGATCCTTGTCATGGTGAGCTCGTTTTGCCAGGTGAGCGAGCCAGCAAGGATCTCAGGAAACCCCCCGATTGCCCCACTGGAAACTTTGGGTCGAAGTCGTCGCCTCGCGGCCCCGCAGCAGGGAAGGGTCCAGCAGCTCTGAGCCTGACCCGAGCCGAACATCTCGAGCGCGTCAAGCGAGTTCGAGTTCCCGCGGGGAGCACCGGACTGAAGTGGGACCTCCGAAAAACAAAAAATGGACAAACACCGAGAAAAAAATAAAGGTGGGGGAAAAGAAAGATGCGGAGTCCTATTTCATCAAGTTCAATGAGAGTAATCCTTTTGCCGAACCCTGTTGGGACATCTTTGGAATCCGTGGAATCGGCTTGCAGGGGACCAACCATCTTTGCTAAGGTCGTGGTTGATTCAATGGGGGTGGGTTCAATTTTAGTGGGCGCTGGCAGAAACCTGAAGGCTTGTGGATAAGTGGCCATCCATGTCACCCCAAATCATATTGTTCACCAGGTCCTCCAGAGATCAGCCGGTCAAACCGCGATTTGTTCTCACTGTGGCCATGAAAAATGGTATCCTTTCAACACCCCTGAGCTTCAAATCATAGGCCCTGGCGCAAAGAAACCCCCCAGGGCTCGGGCTGTGCAGCACCTGGCCCTGGAAGGCTTGGCCTCAGAAGGGTGTTGTTCAGATGCGGCGCCGGGCCCAAGTAACCCAACCCGAAACCCAAAAGCAAGTTGCAACATGAGGTGCCACGCGGAGAAATATGGAACCATTTAGGGTGCCACTGACAAAAGGCCGACTTCCCCCTTCCCTCCCTCCTCTCCCCCCACCAAAAAAAAAAAAAACGGCAAGGGTGGGGGGGGGGGGGGACTTCTGTGCTGGGCGGCTGTTGGGAACTTCCGGCACGTAGGGCTGGGAGAAGTTCCCGAGGGCCAGCACCACAAAATCGAAATCCTCCACCTGGCAGGTGGGGAGGTGGGGGCTGGGGGGAGGTGGGGAGGCGGGGGGAGGTGGGAGGGGGAGGTGAGGGTGGGGAGGTGAGGGTGGGGAGAGGGGAGGTTGGGTGTGGGGGGAGGAGGGGGATGGGTTGAAACACACCGGCCATGGGCCCTTTGAAGGGAAGCGGAATCTCACGGTGGGATGGGTGGAGGATGAAAATGCGGGGAAAAGGGGAGTGGGGGAGGGGTGTGAGGGGAGGGGGTTGCTGATTTGGATGTCTCAAAAAAAATAGGTACCCTCTGAATGAAACCCTGGTGAATGGAATGACTAAACCCTGCGGCCCAGATCCTGGTGGCTTCATTTTGATCCATCAGACGCCGGAGCTCGGAAAGTTTCAGCGAGCGGCCGCTCTGAGAGCAAGAAGTGTCCTATTCAATAGCCAGCGAAATGACTTGCGATCGGTGCGAGAAATGCAGGGAATGAGAATTGGAATGACCCCAAGACAAACCATCCAACTGGTGGTTTCCTTTATTCGGGAATTTCTGGGGTCATTCCTTTTTTTTCTGCCCTATCGCACCAGCAAGTTGTCCCTTCCTCTGACCGCATCTGCAAGACGGAAAGAGCCAGCAACCGGATCACCCTCCGATGTCCCGCATGTCGAAGGGAAACCAGAACGCGTCTTAGTCAAACATCGGCATCAGCCACGGAAGAGAGCAGCCCACTCATTTAAACATCCTGCCCACACGCTGGATTCTCATCAAATTCCACGAGTTGAGGAGCGCGGATTCCTCTTCCGTGTGACTTGTACCGCCTGGTTGAGTTGCTCACCTCTCCAGAATCCACCCGAGCAGCCGAGCCCCTGCGCACCGTGCGCCCCTGCCTGCTCCGCTCCTCTTCGCCGGTAGGTCACCCGCCAGCCGCCGTCCTAGGGGCCGACCGTCAAGGGTTTTGAGCTCCCATGAAGGGGGGAACAAAGGAACGAGGCTTGATTTCACACTTGCACTGTGGATGTAGATACCCTCTAACAAAGGTGTCTGTTTTGGTTTGCCAAAGGAAATACGTGGCCCTGGGCCCTGGATGACTACACCGTCAAGTTTACCAAGGCCAGCTATTTCCAAGCAAACCAACCTATGGCCTCCAATGAGCGCAAAGCATGTGGGCCCTCTGGGATGTCCATTTATACACCTCAGCAGTTCCGGCCAGAGGGGGGTGATGAAATCACCAATTCAAACACCGTCGGAAGGAGGGCAGGCAGCCCCAAACAAACAGCACCAGGATGTTCATATAATTACGTCACCTGAGATCCTCCGGATCACATGCCCCATCCCCGCCCCATCCCTCGCCACCCCCTCCTCCCCCCCCCCTCCTCTCGCACCCCCCGCTCCCCACCCCGCCCTTCACCGCCCTTCACCCCCCGCCCTTCACCGACCAAAGCCCACGCCCACTTCGCCTCGCCTCGCGCCGCTCGAGGCCCACAACCTCCGCCCCCGTCCGCAGGCACGGCAGCAGCCCGAAGCGCTCCGCGTAGCGTCGGCAGCTCGCCTGCCTTTTGCGACGTGCCACGTGAGGTTAACTTGCTGGTGCTCAGGAGGGAATGAGTCCCAGAAAAAGATGCAAAAACAAAAAATAGGGGATGGTTTATAGGGGGTCATTCCCTGATGTTGAGCCAGGTGGGGTGTGACGCGCGCTCGGCGACCAGAAATGGCGCCACAAGGAGGAAACAAGCCCTCCGCAAAAAGTATTGTCTTTGGGGGAATAAAACACTTTTTGTTGGTCCGATTCAGACAAGAACCTTGGTTCTGGGGTGGTTTCCCATGCATCACAAAGAACCGGGTCAAATGTCCCAACCACCAATCCACCAACCAAGGGTTACCTGACATGTGTTGGTTGCTTGGTTGCTGTCACGACCCCACCTCAAACATGTGGTTTGTTTGTTTGTGGAAAAAAAACTCGTTGTGTAAATTTCGGACAATCCCCAGCTGTTTCAGCCACAAAGTGAAACTAAAGATCCCTGAAGATGCGAAAAGACAAATGTCAAAATTGGGGGTTGAGGGCCTAGGGCATGTGGGGGTTTGGTTTTCAGTGGTTGTTGGCTCAGGTCGTAAGAGTTGAGGGTTTAGGGTTGTTTAGGAATCGCGGTTACCTGGCGAGAGCAATACATGAAGTCTCGGGAGGAATGAGTGTACTGTTTAGGCTTTGGGGTTCCTGGGTGTCGTCTCTTTGTTGAGGGATTTGCAACCGCGTGCTTTTTTTGTGGCTTCCATATATGACCACCTCAAAACTGTGTCACCACAATAGATAGGCACATGTCCCAAAGCGAAACCGGCGACATCCTCATCATTTGAGCTCCAGCCCATTTTGGACACACAGACACAAACACACATTTAACTGGAATGTCGAAGGTCTAACCATATTCGCCTTGAAGCGTTCCTCAATCAAAAAGAAAGCTCACTTCGAGTTGGCCCGAAAAGGTACCGCTTAGATCCCCACAAACATGGGCCAACGAGTTGGGACCCAGACCGAGCCTCGCGGCTTTGGGCGAAGGGGTGGTCAAACCGGAATGGCATCCTTCTGGAACCGCTGGGCTGTGGCGAATTCAACAAACCGGAATTCCAACAAACCGGAATCCTGGTAAGTGGAAGCATGGACCAAAACCTGCGGCTGGCCCCTCCGATCGAACTTGATTTTGAGCACCCGCTGAACAAAACGGGCCAACACGAAAGAGTGGAGAAAAAACTCTTGTTCACAACCCCCCTCCCGACCAAAAAAAGCAAGCGGTCGGACACCTGCAAACTGTTGCGGCTTCATGGCTGTTGCAACCCTCACTGGTCTGCTTGATTTCTGCATCATTACAAGCAACTCGACTCTGGATTCCCCTTGGCAAGTATCAAAACTCCGTCTTTTTGAAGAATCAGGATTTGACTGCAGAAAGATCTCCCACACAGCCTTTTGCCATGTTTGAGGATTTGACTGCAGCAAGATCTGATTCCTACACAGCCCTCCGACCTCCGATTTCTTGAGCCGCTCGTAATAAACCAACGAGTCAGACTCCAGCACTCGCGCAGCTAGTAAGAACAAGAACAACTATGCAAACCGGAATCCCAAGTCAATATTGGTCAAATGGGGAAGGGGAATCGGAAACCCCAGAGGCCAGGCCACACACATACAAGTCACATACATACAAGTCACACACATACAAGTCACACACATGCGCTGATCCACACAGAGGTTGAGGAGTTGGGACCATGTGAGCTCCACTTCCGAACCCCACGTTGGCTTTTGACCCAGTATGTGCTGGCCGCCACCTTTTTTTGAAGGCAAACCACTACCATCTGGCACAAGGATTGCGGTAAGGAAGGAACCCAGTCCTCCAGCCATTCCCCCCCCCGAAAGACCAACCCGTTCAAAACCGGGCGGCAGCTGGCGTCCGGAAGGATAGAGGTCCAAGCCTTCCGGCCCCAGCTCGGCGAAGCAGTAGACGTCCCGCTTCACCTTCCGATCTGGGAAGGGGTGGCGTTTGGGGGATCGACACATAACCATTTTTGGAGGCTTGGTGTCCGAAATGTTGCCACCCACTTGTTGCTATTTGGATCTGAAAAGAAAGAAAGTGTCTGAGTCCCCACTAAAAGGGGACACCCCCCAATCAAAATCAACCCGGGGTCATTAGTCCGGGGTTGGCATTCGGGGGGCCTCAACAAATCATTGCAGGCTGTCCAAAATGTTGCCACCCACTTGCTTCTATTTGTTTTTGCATGAGATGTGCACTTCACACGTTGACCATGCGGATGAACGATTCCCGCAGACCCTTTTATGCTTTGAAGGAGGAAAAGTCGCCCCGGAGGTTTGCAGGTTATGAGCCCAAGCCGCTCGCGCACATGGAGGTGATGAGGCGGCGACGGTCCGGCCAGGTAAGCCCTGGCGGGGAAGTCGAGGAGAGCCGGGCACTGGCCGGGGGCGAGCTGGTGGCGGACGAGGGAGAAGATCCTGAGATGGGTGAGCCGATGGAGGGTGATGACGCCCTGGAGGTTCACTCGGCAGATGGCCGTGCATCCACCAGGGAGGCATCAACGGCAAGATCGGCGAGGAGCTCATCGAGGACGAGGGAGACGTCACCGAGGGCCCTCAGGCCGCGCATGGATGATGAGCCTTTGGTGGAGAGGGAACCGAGCTCTACGGCCTCTAGGCAAAGGAGCGCTTCAGCGCAGAGCTCTATGGCATCTGCGAAGCCAGGGAGTACCACGAGGTCGAGCCCTTCGGCATCTAGGAGAGCGGGCTCTATGGAGAGGGCCGGTGATGGCCCGAAGGCAGGAGCGGAGGTGAATCCCTTTTGGTCCAAGAGGGTGCAGGAGGAGGTGAGGCTTCGTGAAGCGAGGCCGGAAGGACTGCCACCGGTCCCGGAGTCAGGTGATGAGGAGGAGCCGGTCAGGACACCTTTGAAGGCTGCGGAGGGAGAAGCAGCCGCGAAGAGGAATCGGGCCAGGGCCTTCATGTCGCCGGAGGAGCGGTTGGCGGATGAGAGAAGGGAGTTGGCCTTGCAGGCGGTCAAGAGGGATCTGAGACGGATCGGAGGAGAGGGTCCGCCGGAGGAGGGCGGGCGGAACAAGGGGCCTTCAGGCGGAGGCGGAGAGGATTGGGATGGCGCCGGAAGCGCAGGAGACAAGGGAAGGCCAGCCACACCTGAGGACCGTCTGGAGGGGGAACTCAGCAGGGTGATGATCGAGGAGTACGGTGCGGTCAACATGAACCTGGCTGAGGCGTTGCGGCAACGGAATGAGCTGCGACATAAGGTGGAGCGACTGGAGCTGGAGAAGATCGTGGTGGAAGCGGAGGCCGAGCAGAACCGTAGGATGGCGGAGCTGTGGGAATCACGGGCGCGGCAGGCTGAGAAGCACGTGGAGCTCTTGACGGACCAGATCACGGTGCTGGAACAACGGCCTCAGCAATTTCACACGCCGCAGCAAGAGGAGGAGCCGCAGCCACCGAGGCCGGAAACCCCCCCACCACCGCCTCCGGGAATTCGATCCAAGAGGCAAAAGCTGGAGATGACGCCGGGTGGCACCAGGGTGCCGCAGGATCCACCCCCTTATGATCATGAATGGCCAAACCCGGAAAACGGTTGGGTCATGGACGGGGTGAGTTACAAGCCGGCATGGGGGCGCTCGAGGTCTACGTCAAGGGAGGAGAAGCCGGCGGCAAGCCGACCGAGGTGGACAAGGTCGAGGTCGACTTCCAAGGACGGTGGTGAGGCACGGAAACCCGAGGAAGGGAAGCCAGCAACTCCAGTGGCGCCCCTGCTACAGCAGAAGCCAAAGAGTCGGCCGGAGGTCAAGGAGATGCCCAACGAGACTGGACGGGCTACGGATCTGCCGGAGCTGGTGGGCGACGGAAGCCCGCTGACATTTGGGGACTGGATGGCCACGATCGACCACTACATGAAGGACATCTCGACCTACAGCGCGATGTGGTGGGAGGAGGTGTGTGCTAGTGCGAAGGAGGCCTACGCGGAGTGGTTGGTGGCGAGCCCGTTGCAGAGACTGCGCATCAAGCCGGAGCTGCCGCTGGTCTGCATGGACTTGCCTCGCACTGAGCAGAGAGGGGTGGCCATGGTCCTCAAGGCGCTCCCGGAGAGCGTAAAGAAGGAGCTGGTGGCCAACAGGCAGTTGAGCATGGTGAACATCATCTATCGCCTGTACATCTTGTACCAGCCAGGAGGAGCCTCGGAAAGGCAGCAGATCCTGAACGCGCTGCTGGACACCAAGGGCGGGAACGCTTCGGAGGTAGCTAAGCAGCTGAGGTCGTGGAGGCACTGGAGGAAACGGGCGCTGGAGCTGGGAGTGGCGCTGCCGGATGCCACGTTGTTGGTGTCGGCCCTGGACAAGTTCGCTGCGGCTCTGTCGAAGCTGGATCAGCAGAGCAGCTACCGAATGTCCACGGTGAGAGCGGAGCTGAACCTGGACACGAGGCCGACTCAGGAAGCGGTGGAGAGCTTCGCGGAGTACCTCCAAGCGGAGTCCGAGACGGCGGAGTTGGCCAAGGGCGGCAAGGAGACCGCTCCCAAGGTGAAGGCGATGGGTGGTGCAGGAAAGGAGGAGGCTGGACCCTGGAAGCCATCGAGTGGTGGTGGGACTCCCGGGAAGCCGAGGGTGGTGGATTTGTCGAGGGCGTGCAAATGGTACGCGACCGACGCGGGTTGCAGGTTTGGCAAGAACTGCAAGTTTGCCCATGTGTGGGACAGCCTGGATCGGCAGAAGGAGCGGTGCTGGAACTGTGGAAGTTTGGAGCATCGCAAAGCGGAGTGCCCGCGGCCTGGGCCCCAAGGTGGCCCGGGAGGAGGTCAAGCTGCGGCTGGAGGGGGCGAAGGAGCCAAGAGGAGAGCCGGAACACCGCCGGGAAATAAGGGGGCGGTGAGGAAGGCTGCTGGAGGAAAGAGCCATGCGGCGGAACCGGTGGTGGAAGAAGAAATGGAGGAGGTCGTTGTTGAGGAGACTGGTGGGAAGGACAAGCTGATGGCAGAGGCGACGCAGCTGTTGAAGAGCCTCAGGATGAAGAAGCTCAAGGCGGCGAAGCTGTCAAAGATCGGGGAGTGCCAAAGTTGGGGGCTTCTTGATGGAGGGGCCACGCATGCGCTCAGGCAAGCGCGGAAGGGGGAGACAGGGGAGGACCGCATGGTGGAGCTTGCGGACGGCCGGGAGGTGGCGATGCAGATGACGGAGGGTCACACTTTGATCTGCATGGAAGCCACGCAGGTCATTGTGCCGCTTGGAGCGTTGTACCTGCTGGGCTACAAGATCCGCTGGGAGGAGGGTATCTGCTGCATCGAGCATGCGAGCCGAGGCCCGTTGCCGGTGAGGATGAGGCAGTTTTGCCCGGAAGTCCCGACGGAGGTGGCTCTGAGGTTGGTGGAGGAACTGGAGGAGTTCAACAAGGGGTTGCTCAGGAGGGCGGCGACAGCGGCGACCAAGAGCATGAGGAAGCCGGACGTCAAGAAGGGCCTGTGCGGCAGGGTGGCGGAGGCGTGGAAGAAAGGAGAGATGGAGAAGGTGAAGGGGGAGTTCGAGCAGCTCTTCCCGGAGGTGCCGGTGGCGCTGCTGGAGAGGGCCCTGGGCACAGGAGAAGGAAGGGGAATCGCCTGGAACCGGGCGGCGAGGAGGAGGCATGCCAAGGCGACAGGGTTGATCCTGCATCTCTTCGCCGGAAAGAGCGCGAAGAAGTTCAACTACGGGCAGTGGGACAGGGAGATCATTGCGGTGGACATCCTGTCGGGCCAGGATTTGCTTGAGGAGGACACCTTCGGGTACCTGGCTGGTTTGGCGGCGGAGGGAAGGACGGAGGGGGTCATGGGTGGACCGCCGTGTCGGACGTATTCCTACTGCCGGCATTTTGAGCCTGGCCCTTATCCGGTCCGAGGAAGAGGAGAAGAGCGGTTTGGCTATGAGGAGCTGAGCGAGGTGGAAGCAAAGAAAGTGGAGGGCGACAGCGTCTTGATGCTGCGCATGTGGATCCTGGCGGTGCTGGCGAATGGTGGCCGGGAGCTGGTGGGTCGGAAGGCATGGATGGTCAAGGAGCACCCGGAGGACCCGAGGAGCTTTGTCAGTGAAGAGGAGTGGGAGAGGGCCAAGGCCCGGGGGGGCGAACCGCCTTCGATCTGGGATTGGCCGGAGGTCGCGGCGATGGAGGAGGTGCTGGGACTCATCAGGGTGAAGTTCGACCAGGGTGCGATGGGCCACATAAAGAGGAAGCCGACGATGCTGTTGACCAGTATCAAGGACCTACGGCAGCTGGACGGCATGAGAGGACCTGGAGTTGGAGGAGCGGGGAACCGCGAATCCAGCAGCTGGGCAGAATGGGCGCCGGGGTTGGTGGCGGCGTTGGACGAGGCGATCAAAAGGGAGGTGGTGGCAGCGGCAAGAATGGCAAAGGCATCGGCAGAGGAGATGTGGAAGAGCCACGTCGAGAATGGCCATACCCCGTTTCGCCGAGACTGCAGGGCCTGCATCCAGGGGGGACTCAGAGGAAGGAGCCATCGGAAGAGGAGTCACCCGGCCTTGGCCACTTTGGCCATCGACGTGACGGGCCCGTTCAAGACGTCTAAGGAGGGGCATCGCTATCTGTTGGTGGGGTCGTACGTCACGGCGGTGGCGGAGAACATGGCCAAGGAAGATGAGGTGGAGAAGGAAGCCAGGGAAGAAGGGGAAGACCCGAGTGAGGACCCATTTGAGGAGATGTTTGATGAGGAAGGAGCCTTGAGGATAGAAGGTGAGGATAGAGAGGTGAGGGTAGAAGGTGAGGAGAGAGGAGCCGTGAGGGTAGAAGGTGAGGAGAGAGGAGCCGTGAGGGTAGAAGGTGAGGAGGACGAGAGAAGAGAAGAAGAGCATCCAGCTCCGGGGGGGCTGGAAGGTATGGTCACAAGGACCATCATGTTGGTGGAGCCGCTGAAGACCAGGAGAGCAGCGGAGGTGATTGCGGCTACGCAGTCGATGGTTGCCAAGCTTCGGTGGTGGGGTTTCGAGGTGACGAGACTTCATTCTGATCGAGGACGGGAGCTGGTGTCGACAGCGTTGAGGAGGTGGGCGGTGAGTCATGGGCTGTACAAGACGTTGTCAAGCCCAGATGAGCCGCAAGCCAATGGCCGGGCGGAGGCAGCGGTTGGCTGGGTGAAGCGGAAAGCACGGGCGCTGCTGCTGGCGGCGGGGGCCAACGCCAATTTGTGGCATGGAGCAGCGTTGCAAGCGGTGGAGATCAGGAACCGGAAGATCATGCGAGAGATGGGTTCTCCACAGCTGCAGCTGCCGGTCTTCGGTCAAAAGGTGGTGGTGAAGAAGAGGAGATGGAAGAGAGAGGCTTGGGAGGCGATCACGCAGAACGCCACCTATGTGGGGCCGTGCCCGGACATGACCTTCGGTTTGAGGGTGATGGATCAAGGGGGGAGCATCTACACGGTGTCGCAGGTTGTGCCGGAGCCGAGGGACCAGAAGGTGGACATCCCGGTGGTGGGTGAGCTGTGGACCAGGAGAAGGAGGCTGCGAGGAAAGCAGAGAGATGAGGAGGCTGGAGGAGCTGAGGAGGAGCCGAGAATCGGTAAGGTCGAAGGAAGTGAGGAGCAGGTGGAGGTGTCCTTGGACCCGGAGTGGGTAGGGGTCGGGAAGGACTGGATCGAGGCGATGGCAAAAAGACAGGTGGTGTGGTCGAGAGAGAAGGATCGGTGCCTGGAGTTGGTCATGGATGACTTGGAGATGGGGGGCACCGGAGAGGAGTGGGCTGAGGTGCTGGGAAGGTTAGACATCCAGCAGAGCTGCACGGAAGAGGAGATGGTGGAGGTCACCCGCGAGGAGCGCCCAAAGGCAGGACTGAGGGCGATGGATGTGGTGGCGGAAGAGGAGATGTTCCTCCAGACGAAGATTATCGGGCTGGAGCAGGTGAGGAGAGAGATGGAGCTGTGGGTGCCGACGATGAAGAAGGAGGTCGGTGCATTGCTGGAGAAGACAGCCATACGAGAGGTGAGAGAAGAAGAGGTGGATAGATGGGAGAGAGAAGGTGAGGCGGTGCAAAGAGCGCCGGGAAAGGCGGTGTTTACCCGCAAGTCAGGTGATGGGAGGAGGAAGTGCCGCGCGGTTGTCTGCGGCAACCAAATCCAGGAAGAGGTGGAAGGAGGGGCTGACGTGTACGCATCCGGCGTGGAGGCTGGCACGGTTCGTGCGCTGCTCCGGAAGGCGGCGGCTATGAGATGGTCGGTGGGCAGCTTAGACATCAGAACGGCGTTCTTGAACGCCCCGAGGAGGTCGTCCCATCGGGTGGTTGTGAGACCGCCGAGGATCCTCATCGATGCGAAGGTGGTGGAGCCGGGCGTCATGTGGGAGGTCACGAAGGCGCTCTACGGGCTGAGGGCTTCACCAGCCGATTGGGGGGCGCACCGGGATGATACCCTCAGGAGGTGGAAAGTGGACATCGGTGGGGGACAGGTGCTGGTATTGCAGCAGGCCTTTGCCGATGAGAATCTGTGGAAGATCAGGTTGGGAAAGACCACGGTGGGGTTCATCTGCTGCTACGTGGACGACATGATGATCATCGGGGAGCAGAGCATCGTGGAGGTGATGGCGGGTCACATCAAAAAGGAGTGGGACGCCACGGACCTGGAGTGGGCCAATACCGAAAAGGCGTTGAAGTTCTGCGGGGTGGAGGTGATGGTGAAACCAGGAGGAGGTGGAGAAATCCTCGTGGGACAGGAGGATTACATCAGGGATGTGATCAACCGGTACGGGAGTGAGGTGAAGGAGAAGCTCATCCCGGTACCGAAGGAGATCGAGAAGGACGGGGAGGACGAGGAGCAGGACACGGAGATGGTCCGGAGAGCACAGACGCTGTCGGGAGAGTTGCTATGGGCGACCCGGACGAGACCAGACATCAGCTATGGCGTGAATCGCATCAGCCAGCTGATTGCGCGGCAGGCGAGGCGGGCCTATGACATGGGAATCTACCTGCTGGGCTTCCTCAAGAAGACGATGGAGTGGAAGTTGGAGTTCGGTGCCGCGGCGGAGGGCCACGGGGAGAATGGGGAGTACGTGTATGAGAGGGGCATGAACACGGTGGAGGTCTATGCGGACGCAGGTTTCGGGCCGGATGGAGGCCGCTCGCAGCAGGGGGTCATCGTATGTTATGGTGGCTGCCCAATCCATTGGACGAGCACGAGGCAGCCGTTTGTGGCAAGATCGACCGCGGAGGCTGAGTTGTTGGCAGCCATGGAGGGGGTGCTGCAAGGGGAAGCCTGGGCGGAGATCATCGCCGACCTGGAGGACAGGAAGGTCGCATCGGTGTGGGACAGGGCGGGCATCGATGTGGAAGGGCGGGACCAGCTGAAGTCGTTGAAGCTGGTGATGATGCAGGACAATGCGGCAGCGGTCACGCTACTGCAGGGCCCAGGTGGGTCATGGAGGACGAGGCCACTGAAGATCCGGGCCAGGTCGGCCAGGGAGAGATTTGAGAATGGCTTCTGGGCGCTGCAGCACTTGCCGGGCGAGACGATGTTGGCGGACATCGGTACCAAGGCCTTGGGAAGCTCTCGCTTGAGAGCACTGGCCGAGATGATGGGTATGAAGATGGGCGAGAACGACGCGATCCCGGAGAAGGATGAGGACCTTGTGAAGGTCGGGGAGGGGAACGCGGCCAAGGTGAGGGCGGTGCACAGTATCGAGCATGAGCGAGGCCTGAAGGTCTTGACGGGCATCACGTGCATTATGCTGGCTGATGCAGCGGACATGGAGGATGAGGAGGCTTCCCGGGAGGAGCTTCTGTTTTGGACGGCGCTTTTGGTGGCGGTGGTGGCCGCGTGGGAGGCGCTGAAGTGGAGTGCGAGAAGGGCAGTAGGCGCGGTGCGGAACCTGCAGAAGGGGGAGGATTGCGGGAGTATGTCAACTACCGGAGGTGGAGTGAAGGTGAAGACTATGCAGGGTGGTAAGGAGAGGGCAAGGCAGAGGTTGCTTGAGAAAAGGGCAGACAGAGAGAGCTCCGAAGAAGGGCAGGAACGGAGCACAGAAGGAGGAGGAAGGCCGGGCAGCAGTAGTTATGCAGGGTGGAAAGTTGGAGGTGGAGATGTGAGGCAGCCCGGGTTGGCGCCGGAGAAGAGTTCTGCGGCGGAGTGGAAGGTTTCCTTGGATGAGGATGAGACAGTGGTCTGGGAGGATGTGAAGAAGATCTTCCCGGGGATCGTGAAGGAGCCGGTGGGGACGGAAGACCGCTGGTTGGAGAAGGGCGGCTACTACATCAAGATGCACTGCAGAAGGAGGGTCACGGAGTTTGACCCACGGAGGGGGCACATGCCGAGGGAGAAGATTGGGCCGGAAAGGATCACGGTGATGAGGACGTCAGGGCCTGTCTTCGTGCTGGGCGGCGACTACACGGTGGGGTCGCGGTCTGGCCTGAGGGAGTTCGTGGGTTTCACGATCTTCAAGAAGCTGGAGGTGGGGTCTTGAGCTGGCGCCAAGGAGCGCAAGGTGGCTGAGAGCGATAAGATGCTCGACGCCATACATTTTGGCTGTTGGCACAAAGTGCCAAGGGGGGGTGCATGAGATGTGCACTTCACACGTTGACCATGCGGATGAACGATTCCCGCAGACCCTTTTATGCTTTGAAGGAGGAAAAGTCGCCCCGGAGGTTTGCAGTTTTTATTGAAATTGGGGCTGTGAGGTACTTGGGTTCAAGTAGTTGCAATGGGTTGAATTATGGGGCTTCTTTCCGTACTCGCTTCAGATCAGTCCATCGTGCTTTGGGTTGACATTGAGCAACTTGGGCTCTAGGGTACTTTGAAACAATTGCCTCATGATGGTGGAAGAATGCTTGCAACTGCTTAACCCTCTAGCGTAGACCGCCAAGCCAGCTCTTTTTAGGCAAACGCCGGAGAACTTGTCAACTTAAGCTCTAGTTCTACCCCACCTACACTACAAAAGTGCACCTCTCAGAGTCTCAGAGGTCGAACCGCTCCTTTTCGCCTTCCCCACCTTGACCCTCCGACACGGACATACCTGTCACCTCGAGCCAAGAGGTGATACATTGGAGGGTCCAGGTGCAAACCGATCGGCTGGGCAAACTAGCTCCCCGGCACATCTCAGAAGGCTCATTCCCGCTCGCGATCTTTGGGTTTGCTTACTGTTGTCGAAACCCATCTAGGCAAGGCGTAAAGCTTGAATACAGTGCATATCCTTCGGGTTGGAACCAACTTACTTGCCGGTGCTCTGCAGGGAATGAGAAACGGAATGACCCTCATACACCATCCCTTGCTGGTGGTTTCCTTTAAGAAAACCAAAGACTGGGTTCATTCAACCACATTCCTTGCTGAGCACCAGCAAGTTTGATGCTGACCCCGGAATAATAAACCCTCGTTTATTCCTATGGGGTGTGTTCCCTTATAAACCCCCACTAAAACCAGAATTGGACACCCCCGATTTGAATAAACAGGGGTTGATTCAGCCGGGGTCAGCATTCAGCGACTTGTGGCGCATCTTCCCACCTGGGCGCCAAAGCCGCAGTAGTTCTGGCGCCACACGCCGCCCACCTCCTCCGCGCGCTCGAAGAGCACGATCTTCTGGCGGGCCAATTCACGCGCACGGTGGGTCGCGGTCGCAGTCGCCGTCGCGCGAAGTCCCCTAGTCTTGGAGGGGGAACCGGAACCTTGGAAAATCTCCAAAATGGTGATGTTGCCTTTGGTTTCCCTTTTAAGCCGCCCCAAAACGGGTACCTCTCAAGCAAGACGGGAATGAAGTTGAATTGGGGACGCTTTGCTGGAGATATTTACATGGAGATTGATGTCCACCAGTTTTCAGAGTATGTCTTTCAAAGTTCATAGCCATACTGCTTTGTCTCAAAAGGCTTTTCCGTGCTATTTGGAGCATCCGTGGTGCCAGCAACAAGCTTCGGAAAGCTCTGCACCGATCACCGGTCCAAAAGAGGGATGAGACGCCTCAAAGCATGAAACAAAAAACCCAATGGATGCACAACCACCTCAAGCGCTTGAGTGCCGCCCCATAGGCCACGAGGACCCTTTTGAACAGATTGATGAATGCCACAGGCAAATGAACAGTAGAATCCATCCATTTGCAACTGAAAAGACATTCTGGGTGGATGACTTCCTGTGGGTGTCCCTTCAAATTCCTTTGGGAATCTCTTCAAACCTGCCGCAACAAAAAAGGGGCTCCTCCGAAAGAAGCACACACACACACACCGATCGAGTCCAGTATCCACCTCGGTCCCGGGCAGCTGCTGAAGCGCCCGGAGGGTCTGGAGGCCTGACAAAAAGCACATGGGGCTGCATTCGAACGGTGGGTGGCCCTAAAGTATGGCTGCAGAAAACCAGTCAAAGGGCTGGGGTGCAGACAACCATACAGGTTAGAAATTTTCAGAGGGTTGAGGTACAGGAAAATGATGTAGGAAATTCTACAGGATGTTTGGGGCCGTGTCCTGTAGATGTTCCTGTAACCAAACCCCTTGAACCATGGTTGAGTTACAAACATGGTTGACTTAGAAGTTAGCACCATAGTTCACAATGGTTGAGTTGTGGCAATGGTTGAGACATGGCCATGGTTGAGTTATAAGTTGTACCCATTGGTTGAGTCATAACCGGTTATAGTCCATCCATCAGCACCAGGCGATCGGACCCCGTTGATTAGAACCCGTATGGGTCCCTGAACTGGTCTTGGTGGGTCTACCCTCAGTCATTTTCGGACGTGAGCGGAAGGCCTCGAAATTGATGGGTCGGAATGAGGTCGCAACAATCCGCCCAAATCATTCCGTTTGCGCATAGCAAAAAGGGGGGACAGGGCCATATGAGCCAAATGGCTTCCGCCTCCGCTGCTTCTTCCAACATCTAGGGTACTGATAACCCCGGATTAATAAACCCCTGGTTGATTAATAGGGGGTGTCCCCCTTTAGTGGGGATTCAGACCACTTTTGGAGGGAACACCCCCCTAATAACGGGAGGAGTTTATTAATCCTGGGTCAACCCTTGCAAGTGGTCTCACTTCCTGGGTGGTTCCGATCCCTCGATCCCTCGATCGATCCCTTCAGATCCCCGGACCCGCCTGCGACCCCGGCGCCCACGATGGCAATGCTCCGCGGCGCAGCCGAATAAGCCGCGGCCATCGGCGAAGCGGAGGAGCCGGCGCCGGGTGAAGCGAAGAGCGGGGTGGATGGGCAGAATAAACACCCCCTATTAATAGAATACGAATACTGTTTGTTAGTATGGGGGCGTCCCTGGTTTTAGTGGGGATTCACTTTTGGAGGGGAACACCCCCCTATTCATAAACTGGGTTGATTAGTAGGGGGTCAACATGATTAACCATGAGTTGCAAGGAATCCTGCTTTCCAATCAGAAAAGTTTGACTCCTCAAAAAGGATGGTCTTCCAAAGCCATCAGCATCCTAGGCTTCAACAGTTTTACAGCTGCAGTTCAGTTGGCGCGATCGCTGCTCAGCCCGGCTTGGAGGCCAGCTTTCGGGACCCGCCTTTGCAGCCCTACGATTTGTTTGCTTTCATACCCCCCAAAAAAAACCGCCCACTTCCAGCAAGGGATGTTCGCTTTCATACCATAGAAAACAAACAAAAAAGCAACGTCCACACGTTTGCCAGTAAGGGATATCCTCCCATCCGCTAACATGGAACCTGACTCGGAGTCCGTGAGGCTTTCTGGATAGATCCCGTTCAGGTGTCGGCAGGCGCTTATAATTTTGACCTCCCCGATGTTCCCCGGCTTGGTGCCCGCGGTGACAAAGTCAACCTTCTCCTTCACCTCTCCATGATTAGAGGTAGGCCCAGTTGTAGAATGTTATATTTTATTGTTTGCTTGACCTTGAGTCACTGGTAAAATGAAAAATGCATCCCAAGTCTACCCCAGTCTCTGGGTTTGAGGGGTGTGTGCAAGTGACGCCTTGCGCCCAAGCAACTCAACAGCGCAATGGCGCCTGAGCCAACTGCGGATGGAGTGCCCTTTTGAGATCAGATCTCTCACTGAACGGAAGTATCCCGCGCAAGAAGTGGAGAACAACTCCAACTCGGACGGGTTCAGTGCCATCATGACATTCTGCCGTCTTCCTAAAGCGGACACATGTGGGAGAAGCAGAGAACATGGCCATCGTCATGCTCTGCACTTCCCAGTACGCAGCCTGGTTGGAAAACTGAACTAACAAAAGGGGCCAAGCGATTGTGCTGACAGTCTACTCCTGCAGTCATGACGAATTGTGGAACTAACAAAAAGTACTGAGCACCGCCAAGCTGGTGCCAATCTTTTTACATAAAAAACTCCCCCCCCTTTTCGGCCATGTCTACAAAGAAGCGGCCACCAACCCAAGGCGTCGCTTCGGCTCGTCCTTTCGTAGCGGTCCGGGGCAGGGGCCGCGTGCTTCACCGGCTGCTCCAGATAGCCTTCAGCCCGCTCCCTCCTCGGGCGCGGAGAAGGCCGGAGGGTTGGCTTTGTGGGAAAAAGACGGGGCCGGGCGCGTTCACCCCAGGGCATCACCAGAAAAGATCGGAGGCATGGGGAAAAATCCGAGGCCCAGGTGTAGAATGTATATCTTGTTGCTTGCTTGACCTTGAGTCACTGGTAGAATATAAAATGTATCCTAAGTCTACTCCAGGTGATAAAGGGTTGACACATTCAGAACACTGCAAGACCATCCTCCTTTTTTCGAGGCCTCTGGCAAACCTTCACTTCACATGGAAAATGAAATTCAGGATCAACCATGGCCCTCTTTGGAGTCAGAAGTTGCAAGCAACGGCACTTCGGCCATCCCCTGATGTTGCCCTCCAACCCGCGAAGGAGCGTAGGTTGAAAGAACAGGTCCGGGGACAAGCAGAAACAAACCGGGCACCAAAAAGCCGGGGCAAGACACTGGCCAGGCGCGCTGACTTCTCAAAATGACTCAAGGTTCAGGCACATGATGGTGGTTTGGAGCCCGGTGTCTTGGTTGTTACTGGGTGATTTCCCCTTTACCTCCACAAGAACCAGAGGCCAGCTTGCCAAACCACCAATCCAAACCTATATTTAGGGTTACCTGAGCTGAGAGGAACGTCTTTGCCATCTCATCGCCCAGCGCTGCGTCCGAGCTTCAACTTCCGAAGTATCATCCCCGCGATCCTGAGATGCGACCACGCGCAGGCAGTATTTTTTTCCTTCTTCTTCTCTGCACGCAAAGGGCTACCCGGTCATCCACATGCCTCCAGAGAAACCAAGTCTTTCCTCGCAGGAGGTCCATCCCACTACAGCAGCTAAACGTGGACCTTGCGGTAGCGCACCCAGGCGACGGCGTTTGGGATAAATAGATGGCGCAGGTAAACGCATCTGGCTTCAGCCAAACAGACCGGGTTGAAATAAAGGACACCTCTTTTTTCAGCCTGCCGGATTTTGAGGGAACCCCCAAACAAATATATATGTATATATACATTAAAGAACGGTGGAAAGGTCTGCATTCTACCAGACACACACACACACACACACACACACACACACACACACACACGCCCCAAGACCCAAAAAAAAGGTCCACCCAGAGACCCAAATGGTCCGAGGCCAAGCCGGGCGGCTCCTCTGGTCTCAGCTGCTCCTCGAGTCGAATGGCCCATGGCCACTGAAAAGGGAAAGCGACAGCGATGCCAATGAGAATTTGGGGGTGCCTTTAAGCACGTCACGTTCAAGACATGAGGCAACACACATTGAAACTGAGCGAGAGAGCGAGAGCGAGAGAGAAATAGAGAGTGAGAGCGGCACTCGGCAGAAAAGCCGACCCCCTTTATGGCCCAAACACGCTTTCCCAGCTAAGAGCGACATGTTGCTTGAAACCACGACACGTCGTGCGACCTGAGCTTGGGCTCACCCAAGGGCAATCAAATACCCCTCGGGTCAGAACAACACACCCTGGAATCAAACTCTGAGGATGGATGGCTTGGGGTTTTGAAACCAAGCCCAACCCTTGTTTGACGTTGGAAGGGGAGCAGAAATTCAAACTTTTAGCCGTTAAGTGGTTGGATTTCAACCACTAAACCACAACACGCAAAAATGCAAACTGTGTCCCAGGAACAGCCATGAACCAGTCCCAACGAAAACACTAAAACACGCGCTTCAGCACCCGCCTTGCCCACGAGCACCGCGGCTTGGCCATCCGAGTCCGCCACCACCTCTCGCGGTACTTTCGCGGATTCGTTGGAGTTTTCCGAGCTCCCATTTGGCTGAGGAGTGCCTGGATTTTCCCAACTGCACCTGGGGGTTGCTCCAAATGGGTGTCTCTTTTTTTGAGGGTACCCTTTTGGGCGTTGGTTTGAAGGACTGATACAAGTGTGTCCGATTTTTTTTGAGGGTACCCTTAGCAACCGAAGACAATTTTTGGGGTACCCCTATTTTTTGACACAACCCCCATACATGTGCGTGGCACGTTTCCCGCATTTCGGAGAAACTGCGCAGCAAACGGATGGGATCTGTGGGATAGGCCCGCCAGACACAAAAAAAAAAGCCGCCCTGCGCGCTGTACCTGCACATGTTCACCCTCCAGGATCTAGCCTTTGCAAGGATCCCAGCATCCCTATCAAGGGCATTTTCAGGTATAGGTTTTGAGGTCTGGAGGCTACCTACCACCTATATAAGGGATATATGCTGACAGAAATACCTCAAAAACCCAGACACAAGTGCCTGACACTAGGAAAACACCACAACCATCCCTCCAGGAGTTGTTTACAAAGAACGCACCGAGAACACCCATTTGCTCTGGCTGTGCATGCGGCCATGCTCGTGGTTCACTCCAGTCTTTGCTCGCGATTGTGGTTCCTTGTGGCCAGTGGGTATCCAAATCCAGGGGCCCTACTTGGGATGCGCCGTCGGAACAGAAAAGTTGGCAGTGCAAACCGCAAAGAGGTTTTATTTAAAGGGGGCCACCAAATGAGGGGGCCAAAAGCAGGAAGGGGTAGCTTGATTGCAGTTCAGGGTAAGCTTTCGCGATGTACGTAGGTGTTTCCTAAAATTGGCGACCCCCCATAGTGAGAATCATGCACGAGAACGGTCCCCCAATGTTGGCCCATGACCTAAAATCCAGCACCCTAGTTCTTTTGGACAAATCAATGGGTTGCGGGAAATGAAACGGGCAAAACTGAAACCGGTGGATTTCATCTTGTTTCAGTCAAATAGAGACCAGAAAGGACACTTGGAGTCACCCTCACCGGCGGATTCCCGCCACATTTTCGTTTGAATGAACTTTCAGTCATGGCAACTGACCGAGGGCAAGCCAACCAACAGCACTGCTCAAGCAGCCCTAACTGTCAGAAAGATGTGGATCAATCCGCGCAGAACTCCAGACTCATGCAACCCCTTAATTATATTTGGTCTACACCTGTCCCAGTCTTTCGCCAATTCCAACAAAAGCTGCCCCGGCCGAGCCTTGAAGGGAAGCGCTTTGATGTCCCTCTGCAGCGCATCGTCCTGCCCAGTTGCAGAGGACTTCCTTTTCAGGTGACGTCAAAATGCACCAGGAAACTTGAGGTTTTCTCAAAAAACAGGCATCAAGCTGCTTTAAGTACCAGGCCCGGTTCCCAAACGATTCAAATTACTACGGACCATCGCGGCCCACCGGCGACTCACGGATTGCGGTTGATGGCTATGGGCCAATTGCCAAGCTTTCATCGGAAGGCGAGTGAGTTGACAAAGTGGAGGGGAAAACAAATGCAAACCCCCTCCCAGTCGGCAATGATAGCTACAAACCCACAAGATGCAGAACAGCCAAAGATCAAAGATCCAAAACTCGGACAGGGGCCAGAAATGGGGCTTCCCTAAAAAGAAAATAATAAAGCCCATTTGCGTCGGCGCGCATCCGGCATCTTACGAACTCGTCACATCCAAAAAGAAGCCCTCAACGGCCACAGCGCCCCGTCTGCCAACGCCTTAAAGGTGCGCCCAATCAGGCGCTTCACGTCGAACCTGAGACAGAGAGCATTGGAGAGGAACCGCTTGTGACTCGCTGGCACCGGTTTCCCCCGCAATCGCCTCTCTCTTGGGTGGTGCCTATGTCCACCCCCCGTCTACCTGATTGCTGTGGATCCACCCCTTACAAAGATTGCCTTCAACCCACCGGGGCAATTTTTTTCTGGAAGGAAACCCAAATTCCGAAGCTCCAACCCATCCGCAACTTCCACACTCCTACTATACAGAAAGATAGGTCGCCCAAGCACCACTCTCCTAAAATCAGGGATCCCACAAACCGAATCATCAGCTCCTTCAGTTGGCTCCAATCAGAGCCTCTGAGTCTGAACCCGAACGCGCTCCGAGCGCGCCGAGCCGCTCTGTCTCGGTCGAATTCGTCGCGCATCCGAGGCGCACGGTGCGCTGGGGCGCTGCGTCCGCCAGGTTCTTCGCGGCTTCGCCCACGAAGGTCTCCTGAAGCTCCGATTTAAAGCGAAGGACCCATCCTTTGATGGAAAAGAATGAGGTCCTCCAGTAGAAAAATTCGAAGGGTGCAATCAGGGTGCCCGTTGTTTTTTCCTGTAGTCTATTTTAGTAGGGGAACCCTCCCTCAAAAAAGGGTAAAAGGGCACTACTGGGGTAGATTCTCGTTAATTTCCACAAACACCCTCATCCCACCCAAAGGAATCTACCTGAACAAAGTCGACCAGGTCCAGCACCTTCTAGCAAATGGAGTGAAAAACCAAGGGCTCCGGGACATGCGGACGGGGAGGCCTCGGAATCCCGGGGAAGATCCGGACGCCTGCCCTTTGGGCATTGTGACAATGCAACCATACAACGGCAGGAGGAGGGCAAAATGTTCTCGAGAAACAAATCCCCCGCATCGCAAAACGTGGGGCGATTTGGAGCCACACGGAAGCAGATGCCGCGGGCCGCAGCATCTGCGTTGAAGATGTTAGGACTGTGAAAGGCCGGCCAGCTATGTAAACGTTGGGCGCCTGTTTGCGCAACCTCTGGGTACGCCGGTTTTGAGTCCCTCCCCTGAGACCAGCCCGTAACGTCCTTCCTTTCAGAGGGACCGGTTGTGGAACGGGGAACGCACCGCTGGCAAGAGCGATTGACTCATCGGAAGGGGAGCTGCATGTGTTTTTTTTTCTTTTTGGGGCACTGAGTGTGAGTGTGTGTACTGAGTTTTGAGGGAAGGTCAAGTTGACACATTCTCCCAAAACAGGACGAGTGTGGTTCTGGCTCCACGCCATTCCTTGGCGCGGACACCAAAATACGCCAGAAGCGGAATGTCAAGTCTCCGCCGAAAGATAAGTCAGAGTCGGCCTGAACCGCTCGTTCGTCGCTCTTCCAAATCTGCCACTAAACATGAAACAAACAGCACGGCCAACACACACTATTCTTCTCAAGCAGTAACTCAAAGGAGGCTACATTGGATAAAGGAAGCTATGTTTAGTACAGTAAGCCAAAACTAGCGAGCCGCATCGGGCAAACCTTCTGTTTCTGGTGCCAAATTTCAACACAACGCAACTGGTTCTGCAAGTCAGCGTCCCCTGGCGCGCCTTCTCATCGGTAAAGGCTACGTAGGACGGCATGATCCGGTTGCCTGCAGCAAGCCCGTTTCTGCGAACGTGAGGAGTCGAAGAGCGCAGTTCGTAAGACACCGTGACGCACCAGGCACCTGTCTTCGACTTCACATCCCCAGTTCGGGATGAGATAAAACCGGAGGATTGTCTATGCTAAGGCTCACTTGGCGTACCTCCAAGAGGAAAACCGGCAGTTTTCGGGCACAGAACATGTTTCCAATGAGGAGTCCTGGAAGGACCTGGGCAATACGAATTCTCCTGGTATGCATCATCCACGGGTTTCGTGAAACTCCTTAGGCAGTCTGAAAAGGACCGCCCTCCACACCTTCCATCCACACCTTCCCCGCGCCTTGCTCGCTGGGGATGATTTCCACCACCCCATGCCTCGAGCAAAAAACGTCGGCACCCGAGCTCAGAGTCATGGGCGATTCAACCCCGTCCTCAGATCCCCTGCTAAAAGCAGACTACCACTAAACCGGCTAAAAAACACGAAAAAGCGACAATTCGCTGGGAACCGCCAAGCTTAATATAGTACACACATCTAGAGGTTTCTCAGTGCGACTTGGCGTTTCGCGCGCCCAAGCACTTTGCAAGGGCAGTTGAACAGCTGGTCAGGTGCCTGAAGGCAGTTGAGCAGCAACTTGACCATTTAGTAGGCGGTCTGGCTTCATGTGGATAAAAGCTGCTGGCCTGTGCAAACCTTTCGAGCCATCTTTCTGCAATTGGCTGTGGGTCAAAACCCAGGAAACCCCTGGTGAACATCCAAATAGGTGGCAAATGGATGTTCATCCACCCCAAAAATGGCTCGCCATAGCTTCTGCCCCAGGCCCAATTGCGTGTGGCTCAAAATTGAACGATCGGGCCGGTTTCTGCGGGTCTTGGTCCATGTGTCCACTTCCCGATCGAAATGGCGACCCCTTTGGGAGTTCCGGCTTTTTGGAGCCGATCCGAGGCGCCGGAAGATGCCCACGCACGAGAAGGTGGTGCCGAAGTCGATGCCTCGAGTGCCCAACTCTTCCCCGGAAACCCAAAAAAACCCGCGCCGAGGTGTTCATCCCTCGCCCCACCCCCACCCCCGCCCATGTTCAGGGCGTCTTGCCCGTTTTCCGAAGAAAAATAAGAAAACTAAACGGGGGAATCCCCAACCAAAGACCTCGTTTCGAGGAAACCGAAGAAGCAAACCTCTAGTCTTGGCAATTACAAGGGCTCCATTTAGGGTACCTATTTTTGACCCGCAGCCAAATGGTTGGTGAAGTGGACAAAAGTGATGTCAAGGGTCCTCAACTCAAAATCCTGCTCATTTCGGCCAAGGACTATTGTTCATAATTCCCGCGCTCCTTCTCTGCTTTTGTTGGAGGGGCCGCCCCGCAAAGTCCTGAAGCCTTCAAACCCCCACCCCTGGATGCTGAACAGTGATATCTGGACAAATTGAAAAATGGCCCATCCCCTGTTGGTCGCCTCTAGGGAGGCAAATTCACAAAAATCTGGGCTGTTTAACAGCCAACGGAGTTCTGATTCTACCCCAAAATGGGATCCCATTGGTTTTGACCCGCAGCCTCCTCGCTTTCGTTTCGGCCAGCGGCCAATGACGGGGCCGTCCACCTTGTCTCCAGCGACCAACAGGACCAGCACCGCAAAGAACCCCAGCATCCTGCGGGGCGACGCGGCTCCAGCCGGGTTTTTGGGAGTTTGGGGGACCACCTTTTGGTTGGCTTCCTTTAGAGGAAGCCAAGGAAGCCAACAGTAGCCAATCAAAATAGCTTGGGTCTGCTCTCCCCAATTGGTTATGTGCAGGCCCAAAGTCCCCCAAGGACCAGAATCATATTGGCTCCTTTGCGAATCTTAAAGTCTTATCCTCTGAAATCTAGGCTGTTCTTGCCCTGATCTTAGTCCCGGCCAACTGGCCTCGCCTTGCTCGCTTCCCTGCCACCCAGGTGCCCCGCCTTGGGCTCAATCCAGCCCCTTTCCTTCAGGGCGCGCTCATGGCCCGCAAAGCCCGACAATCTAGCTTCAGTTTGGCCTAGGAATCGATCTGTGGAAATTCCCATGATTCACGGAACTAGAAAAGGGATGCCCAAGGAACTTTCATGCACCGCACTTCGAGACCCAAACATCTCATCTTGACTTCGCTGGTAGCCATCGAGGGCTCGTGGTCGTCGACGGTCATGCTGCATGCACGGTTGCCAGTCTTGTGCGGGGCACTGAGCCAACAAGCTGCTGGCAGAGAGCTCCGGACAAACCCAGAAACCTGACGCCCGCGACAAGGCAGGGCCTCAGGGGGAAACTGCAAACCCCGCGCTTTATGGGTTGTAATGTTGACCCCACATGAATCAACCCCGAGTTTATTCATAGGGGTGGGGGGCCCCTCTAAAAGTGGTCTGATTCCCCACTAAACTCAGGCTGCCACACCGTCAACTTTCTGGGACCTGGCTCCTTTTGAGGGCCTTCCTGTCAGATTCCCTGGCGCCCGAAAGACCTGGTAGAGTGCAGGACACAGGTGGAAAATAAGGGGATTCCCTACAAAAGGGTGACTTTCTTCGTGGTTTCCCTGAAGCCAAAGCATCCCAAGTGACCCAAAACGAGACTCAAGGTGAACTCCGGTGGTGTGGCATCGTTGCGTTTCATGGCGAACTCGACATGAGTCTTGCGTGCATGGGGGGTTGATCAATATTCCTGGGTCACTTTTCCCATGTGGGAACGTCATACTGTTGGTGGTTCTCCCTGGTAATCATCCCATGTGAAGGATCTTTTGATGTCTTTCGATCAACCCGCATTATGGTTGCGGTTCTTTTCAGACACCCCTCGGGAGGTGGAAGCCAGAAGCCACGCCACTCCCCGTTTTCCTCGTTGGGCCTGAGACAGCCATGTCGCGGGCAGATTCGGCTACGGATCCGCCCGCAGAAACTGAAGCCAGCTGTGGCCAGCTGCGGAGCCACACGGGAAACAGCCCCACCCCACCTGGCTTAAGCGGCTTCCCTGCTTTCAAAGCAAAATCTACTACAAGGCTCCAAACAACTAGAAAGCGGCTGCATGGTATTTGGAAAATGGGGATCCATGGTATTTGTTTAAATTACACCAACCTCGACCCCAAACAGCAAAAAACATGACAGGTCTGTATAACCCAAGAAAGGCTTGTCTCCTTCATGTAAGGTGCGAAATTGAGTAGCTTATGTGAGCAACACATAGTTACAATCAGTCCATGTGTGTCCCGTTTTTTAGGAAGAGGACACATCGGGTCCATCCATCTCCACGCCGGGTTTAAGCATCGATGTTGTTCATCGACTTCGAGGAGAAAATTCCATGTCAATGCCATGTTCGAGAGTGAAGGCCCCGGGGATTCGGGGTGAATCAACCTAACACCTGGCATTAATCAAAGGAAGCTTCGAAGGAACTTTCGTAGTACGGACACTCAATGCACTTTTCCATCACCGCAGCATTTGGTGGCCGTCTCGCTACTCTGCTGCTGAAACTTGCGCATCAGTCTCAGCAGCTTGCGGCCGAGACTGGACACATGCCACTTCTGGTTGCTACGAGTATCTTCTTCTCGAGCTCGGCTAAAGGTCTTGCCACAAGCAAAGCAAGAAAACACTTGCATAAACTTGCAGACTGCGCCTTGTAGCGTTACGGCCGGGACATCCTCGCCTAGCAACGCAGACACACGCCGCGCCAAATTGGCAAGCGTCAGCAAAGGTGCCCGTAGGTGCGCCACAAGGACGCAAATCATTCAGTTACGGCCACTTGGCTGGGCTTTGATGCGCCACAAGGATGCAAACCAGTCAGTTAAGGCCACTATGCGCCACAAGGATGCAAACCAGTCAGGTTAGGCCACCTGGCTGGGCTCTGCTGATGCGCCACAAGGATGCAAACCAGTCAGTTACGGCCACTTGGCTGGGCTCTAGCGAAGACAAGCAGGAGACACGACCCCAGAGCCGGCGTCACAAAAAACGGGAGATGGGAGACACAGGGAGACAAGCGGGAGACACAACCCCGGAGCCAGCGTCACAGCATCTGGCATCCGAGACAAGCGGGAGACACGACCCCATCACAGCATCTGGAATCCGACTGCAGAGACTGCGAGACAAGCGGGAGACACAAACTGGGGCCAGAGTGACAGCATCTAGCATCTGACCGCAGACTGGGAGACACAGAAAGACCCTGGAGCCAGCGTCACAGCATCTGGCATCTGACCGGAGAGACTGGGAGACAGGAAGACAAGCGGAAAACAGGACCCCGGAATCGGCGTCACACTTTCCCATTCTCTATACCTCAAGTTAGAACCCCAATGCTTCGCTGTTTGGGGAAAAAAACAAGGGGCAATCATCTTTCTTTCGCCCCTTGCACTTTTGTGAAGGCAAGGCCCCTCTGCCTTCCAGGATGCGGGGAGCTCTTTCCCGCACCCAAAACCCGCAAAGCCACCGCCTGCTTTGATCCAAAGGCCAAACCGGTGCACCTCCCACTCCAAAGGCCGAGATGGAGCCATACTGAGACCGTCCCAAGCATCGGTGTCTTTAGGGCAAATAGATGGGTTTCCTGGATGAGCAAAAACCACCAGGTAAACCAGGAATCGAAACCCATCTATTCTTCGACCAAAACAGCCACCAAGTCGACACCTATGACTGGGACTCTGAGGTCCCAAGCCCGCGGAAGTTTCGAGGTGTCGGTCTGGGACGCGGTATGTTGGTGTGTTCCCCCAGTCTGGGTGCGAAACTTGGCCAACTGGCCGGTCCAGGCCACGTAGGATCGCCCGCAAGGGGAAATTGCAAAAGATCCCCATGTGAGCCCTTGGTGTAATCCCCCCCCCCCCCAATACGCCGAACAATAAAAAAACTGGCTGCTGGAGTGCTTCTTCCCTGCGAGCTTCGCTTCGTGGCCCGTCAAGAGTCAGTTCAAGAAGCTGAGGCGGGCGGCTTCGAGTGAAGCGCCTGTGCAGAACTCCCGCCGTCACAAGGCAGGGGAAGACCACCATGGGAAGTTGCGTCCTTTCGGTTTCCCTGTAAAAAGAAAACAAAAAACACCCAGCTGGCCAGGCCATGTAAGCCAAAGAGGGTATGGGAAACTATGCCATGCCTTGTGTGTCAACAAATAAAAGGGGGGGGGGGGGGAAAAGGAGTCCATGTTGCGGATGACGATTTGACAAGGTCCATCCATGGGGTCTCTTGCCCAATCCCCGATGGAAACCGGGCAAGCCGTGAGTCGGTGGTTGCCTGAGAAGGGGCACCCCCACAACTGCTGTCATCTCTTTCTCCTTCATCCCTATGGAAAACCCAACTTGATTTCCCAAAAGGTCCAAAGATCCAAAGATCCAACCCAGTCAACAAAAAGGACACCTCAGCCAGGCAAGACGCCAAGGGTCCCGCGGCACGCCAAAGTGGCGACGAGAACTTCCAGAGTGGCCAAACCCAGGGATTTGGCTCGGGGGATCCGGATCTGAACGTTGCAACTTGTACATGGTGGCAACTCCAACTTTAGTTTGGCGGTGAAAAAGCCAGCAACATGTTTCAAATGGTTGCAAAAAGAATGGAGAGCTTTTCTTCGGAGCCCTGTGGGCGAAAACTTTGACCTTTTGGTTCTTGAGGGATGGAAAAACCAACCGCACCACAGCCGAGGCTATGACCTGGGCCCAACCTGTAGGTCAGCCACCTTCAAAGTCCACAGTCGGGTTTTTCCTTTTTCGGCAAAACCACCACCAGCACACAAAACGTCCGAAATCACCTGACAATCCCTGAGGAACATCTGACATCACCGGGCAACACCTGACACATCTCAAAACATTGGGGGAAACTCTTGAAAACCTGTAACAACGGTCTATCGCAACTTTAAGCACACCTAGTAACATGTGAACACCACTGACCCCCCTCCGGAAGAAGATATCGGGCAATATCTGACATCTTCTGTGACCACACCTGAAAACATTTGAAGATCTCCGAACAACATCTAAAAACCTCTGAGCAGCATCTGAAAGCCTCCGAATAACATCTGAACAACAGCTGAAAACTCTAACAACATCGAACAACACCTGCAAGCCTCTGAAAACCTCAAACCTCCAAACACTTCTGATAAGCTCTGAGAATATCTGAAAAACGCTGAAACAAAAATGTCTGAACAATGTCTGAAATCATCTGAGCAACATCTGAAATGCTCTGAAAACCGCTGTCAGTCCCTGAAAAAGAACTGACAACATCGGAAAACTTCTCTGACAACACCTCAAGTCATCTGAAAAATTATCTCTGACAACATCTGAAAATTTCTGAAAATAGCTGACACCCTTTTAACAACGCCTAAACTCTGAACAGCATCTAAAGCCTCTGAGCACAACAACATCCTGACTGAAAACCTCTGAACAACATCTGGAAACATGTCAAATCCTGGAACAGCGCCCAAAATCATCTGAACATCCCTGATTAGCATCTCAACAGCTCTGAACACTTCCGAACACATCTAAAGCCCTCTGAATTCTGAACAACATCTGTGCAACCCGCTCAACCGCCTTCCTTCTCCCGGCCTCGGTTGGCCGCCCTTTCCGCGCCCTCACAGCCGGGACGCGGCCCCTCGGCCTCGGCCGAAGCATCTGGCGAATTTGCCGAGCCCTTCCCAGGCGCGACTGGGAAGGCCGTTGGTATTTTCATTGGGGAATGCTCAAAACGGCCCTTTTTTCGTGAAGCCGCAAGACTCGCAAAGTCGCAGCCAAAGAAACTCCGCGTCCCAGAACAAGGAGACTCACTGGAGCCACGGTAAAGCCCGAAAGCCTTCAACCTCCACAGTTGGGGCACGCTTCACGTCCACTCAAAAAGGCTGGGCCAGAGTTTGCGCCCCCCGCGAAAAAGGGAAAGCCTTGGGGCCCATCGAAACAGGACATGGAGGGAAAGCCAAGGCCTTTCGGCTCAAAGTCCCGAGATCCGAGCAATGTACTCATGATTTTACTTACCTAGGTCCTCTGGTATAGAGGTTAGAATAAGGATACCCCTTTTCTCTGTAGTCTATTTTAGTAGGGGAACCCTCCCCCAAAAAAGAAACGGTAAAAGGGCACTACTGGAGGACCTAGTTACAGTTGGGTGAGAGATGACACAACTCCCCCATTTTTGGCTTAGCTTAATCACTCCCTTTACTTGCCCCCGTGCGGGGAGGTGTCAAACTCGGGGTACCCAAAAAAAGGGTCCTCCTGTTGACTGCCTTTTGAACCAACCCCAGACCGGGCGCCCTCAAAAAAAAACGCGCACGCGCGAATGCGGTAAGCCCGCCGCTGATGCCCAGCAGGAGCTGCTGCTTGAGGTCCGGGTCATCCTGCGAAATGCCGCGAGTCTCGCACCAAAGCGGTTGAAACCATAACGTTTGTTGGTGTCTTTCCACCTGACACATGGGTGTGGCTCAAAATTAAACAGGAGGAGTTACCCAGGTTTTGGTCCATGTTTCCACTTACCAGGGTTCCAGTTTGGTACCGGTTTTTTGAGCCACAGCCACATCGCTTTGATTTGTTTGTTGGTATTTTTACGTCGGGGAATCATCAGAAATCGGGGTCACGAAATCAAGCCACGGTTGAAACCACAGCGTTGGTTGGTATTTACGGGAATCGAATCAGAAACCAGGGGATTCTGAACGGTGGGGCGAAACGGATTTCATCCAGCCACGGTAGGTGTGTCTCATGGGGGACCCAGTGCTTTCCTGTTGATTTCCTTAAAATGAGAAATCATCCAACTCTTCTCGTTCCTCGAGGTGGGCAGGAGGCGTTTGCTACCAGGGCTCCTTGCATATCCAACCTGGCAGCAACCCAAAATGAAACGTAGTCAACATGGCCACCCAAAGGTGGCGTTTAGATCACCAGAACAGGGAAACATCAAGACCCCTGTCAAAACATGACCCTCGTCCCAGCCTTTGCCACGTGGTCTTCCAATCCCCCCCCCTTCAGCCCCCGCCCCTTTAACCAAAATATGGACGAATGGAAACAAGGGTCAACATGTCGATTCTCTTCAAGAGGTCCTCCAGTACAGAGGTTAGAATAAGGGTACTCTTTTTTCTGTGATCTATTTTCGTAGGGGAACCCTCCCCCAAAAAAGAAAGAGTCAAAGGGCACCTAGCTGCGGGACCTATAGTCTTAGCGCAGTGAGGTCACCTGCTGCGCGCGCTGCCATCCCGCAATCGCTTGGTAGAAATTGGGAACCCTTGGCGGTCCGAGGATCCATGCCCATGAACACTCGAACGGGAAAATTACAAGGACACTCCTCCCATCTGGGGTGACAATGTGGCTGTGGGTCAAAAATAGGTACCCAAAATTGAACCCTGGTAAGTGGCAACATAGACCAAAACCTAGTATCTGAACATTGCATACATGCACATTGCCTAGTATCTGAACACTCCATCAGGAAATTACAAGAACACTTACCATCTGGAGGAGTGATAGTGTGGGCATACGGGCACATGAGTCAATGAGTCATGTCCTATAGAGTTCTTCCATGGACTATGAAACTTCGATGCTGGGTCAGTCATCCGGCTTCAGCCAAAGGCACCGATCTGCAACTTGACACGAATCAGTTCACTGCCGCGCAATCAGATCTGACGATGTTTGCCAAGTGTCCATGGCCATACCCCCTTCATCGCCATGCCCTCCCTTCATTGGACCAAATTTATGAGCCATTCCGGGTTGCTTGCCACACTTCGGGTGCAACTTTGCGCTTGCGCCACAAAATGATGCGTCCAGCCAAAGCGATAATCAAAACCTGCCCTGAGAAGGTCTCCAAAAAGTGGCGGAGATCCGGACAATAAGTTACGGGTATGTCTTTTGGGGAACCCCCTTTCGGTTGGTTTTAAGGGGAAACCGAACGAAAACTCTCTTTAAACAAATGGGAGGGGGGGTCCTTAAAGAAAGGGACACACCAATATGGTTGGGAGGTTGGGATACCCCCCGGCTAACCTTCTCCTCACTTCCTGAGCGGATTCGCCAGAAAAAGTCCGAAAACTTGTTCTGCACCACCAAAATGGTCCCAACTGAAAAAAAAAACGACCAAAAGTCCGGGAACTCATGGAGTGCGTCAGAGGACCGGCGCTTTTGACACGGCGCGTTTGCCTCAGCCGCCTCAGACGGCCTCAGACCCACATCCCGCCTTCTGCATGCCTCGAAAGACGAGGGTCCGCGTCGAGGAGGGCACGGACCTCAGACGTCCGAGACGAAAACGGGCGACGTCTGCGAGACGTCCAAGATACGATCCTATGGTAATGCGCAGGGAGGCAAGAACTTGCTTGACATATCAACCGCGAAAAACAAATCCAAAGCAAATAGCTCAAGTCGAATTCACCCATCACTTGAGCCCTTTGTTTTGGCCATCGAGCTTGCCCGAGCGCAGTGGTGGCGAAGGGTTTTGCGGGTCCCAGCCCGAGGGCCCTGCGCGCCGCGGTGGCTCATGCAGCAGTGGTTCGCCTGGCGAACCAAGGGACTCTCCCAGCGAGGGAGAGCCTTGCAGCTCGAAGCGGAAAGCAAACGAAGCCTCGGCTTCCATTTGCGGTTGCGTCCCCTGGAAAAAAATACAGTAGTGATAGATTCCCTTCAAAAAAGCAGGGAAAAATAAGACATACTTACATACTTTTGCGAATGGAAGTCGGCCTAGGTTGGTCATTCACATTCCTTGGTCATCCTTCACAGCACACGCCTTGCAGTGCTCCGCAAGGCTAACTTTCGGGGGCAAAAAAAAAGCAGACCTTCTTCGGTGTTCCCTTCGGTGTTTCCCCCCTTCGATTTTCCCTTTGGTCCCCAAAAAAACAAACAAACAAAAAATGGTACCAACACTCCCCAGAAGCGGAAAAACATGACCTGGTTGCGCAACCCACAACTTTTGTGCCGCCGAACCCGGTCCCGCTCGCGTCCTCCAAGCTGACGGCCACCGCTTTGGGCGACAGGAGCTGGTCCAGGGCCTCCGCGAACTGCTGGGACAGCCGCTCCTCGCGCGGGCGGAGGAGGGGAGCTCGGGGGGAGGTGGGTTGGGTGGGGGAGATTTGGGGGGGAAAGGTGGGTTGGGGGGCGGGGGGCGGGGTTTAAGGGTTGAGGGGTTAGGGATGCCACATAGGACTGCATACCACGGAGGGGGGAGACTGGGGGGGTGGGGAAGACGTTGGAGGAGGAGGTTTGGGGGTGGGAAAGAGGTTGGGAGTGGAAGATGTTGCTTTCCGGGGAGGTTGGGAGAGCCGTCGCAGGGAGGTTGGGAGTCGGGGGGAGGTTGGGAGTGTGGGATGGGTCTTGGATGGGTGTTAGATGACCAAAGGATTGTCCGAAAGTTTCCCGCAGTCATTCGAAAGGAAGCAAAAGATGTATAGCCGCCCTGATTCACCAATCCCTGCACTTTGTGGCTTGCAAAGCGGATAGATCCACCGCGCAGCTCTCTGCGCTGCGGCGACTGGGGATGAAGGATGCACTTTTGGCAGAAACGCAACAAGGAGCTCTGCAAGTAGCGGGGGGCGCCCAGCATTTGGAGCACGCGATGGTAACGAACCTATCGGTTGACACTTGGAACGAACTCCGCTGTCTCCACGAGCATCAGAAGGGTGGCTTGGAAAGCCCGGGTTCTATGCTACCGAAAGAATCCATCTCACAAGTAACAAATAAGTCAAACGGGATTGCTCACTTTAGTATTACAGAAAGAGTTCTGCTTTGCACCCATGAAGAGAACCCATATGTTGCTGAGATGCCCAGCATGAAATCAGCATTCACTCGGATGTGTGGACTTGTTTCTTTGTTGGTTTCGTTGTTTCTTTTTTTCTTCGTTTCTTCATTTCTTTGTGTTGCAGCACTGCCTAAGCTGAAGAAACAAACGGCACCAGACATTCATGGGTCTCCTAAACCACCCACGCGCTTCGCTCTTGCTCGGCGCAGTACTACTACCCCCAGAGGAAAAGTGTTGTAGATACCCCTTTGACAGCAGTTTTGAAGTTGTTTACAGCGCAACTCTAGAGACTCAGATGCCCAGTGGCCATGCAAAAAAAACCACCCGTTTTTTGTTGGTTGAGTTTAAAGGAATCGGAACCCTTACCCGAAAAAGGAGAAGAAGAAAAAGAAGGGCACCACTGGGCAACAGAGGAGAAGTTATCTGGCGGTTCATGGCCACCGAGTGAACCACGGAGTCAACCAACGGAGAGTTACCATCCGGATCCCAAGTCCCCCTTCGCCTGCAGCTGCAAACGCCGCGCAAAGACCTGCCGCGGACCCCCGACTAGCTACGACTGGCTGTGTGTGTGTGCTCTTTGCCTTGAGGGTACGCGGTTTTGAGGTTGGTGGAGATGGAAACAGGAAAGCTCCAGACAAGTTTGGGGGTCCCCCTCTATTGTTGGCACATGGCAAGTAGTTCTAGGGAACCGGGGGGCAACACTGCAACCTTTCCGTCAGCGGGGAAATGATTAGAATGGGGTTGTGCACGTAATTCAAGACCAAGTTAAGGCGTCACAGGATCATCACAGGTTCAGAACAACAGGTGGAAGCTGAATGCCTCGGATTGTTGGCACTTCGCAAGAAGCGGATTTCCCCACGCCCCGTTCGCCCGAAGCGCAAAAAGCATGGACGTCCTGCTCTCTCGCAAAGAAATGTCTCCGAAGGCATGAAGCGACATCTGCTTGCCCCCTGCCAAGCCACCACCATGCGACCGCGCGCCGTTTCCTCTTTTCCGCGGCATCCTCGGCACGCAAGTTCCTCGCCACCTCAAAGATCGTCCCTGGAAGCCTTGGCTGCGCGAAAAAGAAGAGAAGCGACGGGCCAATACGAGTTGACCGCAAAGAACATGCAAAGATGCGGCAGTCCCTTGGTGGTTGCGTGCGTGCCTACCAGTCCTTTCTAATTGGACAACAGACTACTAAATATCTTGACCGAAGCTTGTTTGACGCAGGTCAGGTTGATCGGCCACGGCTTCGGTTCTGTCGCCTTGAAAGGTTCTGAGGCAAAATGGCAAGGAGACCGTGTCTTTGCCTGGTACTGTCAACAGCCGTGCGGATGGACGAAATCCATTTCGCACCACGTAACAAGCCCTAGTTCTGATGATTCCCCTGTAAATACCAACCAACAATGGTTTCAGAAACCATGGCTTCAAAGTGGTGCGAAATGGATTTTGCACCCATCCACAGTAGGGGACGTCCCATCTGAGAGAAAATCCACACTTTTGGTTCAAATTACTCCCTGTCAGCCAGACTAATAACCCTGAGCATGGGCCGTGGCTGCGGTTCCAACGACTCCTTGCTCTCAACCTGGAAACTCTCCAGTGAAACCCGAGCAAAGGTCAGGGAAGGCCCAACCCGCCTTTACCCATCGGGTGGCTCCTTGCGTAAGATGTGATGGTCTCAGCCGGGCTCGGGGCTCCGGCTGTTGTATATCGACTCAAACCCAGGGGCACCGTCACTCGTGGCCAAAAGCGAAACCTGGGCTTTTGGATCAGCTGCAATCGAAGCTCGGTTGCTTTCTGCTCCCCTGCTACAAGTTTTCAACTTTTAGTGGGTTTAATGGGAAAACCCATTAGTTGGCAACAAGTTGAAGTCCTAACATCCCTTGGCAAAACGCACCAAAGAAACTATCTTCCCCCAGCCCTTTGTGCGCCATGGAAGGAAGCGGCTTCGGGGTGGGCGAAAAACGCGCACGGCGCACGGATCGATCGGATCGCCGTGCCCGTTTGGCGTCCCAGGCGCGTAGTCTGCGGCGTCTGAGGCCTGAAGTCACAGCGACAAGCTGACAGCTGCCCGCTAAAGAAAGCAAGCTGTCGCCAGAGACGTGTGGGGGTGAAGCCGTGGACGATTCAACCCTCAATAAGAAAGGATGCAAATATCTCTTTGCATATCTCTTTGCACTGGGTCGCCCCCTTCTTCTCACCATGCCTGAAACCCACAAAAACACAGAGTCTGCGCTGCCCAACAAATATGCTCCTTTCGGAAAGAAAGAAAGAAAGAAAGAAAGAAAGAAAGAAAGAAAGAAAGAAAGAAAAGAAAAAAGAAAAAAAAAACACGTTGTTCAGGACGCAACCTGCCCACATGGTTCTGGCGCCTGTCGGCTGTCTCACCTGCCCAACGTGCCAAGCTCAAACCTGCCCCAAACAGCTAGGCGTCACCATGGCGCAAGGCAAAACGCATCCAAACCTTTTGGCCCAAACCCACCGCTCCCTTAGCTTCGGGTGCCTGAAATCTCCCATGCGAAACCTGCGGGAGTCGTGGGCGCCAGGGGCACCAGGGGCGCCCACAACTCAGCACACACGCGTAAAAGCGACGCGGAAGGAACGGAAGCGCGCCCTTCGATGGGTCCCGCAACTCACAGGCCCTCTCCGAAAAGATTGCGCACCGAGAAGCTGCATCCAACGTCCACTGCTCAGGGTGTTCAAACCAACAAAATGGAGTGTTGGCTTTGACATGGGTGTGAATCTTGACTTCGGGGGCCGTTGTTCTGGACACCAGGAAGCCCATTCGGTAGTCAATGCTGGAGTTTGGATATTTTTCGCCCCTTTGGATTTCCCTCTTCCCCATCTGGCCTCCGGATGCTCGATGCCCTCCTCGGCGTCGTCGTCCGCCAAGGCGGGCTGGGAGGCGGAAAAAAACAGCTGACCGCAAGGGCCGGGGTTGTGGGAGTTGCCCGGAGCTCCTTTGAGGATGCATCTTTACGAGGCGGTGCTCTAAATGTGTTGGAGTAAAGGAGGGCTCATCAGCAAACACATCTGCTTTACACTGGGATCCTATATAAATCTGGAGTGAAGGTTCATGCTTTAAGGGACCCTGTTGTCGTGGAAATGGACAGGATGGTTACCCAGGAAAGTAGTCTTCCAAAACCCTCCTCCCGGCCTCCAGATTTGGAAAACAGGGCACCCACCGCAGCGGATTTTTTCCAGAAGGCCTTCCCAATCACGGATGCCTCACCAGCGGAATCCGAATTCCAACCAATTTCCAGCCAGAACCCCTGGCACGAGGTGTCTTCCCATGAGACGACCGAGGCCAACAGCCCAAGGCGAGGCGGTCAAAAGCTCAAAGGACCAAGGATGTCTTCGGAGAGCGCGCGAATCGCTTGGCCACTTGAGCATTATGCCTTGCTCCGTCAGCTTGCAATACTTGGGACTTCGACTTTCGGCACGCAGAGTTTGGCAGTCAGGTAAATCACGGCTGGAAGCTGATTGCGGTTCTGGCCTAGCCTTAAGGTCCACTCAACTTATAGGGCATCTAGGTAAACCGTAGTTGGACTCGGATCTGCACGCGGTGAGGTCGCGGTGCGCTTCTGCCAATCTGATTGGCACGCTTGCCGCTTGCTGTTCCCAGGAACGGGATCCAAGAGCCGACATGGTTGATCAAGCCACCCGGAAAAGGAAGAAGAAAAAAAGGCCCGAGATGTGATTGCCGTGTACGCGAGGGATCCGCGCTTTTTACACACATCCCTGGAAACCGAAAACAGGGCCGATTAGCAAGCTAGCGCTTCCATGGATGGTGCTGTAGCTGAATGCCCAAGGGTTCTGTAAATATCGCTACCTGGCCCGTGTTTTCGGCACATTACCCGCTCTGTCTTGGCTCCGAGTCCTTGACAAAATCCGGGAGGCATCTAAAGTCAACTGGTGCTTTGTTGTTCGTTCCATCCAGCAAATTCCCCGTTTCCAGTTGACAGAACCAACTTTTCATACCTTCAACCCCCCCCCAAATCGTGGCAACCAACCCTACCCGACCCAACCCGACCCAACCCAACCCAACCCAACCCAAAGCAACCAAAAGCAACCAAAAGCAACCAACCAACCAGCAATTTCTCCATTGCCAGTTGGGTGAAACAACCCTCGTTTCCGAGGTCACCCTTTCATAACCCGGCTTGAGGGAAGCGAATGCAGCCGACTTTCCAGAAAGATCACCCCTAAAAGCAAAACTTGCTGCTGTTCAGTCATTCCATTTCTCATTCCCTGCATCTCTCGCACCGATCGCAAGTACAAACAAAAACCCACCCAATTCTTTGAGGCCTCCCCCCCCTAAAAACACCCTCCCCTCCCCCCCCTTGCCCCCCCCCCCCCTTGCCCCCTTGCGCTTTGAGGTCCTTGGAATCAGCGATCCGCCACCCAAGACCTGGCCTCATCCTCTGGCCGCTCCGGCGGCGCACGGCCCGCCAGGTGCCAACCTCTCGTGGAGTGGCTGAAAAATATGGGGAGAACCGAGAGAAAAATATGGGAGAACCAACTCATGTGGCTGAAAAACCGGGTGACATTGTAAACCGAGTGGAACAACAAAAAACATGCTCAGGATGTTGCTGGATTGACTCAAGGAACGGCTTAAATGCTGCAAAATTACCTGTACACGGCCGTTAGGAATCCGCGGCGTGGCCACCCTATGACCATCACCCAACTATCCGGAGAAACGAAAAGGCAAGTCGCCATCTCATGTTTGGCCCTGCAAAAAAACTAACCTTTGGACGATAAAGCAATGACTAATAGCGAATGTTAATCCATCAACCGCATTGTTGCCAAAGTGACAACACGCCAAAAGCTGGAGCTAGAAATGCACCACACTCCCTGTCGCGCAGCCTGAGTTCGGCCTTCAGTGGATTGGAGGGTGCCCGTGCCAGAATGGCCTGGCGGATGTTTTAGAGCAGCCGGAACTGCGCAAAGGCACGAAAACACGTGTCTCACTTCTCCATGTCAGAATATGTTTGCCTACAAAAGTATTTCTTGAAAAACCAGCTAATTACTTTCGTGTCCACGTCTTTCTTGTGCAAGTTGGCTCGTCAAGTTTGGTAGCGCGAGCTTTCTCGTCCAAGTTGGTGCAAGTTGGCTCGTGCAAGTTCGGCGGCGCGAGTTTTCTCGCGCAAGTTGGCTCGTGCAAGTTGGCTCGTGCAAGTTTGGCTGCGCGATGTCTCCCGCAAGTTGGCTCGTGCAAGTTTGGCGGTGCAATAAATTCTCGTGCAAGTTGGTTCGTGCAAGTTTGGCTGCGCGATAAGGCTGGCAATTTTACCGGAAGAACCCGCCACAATGCTGTCGGGAAAAAAACACAACAAGAAAAAACAACGACCCGTCGCGGTTGCCCGCAGATTCCTTCGCCATGCCCCGCCCCACGCCCCAGCGCTTTGACAAGGAGCCCAGGAAGTCGAAGAGCCGGCGCCAGGCCTCCGGCAGAAGCCATGTGATGCGGACTTTCGAGCCGTGTGAAACCTGCCATTTCTTGGGGGGGGCAAGCAAAGGAGCTTTTCCCATGGAAAATGGCTGGTTTCAAGAAAAAGAAACAGATTGGTTTCCCATGATTAGTTTCTCCATGGGAGAATGACCCAAACAATCTGTGGAGTCCGGAACCCCTGCGACTTTCAAAACTTCGGATCCCGAAGTGAACTGTAGGAAGAAGAAAAAGAGACGGACACTGGGAGCAGCTTGCCAATAAGAGTGGAAGCATTTTTGGATTTCGAAACCCTTCAGAAAATGGGAAAAAGCGGTCAACCGACGGCTAAGAGAGGAAAATGGCTATTGTTCGGTTTCAGAAAAAAGCTTGGGGTCGGTTGATTGTTGAACGGAAACCCGCGGGAACAGTGACGTATATGCAAAGAGACAAGGATCATGGAATCGATGATACGCCTTTTGAATTACGTGCAAACCAGCCAAGAAAGAAAGGCCCGGTAACTGGGACACCAATCTGAGTTTCAAGCTGATGAAACAAGTCAACAAGCGTTGTTCTTGTTCTGTCTCAGCCCCCCAATCCACCCCCACCCAGCCCCACCTCTGCAAAACCGCCCAGCCCCAGCCCCACCCCCACCCACCCCCCCTCCTCCCGCAGACTTTCGACGCGGTGCGAATTTGGAACATTGAAATGCCTTGCTGCGGCACGGTGCAAATATTGAACATCGAGCGTGAACCCTCTGCGGACTTTACATGGCTCGCAGTGCAAGTTACAAAAGTCGAAGCACAGGCCGAAGTACAGGGCCTGCGAAGATACTCTTGCAAGAGATCTTGTGGACCCCTGTCATGGGTCCTCTTGCCAAGAGATTCTACCAAGAGTCCAGGGACACACGCACAGATCTTGCCAAGAGATCCAACCAAGGAATCCTACCCGTGCGTCTTGCGCAGGGGTCCTCTTAAAACACAGATAGAGGGTTTTTTAGAGTCCTGTTCACAAATCTTGCCAAGAGATCCTACCAAGAGACACTATCCACAGATCACTTTACATGTTACTTCATCTGTTGTGTGTTTAAGACATCGTTTGCTTTTCTATTTTCATCCCTCCCCACAAACTGTTTGGAGTCTCTTGCCGGTGCAATTTTGAGACACCAAAATCCGGCGACAGTCAAACAACTGATTAGTCTGCGGTCAGCTGCTTAGATTGACAGCCAGTTGTTGCTTGTGTTACACTTGTTGGAAAGGTTGCGATTTTGGAGCTGCAAGAAGTGTGCTTCGTGTGTTACACTTGTGCTGCAAAAGTGTGCGTGGTTCGCGAGCGGTTGAAACGTTGCGCGATTTGACGAGAGAGCTGAGCTGCAGAAGGGTGCTTCGTGTACTACGCTTGTTTGCAAAGAAGCGTGCGAGGTGCGCCGCAGAAGTGTGCTTTGTGTTGGAAAGTTGCGAATTTCAAACTGGGAGACACAGAAGTGTGCTTTGTGTGCTACACTGGCTTGAAAAGCTGCAGCTTTCGAGCTGGGAGCTGCAATTATTGAGCATGCCTCGTGTTTACCACACGCCTTTGAAACGTATTGACAGGTTGCGATTGTCGAGCTGAAAGCTGCAGAAATGTCCTTCGCGCGCTACTCATTTTCGAAAAGTTTGCGCACTTCGAGGTGGGAGCCGCAGAAGTGTGTTTCACGGTTGACAGTTGTGTTTGAAAAAGATGTGGGTTTCAAAAAAGCTACTTGGCTGGCTAAGTAGTTAGTTAGTTCGAAGGCAAGCAAATTAGACACTTAGCTAGCTAGCTAGCTAGCGAGGTAGCTAGTGAGCTAGCTAGTGAGCTTGCCAGACCTTAAGCCAGTTACCTTTGTGAGTTTGTCGTTGCTTGTCCTCCTTGTTGCTTTGCGGTGGTAAGTTGTTTTGCAGTGAGCGTGTGCCATGCAAAGCACACTCGCAGCTCCAGCAAGAACGTCGGAACTTTTCAGCAAATCCAGCTCGACAATCGCAGTTTTCAATCAAGTGAAACACACGAAGCGCACGTCCGCAGCTCCCAGCTCGAAATTCGCAACTGTTCAACCAAGTGTAACACGTGAAGCACATGTGTGCAGCTACCAGATCACTAACCAGGGAGTTAATGAACAAGCTTGCAGAGTTGGCCAGCTAGCAAACTCGCGTTTAGGCAGAATAGTTTCCTAATGTAGTTAGCTAACTAACTGAGCTAACCTCTACTCTGCCTCACCCCCTCCACTCCAACCCAGCCCCTCCACCCCCACCCACAGCCCCACCCAGCCCCCTCCAACCCCACCCCCTCCAACCCCACCCCCTCCAACCCCCACCCCCCACCCAGCCCCACCCCACCCCCGCCCCAACCCAGTCCAACCCCACCCAGCCCCACCCCCTCCAACCCCACCCAGCCCCACCCCCCACCCAGCCCCACCCAGCCCCACCCCCTCCACCCCGCCCCACCCAGCCCCACCCCAGCCCCTCACCTTCGCCGCCACGTGAGGGTCGAAGGGAGGATACCCGGCCACGTCTTGTCGCTCCTCGAAGCTGTGGAAAGGGTCCGGCCGGCTATCCCTCAGGCGGCTCACCCCAAACCCGCGCCCGCGCGTGCGGGTCTACCGAGGATGGCCCCAACAAGTGGGCGAGGAAATCAACACCAGGGGTCTTCCTTAAGAAGAATCACCAAGGAAAAAAATGGGGAACCCATTTCCCGAAATGGTTTCAGAATCACTCGTAAAGAACAAAGAACTGCGCAACCCATGCTCCCATTTCATGGGTGACTTCCCTTTGGCTTCCCTTTGGCTTCCTGCCCCGAAAAATGGTGCCGAGCCTCCAAAAAAGACAACGACTGGCCACTTGCACTGTGTCCACTATAACCAAAGCACTACCCAATTGGAAGGGAAGGGTGTAACTTGATTTTTGTGTAGTGGCTAGAATGTGCCATTTGACTTGCGAGTAGTGAACATGTTCTTGGATGCAATGTGGTACGTGAAGTAGCCATTGAAGCTATAATAACAAGCAGGTCATACCAAACTGTCACAAAGGATTACGGCCATGCGAGCATGTGCTCGAGCTGGATTGAGGAGCAGGTATGACAGCCCAGGATTAATAAACAGTTGATTGGTACCTTCACGTTTGGGAGAACACCCCCAAATTATCCACCCTGATATCCGCCATCCAACAAGATGGGAAATGGCCGTCGTCCCAAACCCTCTTGTGCCTGGGCTCCAAAACGAAATAGGGTGAAATCTAAAACAAACATGAAGGGGGGGACAAGGGGGTGGGGAGCACAATTCTGCACATCGCCGCTGTCTGAGCCAAGGCGCATGAAGGAATGCCCAACGCTCTCCTCAGCGCATGTGACGGGAGCAACAACTCCAAGCCCTCAGTAATTAGTCGAAGGAAGCAAAGAAGCCCCTGAGCAGTTGGCCGTGTTTCCATTCCAAAAAGCTTGCAACCGCCAAAAAAAAAACAAGACACGGACACCCACCCGGAAGGCGAGGGGCGTAGACGAAGATGCGGGCGTCCGCGCCGGCGGCGCGGAGCTGCTCTTGCAGCAAGATGGCGGTGGTGGCCTCCTGAACTGGGCTTGGAGGAAAGTGGTGGCTCAAAAGCCAAATCGGTTAGCCCCCAGTGAACATCCGATTCAAGCCAAGCACTAAAATAGGTAGCCTAAAATGGGTGGGGAATGCACCTACCCCAAAAACATCCGATTCAAGCCAAGCACTAAAATAGGTAGCCTAAAATGGGTGGGGAATGCACCTACCCCAAAAACATCCGATTCAAGCCAAGCACTAAAATAGGTAGCCTAAAATGGGTGGGGAATGCACCTACCCCAAAAACATCCGATTCAAGCCAAGCACTAAAATAGGTAGCCTAAAATGGGTGGGGAATGCACCTACCCCAAAAACATCCGATTCAAGCCAAGCACTAAAATAGGTAGCCTAAAATGGGTGGGGAATGCACCTACCCCAAAAACATCCGATTCAAGCCAAGCACTAAAATAGGTAGCCTAAAATGGGTGGGGAATGCACCTACCCCAAAAACATCCGATTCAAGCCAAGCACTAAAATAGGTAGCCTAAAATGGGTGGGGAATGCACCTACCCCAAAAACATCCGATTCAAGCCAAGCACTAAAATAGGTAGCCTAAAATGGGTGGGGAATGCACCTACCCCAAAACATCCGATTCAAGCCAAGCACTAAAATGGGGTAGCCTAAAATGGGTGGGGAATGCACCTACCCCAAAACATCCGATTCAAGCCAAGCACTAAAATAGGTAGCCTAAAATGGGTGGGGAATGCACCTACCCCAAAACATCCGATTCAAGCCAAGCACTAAAATAGGTAGCCTAAAATGGGTGGGAACCCCAAAAACATCCGATTCAAGCCAAGCACTAAAATAGGTAGCCTAAAATGGGTGGGGAATGCACCTACCCCAAAAACATCCGATTCAAGCCAAGCACTAAAATAGGTAGCCTAAAATGGGTGGGGAATGCAATTCCACCCCAAAAACATCCGATTCAAGCCAAGCACTAAAATAGGTAGCCTAAAAATGGGTGGGGAAATGCACCTACCCCAAAAAACATCCGATTCAAGCCAAGCACTAAAATAGGTAGCCTAAAATGGGTGGGGAATGCACCTACCCCAAAAACATCCGATTCAAGCCAAGCACTAAAATAGGTAGCCTAAAATGGGTGGGGAATGCACCTACCCCAAAAACATCCGATTCAAGCCAAGCACTAAAATAGGTAGCCTAAAATGGGTGGGGAATGCACCTACCCCAAAAACATCCGATTCAAGCCAAGCACTAAAATAGGTAGCCTAAAATGGGTGGGGAATGCACCTACCCCAAAAACATCCGATTCAAGCCAAGCACTAAAATAGGTAGCCTAAAATGGGTGGGGAATGCACCTACCCCAAAAACATCCGATTCAAGCCAAGCACTAAAATAGGTAGCCTAAAATGGGTGGGGAATGCACCTACCCCAAAAACATCCGATTCAAGCCAAGCACTAAAATAGGTAGCCTAAAATGGGTGGGGACTGCACCTACCCCAAAAACATCCGATTCAAGCCAAGCACTAAAATAGGTAGCCTAAAATGGGTGGGGAATGCACCTACCCCAAAAACATCCGATTCAAGCCAAGCACTAAAATAGGTAGCCTAAAATGGGTGGGGAATGCACCTACCCCAAAAACATCCGATTCAAGCCAAGCACTAAAATAGGTAGCCTAAAATGGGTGGGGAATGCACCTACCCCAAAAACATCCGATTCAAGCCAAGCACTAAAATAGGTAGCCTAAAATGGGTGGGGACTGCACCTACCCCAAAAACATCCGATTCAAGCCAAGCACTAAAATAGGTAGCCTAAAATGGGTGGGGAATGCACCTACCCCAAAACATCCGATTCAAGCCAAGCACTAAAATAGGTAGCCCAAAAAATGGTAAATGCACCTACCCCAAAACATCCGATTCAAGCTAAGCACTAAAATAGGTAGCCTAAAATGGGTGGGGAATGCACCTACCCCAAAAACATCCGGATTCAAGCCAAGCACTAAAATAGGTAGTTTGAAAATGGGTGGGGAATGCACCTACCCCAAAAACATCCGATTCGCCAAGCACTAAAATAGGTAGCCTAAATGGGTGGGGAATGCACCTACCCCAAAAACATCCGATTCAAGCCAAGCACTAAAATAGGTAGCCTAAAATGGGTGGGGAATGCACCTACCCCAAAAACATCCGATTCAAGCCAAGCACTAAAATAGGTAGCCTAAAATGGGGAATGCACCTACCCCAAAACATCCGATTCAAGCCAAGCACTAAAATAGGTAGCCTAAAATGGGTGGGGAATGCACCTACTCCCAAAAACATCCGATTCAAGCCAAGCACCAAAATAGGTAGCCTAAAATGGGTGGGGAATGCACCTACCCCAAAACATCCGATTCAAGCCAAGCACTAAAATAGGTAGCCTAAAATGGGGTGGGAATGCACCTACTCCCAAAAACATCCGATTCAAGCCAAGCACTAAAATAGGTAGCCTAAAATGGGTGGGGAATGCACCTACTCAAAATAACTGATTCAAGCCAAGCACTAAATAGGTATGCCTAAATGGGTGGGGAATGCACCTACCCCAAAAACATCCGATTCAAGCCAAGCACTAAAATAGGTAGCCTAAAATGGGTGGGGAATGCACCTACCCCAAAAACATCCGATTCAAGCCAAGCACTAAAATAGGTAGTTTGAAATGGGTGGGGAATGCACCTACCCCAAAAACATCCGATTCAAGCCAAGCACTAAAATAGGTAGCCTAAAATGGGTGGGGAATGCACCTACCCCAAAAACATCCGATTCAAGCCAAGCACTAAAATAGGTAGCCTAAAATGGGTGGGGAATGCACCTACCCCAAAAACATCCGATTCAAGCCAAGCACTAAAATAGGTAGCCTAAAATGGGTGGGGAATGCACCTACCCCAAAAACATCCGATTCAAGCCAAGCACTAAAATAGGTAGCCTAAAATGGGTGGGGAATGCACCTACCCCAAAAACATCCGATTCAAGCCAAGCACTAAAATAGGTAGCCTAAAATGGGTGGGGAATGCACCTACCCCAAAAACATCCGATTCAAGCCAAGCACTAAAATAGGTAGCCTAAAATGGGTGGGGAATGCACCTACCCCAAAAACATCCGATTCAAGCCAAGCACTAAAATAGGTAGCCTAAAATGGGTGGGGGAATGCACCTACCCCAAAAACATCCGATTCAAGCCAAGCACTAAAATAGGTAGCCTAAAATGGGTGGGGAATGCACCTACCCCAAAAACATCCGATTCAAGCCAAGCACTAAAATAGGTAGCCTAAAATGGGTGGGGAATGCACCTACCCCAAAAACATCCGATTCAAGCCAAGCACTAAAATAGGTAGCCTAAAATGGGTGGGGAATGCACCTACCCCAAAAACATCCGATTCAAGCCAAGCACTAAAATAGGTAGCCTAAAATGGGTGGGGAATGCACCTACCCCAAAAACATCCGATTCAAGCCAAGCACTAAAATAGGTAGCCTAAAATGGGTGGGGAATGCACCTACCCCAAAAACATCCGATTCAAGCCAAGCACTAAAATAGGTAGCCTAAAATGGGTGGGGAATGCACCTACCCCAAAAACATCCGATTCAAGCCAAGCACTAAAATAGGTAGCCTAAAATGGGTGGGGAATGCACCTACCCCAAAAACATCCGATTCAAGCCAAGCACTAAAATAGGTAACCTAAAATGGGTGGGGAATGCACCTACCCACAAAATGGGATCCCAAAACGGTTTTGACCCACAGCCAAGTGGCCATGGCTCAACATGGAGACCAAAAAGGCACATTTTGCAAATGGAACCAAAGACCAGAACCTGCGGGGCAAGCCCTGGCTCTGAATGTAGAGCCACACCCAAGTAACTGGGCTATGGAGTGGTTTGATGATGTGGTAAGTTCTGCTAGAAACCGGTTACAATAATTTCACCAGCATGAAATTACGGATCTTAGACTCACTGGCTGAGTGGATGGCCCACAAAAAGTCCAAACTTTGTATTTACCACTAACATGGTCTTCCCAAAAAGTTTAAAAAAATCATGAACTGAGTAGAAGGTGAGCTGCTTTCAAGTATTACCCCCCCCCCAAAGGTCGGTAAAATTCGCGCGCCATAAAAAGAACTCACCACCGTTTGCGGGGTACCAGGGGTATCTCAGCATGGCCTGCTCAAGCTGGGGTCAAGTTGAAGCGCGACTTGTGGCCCGTGTACCCCGAAAAACATGCCAGAACATAGGTGTCCTTGGGCAAATAGATGGGTTTCCCTGGCAGATGAGCAAAAACCACCAGGTAAACCAGGAATCGCCATCTATTTTCTTACCAACACAACCGAAAAGGACACCTATGTACCAGAATATGAGATAGTATATGGGCCAACAAATATGGCATCCTGCAAGAGGCCAAGATATACCTCACTGATGGCTGGACAATTGACAAAGGGATGTATCAGACCAAAGGATCCACGACATTGGCGGATCTTGAAAAACTTCACAGTGCAGCACACCCACTATTTGAGTCACACGGGGCTCGCTGAATTTGAGGGAACCCTGCCATATGAGTTGTTCCTCTTGAGCTTCCCTTCACAACAACCACTAGACCCAGGCTGTCGGATCCCCTGCTAAAAGCTTAACTTTTGGTGGGCTGAATGGAAGCCACCCACCACCAAACCAGCTAAAAAGCCAAGAAGCTAGTTGAGGAACCGGATGATTCGCTGGTTGGACCAACAAACGGCGTTTCGGCTCCCCATCCCAAGCGAGGCGCCGGGTTTGGGGAGCTCGCGCTGAGCGCCCCAAAGTGGCCTTGCAGCGGCTTCGCCGCCAAGCGCGGCACGTTCACCGCCACCCACTTCTCCTCTGGCCATTCCCAACTTGAGGGCGGCTGCAGGCTGATTCCGTGGATCCTCGGTTGGACGACCGGTCAGCACCTTGTGCTCAAAACAGCTTCGTGTGGCATGTGGCACGGGTTGGACGACTCAGCGCCTTGACTGTCATCCGAAAGCTCCCCACCCACCATTTTCCCAACCATCTGGGTATGTGGCGTGGCAAGGGGGAACCCTGCCCATGCTTGTTTTTCTTTTGGCTTCCCAAGCCAGCCAAATAAGCATAAAGCGGTGTCTAGGGAACGTCCAAGCCCAAAACTGGGCTACCCTCTTCTCCAACCGTTTAGTGGGTGATGTTCTTCTTGGAAACTACCACTTCAAACCACTGGAGCCAAGGGACCGGATGAAATGCCTGGGAGCCGGGCAAAAAGGGGCCGCTAGTTTTCAAAAGACGACTGGAAGGCCACGCAAAAGCGGCGCCAAAGGGCGAGCCCTCGCTCAGGAAGCTCACGCCGCAGCTCAGATCCGAGATGTTGCTGAGCGCTTGAAGCGTGATGGCACCACCCATGCAGAAGCCCACCTGGGTGTCTCTCTTAACTTGTGGTTTCCCTGCGGCTTCCCTTTAAAGCACCTCGAGCATGGTATGTTCTCTACTTATAGAAAGACAAAAAGCACATCCTAAATGCCAGCAGGCAGGCGGAAAGCACCGTGTAAGACAACAGCGCCTCGTGTATGCCATACTGGAGTGTTCCACCAATTCGGGAGCACCAATTTTTCGCTCTGGCAGGCCTCTTGCGAAAGCCGCCGGGAAACTGGCTGGGAGCCTTCTGGGGACTGGCTCTGAGCCATTGCTTGTTATGGTTTGGACCACTCACTGTTTAGGCATTGGCCGCGAATCCGGCCAGCTCTCAGCATTCGAACCAAGATGAAGAATAACTTTAAGACGGGGAACATGGCCTGGGCATACCTTAGATTGGCAAACTGGGCCCCTCAAGCCTTGTTCTTCAAAGGAATCTCATGTTTGCACACTGATCAGCTTGTTTCTCTGTTGAAGCGCTTCATGGCCAGCCCGGCCCCAATTGAGTCAAAGTTGAAAGCCTGGTAGCCAGGAACCCAAGATCAAGTCCAGAACTGCAACACCCCCTGCGTGTGGGACTGTCAACCTCTTTTCCCAGGTTTTGATCCCTCCCGTGGTCACCCAAGAAACAATAAACCAGGCAAAGCTCCCAGGTCCCACATCCAACTCAGAAAAAACTCGGGTTGGCAAATCCTCCCCTCGCCCTCTCCGTGTTCTGAAGGAAGCTTGAGAAATGGAATGACCCCGATTCAACCCATCCATTTCCCATAGTTTCCCTTAAGTTGGAATCCCTAGGTTCATTCAACTGGCGGCGATCCCTAGGTTCATTTCACCACATTCACCTATCGTATCCAAGCGATGCCCAGGCGCGATGCCCACCTTCGGGGACTTGTGGGCCTTGAGGTAGAACGCGGCATGGCCTGAGCTTCCCCGGGCGAAACGAAAGCAACCCACACCGACGAGGGAATGGGGATCGAGCCATGGTCTTGGAACCGAAGCCGTGAACTTAGAACGTGTTCGGGTTTGAGCCGTCAAGCCAGGTTGTCCAAAGCTCCGAGGCCCTTGTTCAGTGCGCGATTTCAGGGGCTCCGACACTGCCCCAGCCAGTGAGGAAGCTTCAAGAGAAGAGCTCACGGAACTCATTCCCTACACCAGGACGGTCCAAACTGACGTGGCTGTGTCAAGGGTAAACCCCTCGAAATGCCTGGGGATAATTTGCGATTTCGTTTACAGCCGCCTTTGCGCACTTGTGCGTGTGTGTGTTTGTGTGTTGTTCATTCAACAGAATGGTGAAGTCATGCACCATGAGGGCCTGAACAATTAGAAATGGGTGGCGGCTACTTCTAAACCGCTCACAATGCCCCAAAAGGGTGGCTTTGAAGGACAACCGCAAGGAAACCAAACATTTGGAAGCCCCCCCATCACTACCCCTTATGTGTATATATATATATATATATGTGTGTGTTTCATTTTTCTTTCGGGTACCCTTGTTGGGGTTGAGTTTAAAGGTAAGCCAAAGGGAAAGCAACCTAAGGTTGACCTCGGATTGATCAACCCGCCCTATTCATAGGCTGTTCCCAACAGCGACTTGAATCCCCACAAAAAGGCGACACACAAAGAAACACACACACACACACACACACACACACACACACACACACACACACACACACACACACACACACACACACACACACACACACACACACACAAATATTGTTTCATTAACAGCCGGTTTCGGAGAGAAAAAAACAAAAACGGAGCTTCCCCCACCCCCCTCCCCCCTCCAACCCCCTCTCGCCCCTCCAACCCCCCCTCCAACCCTCCAACCCTCCAACCCCCCCTCCAACCCTCCAACCCCAACCCCCCCTCCAACCCTCCAACCCCCCCTCCAACCCTCCAACCCCCCCCCTCCAACCCTCCAACCCCCCCTCCAACCCTCCAACCCCCCCCCTCCAACCCTCCAACCCCCCCTCCAACCCTCCAACCCCCCCTCCAACCCCCCCTCCAACCCTCCAACCCCCCCCCTCCAACCCTCCAACCCCCCCTCCAACCCTCCAACCCCCCCCCTCCAACCCTCCAACCCCCCCTCCAACCCTCCAACCCCCCCTCCAACCCCCTCCCGCCCCTCCCCCCGCTTGAGACCCTTCGGCACATGGCGCGGATCCGCTCCACCGCATCCTCGACGCCCAGCCGCGCCCCGAGGAGGGCGTCGTGGTCCCGGGACTTCCGGCCCTCCACATAAGCAGAATGGGCCAACCAAATGTCCAAACGTGTTTTTTACCCCTTCCCCCTTTTTTTTCGGCTTTGTGTAGCGCTAAAATATGAGTTTTCCCCAAAAAGGTGACAATGTCCAAACTTGCTTAATGTAGCGCTGAAATGGGTTTCTCCAGAAGGCGACTACTAAAGTCCAGGGACTCAGGAAGTAAGTTGCCGGGGCTGCCTCTATCCTTCACCTGCAATTTACAGTACTGCCTGGGTGGATTGGCCAACAAAATGTCCAGGAGCAGGGAGTGAGCTACCCTACAGGGTGCCTGGATGCCAAGTGGATCTTGTTTGTTGATATCAAAAAAGATTGGTTCCCTTGACTTTGCGACTTTGAAGCGTTGGGTATCACAGAAACTGGCCCTTGAAAACCATTTTGTCCACAATGTACTCGAAATGGTTCCTAGCAAGGTCAAAGATTTGAAGGGTTGAAAGCTACCTCCACCCCTTGAAGATTGAAAACACGGCCCCCTCACCACTGCCCCCCGACAGCGGGCTGTTCGTGCCCTTCGTGCCCCCCATTTCGGGAGCCCCATCCCCCGATGCGACGCATCAAAAGGCCACGAGGTTTCAAACCGCCGTCGTCCTTGCGGTGGCGGTTTCCCTGGAAAGAATGGACACTTTCCCCGGGCTGTGGGAAATGGAATCCACGAATCTGTGATACAACAAAAAGGGCTTCCCAAAAACTAATCCCCCATATAAAGGCGGAGATAGTTTCCCCGGAATGGCCGAATTCAGAAAGGCCGCTTGTGCCACCCTTTGGTGCTCTTACTGAATTCCAACGCGACTCACAGAAATCTAGAAGTCTTGGCCACAAACCAACAAACCCAGAGACACCAAGATGCCATGATTGTGGTGAACTTTTTCTTGTGGCCCGCCCTTGAAACCGTCGCTTCCAGCAACCCAACATATCGAAATGGCTGAATTCTCCTTGCCCACCCTTGAAACCGTTGAATCGCTTCCCTTGGATTGCCTGGAAGAGATCCACCAAGAGCACCCGATACTGGCCCTCCTCCGCAATCTTTGATGCCTGCAGTTTCAACGCGCCGAAGAACCCCCACTCCATCAAGCCAGCATGTCACAGTTGCACCTCCAACATGGAGTTTGGTGTTCCTTTGTGGCGCCCTGTTAAACCAAACCAAAGAAGGTAGCCTCAAAAAATCCGACCCGTAATAGTTCAACCAAAGCGACAGTTTGAAGCCAACCAGTTTGGGGAAGAATATGTGCAAACAAAGCCAACCCCAGGTGTCCTTTTGGAAGAATGGACTATCTCAAATGCCCAGTGGCCATGGGGGAAAAAGAATCGGCACCCTTTTTTGTTGATTGAGTTTCAATTAAGAAACCCTTACCAAAAAAAGGGGACAAAAAGAATCCGCCACTGGGCAACAGAGCGCTGATTGGAACCGAACTGAAATCAGTTCGGACCCGGGCTAAGTGGACCTTCCAGCAGTTTTGGGGGGAACACCCCATCGCAGGCTCACCGAAAGCCACTCCGCTGGTGTTCCCTTAAAACCAACCCAAAATGGAACCCTCGAAACAGGACACACTGATTTTGAGTTCGTCCCACAACAAGAATTGGAGCCTTTCCTTTCGCTTTCCCTTTAAAGCCAACCAAAAAGGAAAGCACGAGGCGCGTGGTCTTTGGCCAGGTCAGTGGCGCCGATCTCCTCGGCTTTGGCCACTGAAACAAAGCGTCTTCTCCCAAACGACCCAAGTCCTTGCATGTTTGGCGCTTATTATCCTTATCATTATCATTCCTAACTTTTTTAGTATATTTATCATGGGTGCGGATTTATTTTGGGATTGTTTTTCGTTTTTTTTTGGGATTTTTTTTCGTTTTTCGTCCGGGCCAGCAAAATGTCGTATTTTACAGCATTTTCTCGCGAAATTGACGCATTTCATTTTACACTAGCTCGTCAACATCCCCAGCATCGTTTTCAACATCCCCCGCATGTCCGACCAACATCCCTAGCATCACCAACAAATCGTGTGTAACAAAATCCAAAAATGTAGCTGGCGGGTTGACGGGGTCAAAACAATAACGCTTCAAACAGGAGGGCATTTCAATCCCAGCAAAAAAAGATACCAAAAAACAATTAAGAAAAACAGAGCGGGGTAGTGATGATTCGAACAGGGGTGCAATTAAATCTCTGCAAAAAGTCTAAAAAGTAGTGGGGGGGTTGGGGGGGGCGGCAGCCCCCCCCATGATGTTCGAAGAATTGATGATTCAACTAGGGGTGCAATTAATTAAATCTCTGTAGAAAATCTAAAACGTAGCGGGGGGGTTGGGGGGGGGCGGCAGCCCCCCCATGATGTCGGAAGAAGTGGTGATTCAAGTAGGGGTGCAATGATTCAAGAAAGGGTGTGATAGAATTTAACAGGCAGCGGGAGGGTTGGCGGGGGTGGCTTCCCCTATGATGTTCGAAGAAATGCATACATACAGACATACACGGACTACACAGATTACCTAAAATGTCGTATTTTGCAGCATTTTCTCGCGAAATTGGACGCTCGAAAAAGTGATGATTCAAACAGGGGTGCAATTCAATCTCTGCCGGGCCAGTAAAGTGTCGTATTTTACAGCATGTTCTCGCGAAATATACCCGCATGTCCCACCAACATCCCTAGCATCACCAACAAATCGTGTGACGGGGTCAAAGAAATGATGATTCAAGTAGGAGGCCATGTCAATCCCTGTAAAAAATACATAAAAAGTAGCGGGGGGGTTGGGGGGGGGGCGGCAGCCCCCCCCACGATGTTGTTTGCAGAAGTGATGATTTGAATAGGGGTGCAATTAAATCTCTGCAAAAAGTCTAAAAAGTAGCGGGGGGGTTGGGAGGGGCGGCAGCCCCCCCCCATGATGTTCGAAGAATTGATGATTCAACTAGGGGTGCATCTCTGTAGAAAATCTAAACGTAGCGGGGGGGTTGGGGGGGGCGGCAGCCCCCCCCATGATGTCGGAAGAAGTGGTGATTCAAGCAGGGGTGCAATGATTCAAGAAAGGGTGTGATAGAATTTACAAGGCAGCGGGAGGGTTGGCGGGGGTGGCTTCCCCTATGATGTTCGAAGAAATGCATACATACAAACATACACGGACTACACAGATTACCTAAAAAGTCGTATTTTGCAGCATTTTCTCGCGAAATTGGACGCTCGAAAAAGTGATGATTCAAACAGGGGTGCAATTCAATCTCTGCCGGGCCAGTAAAGTGTCGTATTTTACAGCATGTTCTCGCGAAATATACCCCGCATGTCCCACCAACATCCCTAGCATCACCAACAAATCGTGTGATGATTCAAGTAGGAGGCCATGTCAATCCCTGTAAAAAATATATAAAAAGTAGCGGGGGGGTTGGGGGGGGGGCGGCAGCCCCCCCCACGATGTTGCTTGCAGAAGCGATGATTTGAATAGGGGTGCAATTAAATCTCTGCAAAAAGTCTAAAAAGTAGCGGGGGGGTTAAGGCCGCCCCCCCATGATGGTCGAAGAATTGATGATTCAACTAGGGGTGCAACCCCCCCATGATGTTCGAAGAATTGATGATTCAAGTAGGGGTGCAACTAATTAAATCTCTGCAGAAAATCTAAAACGTAGCGGGGGGGTTGGGGGGGCGGCAGCCCCCCCCATGATGTCGGAAAAAAGCCACCTGCCGAAGAGGAACTGGGAATGCAGAGGATGCGAAAAGCCAAAAAGCCACCAAAAGCCGCATAAACCAGCAAAAAGCCGAAAAGCCTAGAAGCCCAGAAGCCGAGAAGCCAAGAAGCCGAAAAGCCAAGAAGCCAAGAAGCCAAGAAGCCAAGAAGCCAAAAAGCCAAGAAGCCCAGAAGCCGAGAAGCCGAGAAGCCAAGAAGCCAAGAAGCCGAGAAGCCAAGAAGCCAAGAAGCCGAGAAGCCAAGAAGCCAAGAAGCCAAGAAGCCAAGAAGCCAAGAAGCCAAAAGCGAAGAAGCCAAAAGCGAAAAAAATTCCCAAAAAAAAACGAAAAAAATCCTAAAGTAAATACCCCTCCATTTATCATTCGTATTATTGTTATTACTGATTGTTGTTATTATTGACATTACTATTGTTATTATGATCATTATCATTATCATTGTCACTAATATTGTTATTACTATTATTTCTGTTTGCTGTTGTCATTTCTTATTATCTTTATTATTGCTATCATTACTTATATTATTATCAATATCATCATTGTTATTGTTAGTATTATTAGTTCTATTGTGTTTGGCGGTTGCTTGAAAACCCGTAGCGGGCCACGGTAAACAACGCAACGACCGGTTACCATGCTGTGTTCTGGCATAGTCATTGAAACAAACCCCAACGGCACATCGAGTCGCAACGAGCGCTTCTTACGTGAAAATCACACCGCGGAGCCCAACGCCACGACTTGTACAGTTGGGAGAATTCGCACCTTTCTCACCGAAGCAAACAAAATTGAATGCAGTTCTGTTAATGCGGAATCTTCCTGCGACCATTTCGCCAAAGTCCGCACTGAATCGAGGATCGCTGGAATAGTAAGGCAAAGTACCACAACTGGCATTGGGCTTCAAAGAATACAAGGAGGTTTGCCATTCGGGGGCTCTTGTGCTCGTTTCGAGTTCATCAACACTTGCCATGAAAGTAAAACTCATTTGGAAGAAATTCTTCTTTAATGTCAAGCATTTTGGAGGGCAATCCTAGTTTTTAAGGGCGTTCCCCGACTTTGGGATATTCCCGCTTTGCCAGGGCAAACTACGTGCTCACATTCACAAGCCGTTTCAGACGATTTTTCTCGGCTCCCCCCTCCTCCCCAACAAACCTCTACACCCCCCAAACACACACGCACACACACACACACACAGACGCACACACAAAACCCCCCACGGCGGCCAGTGAAAACCGCGGCGCTGGCACCACCACCACACCCACAGCGCCCTCCGGCCCGCCGATCCAGGCCGGGCCACCCTCAGGATCTCAAAATCGGACCACAAGACATGGCCTGGATGCGGCGTCCACTTGGATCCAACCTAACAGGGCTGCCTCCAAGTTGGCGCAAAAGGTTTTTGGAAACTCAGAGGAACCGAGGGGGGCGGGTGGGCGAGTGGGGGCGCGACCAGCACAAAACGGAATGGGGCCGCTGGACCAGCTCTGGTCCATCGGGCTATTCAAGTCATTCGCGCTCAGACCAGGCGTCCTTCCCGATGGACACCTCGGCTGAGGCAAGGTTTCTGGCTCTCCTGACCCATGAACACAGGGTTGGTGGGAAGTGACCACTTCTGTGATACAACAGAAAGGGCCTAACCCCAAAGACCAACGCCCCAAATATGAACGGGGGGAGAGTCTCTTGTATCACAGTGGTTGGATTTCTTCCCCCGAGTGATCAACAAACACAACCCCGCATGAACATGTCACCCCTTTTTTGGGGGGGACCGACCCTTTCCGGGGGAAAAAAACAAACGCTCTGAGGGATCGATCCCTTCTTTCTGAAAAGGATCCCGTCTCGGTGGACCCTGTTGGCGGCGGACTCCCGCCCCGGGCCGCCAAGGTGAAGTGGTTTTTGCAGCCCCCGGCCTAACGGACCAAAGACCAAAGGAACTTCTGCTTCTTGCAGCCCCCTACTTAAAATGAGCAGAACCAAAAACCAAAGAACTTGCCAAGAACAGTAAACGCGTGGTATGTTTTGATAATTTAAGGGTTTTCTGGCTTTGCGTCTGAGACGCCGGGGTCAGCGGCAGCGCGACAGCCCGAAGGCAAAAGATGCAGATTGCCAGCTGCTTCGCCATCGCTGCCCATCTGTGCACTGCACTTGTGGTCTGCCGCGAGTTGGGAACCTGTTCAGTTGGGCTTGCTGGCGAATTCTCTCGAGTTTTCAGGCTGGCTTGCAAGTGTCCAAATCATAGAATTGCCACTGCCACTGCCATCCAATTCTGACGCTTGGCCGAAATTTGTTCAAGCTTCGCGAGAGTGGACAGATGTCAAATGCCCGCTAAAAAAATGTCTCTGATCAGCAAGCTGCAACACAAAAAATGGTTGCATCCCGCGCCCAACGATGTTGCCCAGTCCATGCCATCTTCGTGTTGTTGCAGCACACGGGCAGGTGTCGTGCATGCAAATCGAGTCCATCTTCGTGATGTGTCTGTCACATTTGCTTTGGCCTGGATAGTCATGATATGAACTGCCACTATTTGAGCCCAACCAATGCACCGCTCATGTGTCAAGTTGAAGGACTCATCCCAATGGCATTTTGCACATACTGTAGATGGATAAAATCCTGCACCACCTAGAATGGATACAATGAATTCTGGGCTGAACCTCCTACCAACGTTTCACTTCTCCAAGAGACTCAGGTGCCCCCCCCTTCCCAAAAAAAAACGGTTTTCCTTCTGGCTTCCGGACTTAAACCTGAGAACTGGGGTTTCCCAAAATCGGGAATAAAAGCCTTTCGGCCACTGGAAGCCCGACCCCGTGGACCATGCTCGCGCCTGAAGCAGCCGCGCAAACTTCGAGAGCCCCAGGACCCTGCGCGAGAAAACTCGTCCGCATAGCACAGGTCCCCTGCGTAACAAGCCTCTGGAGCTCCCTTCAAGTTCATCCAAGCGAGGCCTTCGGCAGCCTCTGTCCACTTCCAGTTGCAAGCCTCTCTTCACAACTGGGCAGTGTGGCGGTGTTGCTTTGCTGCTCCTGTGTTGAAGCCCATTGAATGGGTACCCAGTTCCCTACCAGAGGGTCCGAAAGCAAAGGGTGGCGTCCTCCCCTACGCAAAGTGCATGGAAACCCAGACCCCGACGACATATTCCTGCCATCTGTTCAAGACATGGGTTCTCCCTCAAAAAACGCACGCAGAAATCCCCCATACAGTACCCTCTCTTCTAACACCTCTCAGATGGGCGCCTGCCATCCGGAAAGTAGGCCACGTGCGCTGTCCCGGAGAAGGGGAGCAAGTGGTGCTCGCACATGGAGTGGAAGGGGATGTCCTGAACTCACCAGGCATGAGCTTTTGCTTGGGATTTGGCAATAGAGGAATCTTGCCCTTTGGCGAGCCATTCAAAGAACAGCCCTGCCCCATCCCCTGCGTGCTTGGGAATGGACAGGGGAACCCCTTGCTCCCCTGCAAATGAAACCTGAGACCCTGCAAACACAAATGCAAAGGAGTGTCCTCTAAAAAGTCGCTGGTTTTTTGTAGGCTCCATGTTCATCTGAAGCTCTCGGCTAAGTCTTCGCCACCAACCCACCCGCACAGGCAGTCCCGCACCGCCACCAGGTCTTGGGCGCCCTCCACCTCACCGAATTCATGGGCCCGACAACCGACGCCCGACTGACTACACCAACAAGGAGTTGCGTTTTCTCCACAACCGGAAAGTGTGATCATTGCGACCATGAAGGTCCTCAACGATTCAAATTAAAACTTGGGCTCAAGAGAACATGCTGCAAAGCTGGAAGTTGTGAATGTTGCTCGGTTTGATGAATATCCCGGCACCCCTCTTTGTGAGCAAGGTTTCCCTTGGCCAGGGATTTCCAGCTTTTCCCAGCTTCCTGCACAAAGAATGGGTGCAAAATGCAAGGGAGCCACACAGGGCATATGCGGTTGAATAGTCACACAGATGCACTGACAACATGAGTTGAGATGAATGAATGAACAAGCACCAGCAAATAAGTACACAAATAGCATGAGCACACAGATATTTGATTGATCAAATGAATAGAACAAATAAATGAATCAGAACACACATGAAGAAGTAAATGGGTTGAGAGTGTATGTAGAGATAAAACATAGCTAAACTCATACACCATGACATGTCGTTGTGGCATCCTCATGAAGCCTCGCTCATGGATATATGTGGTCAAAGCAGCTCTGCAAGAAAGCCTCGCTGCGCAGAACCGGACATCTCGCACACCAACGAGTTGTGTTCATGTTGGGTGTTTTGGTGCGCCTGTGCTGTCCCTTAAAAAAATACCAGCATAGACCCCAGATAGCACACCACGGCTACGAACCATGACGCAGCATCATAATGGTTCCCGCGGCATCATGATGATGTTGACAGCATCCGAATGATGTCGACAGCATCCTAATGATGTTGACAGCATCACAAAGATGTTGACAGCATCATGACGATACCACAGCCACTCAGCATGGTGCACTAAATAGACGCGCAAACAACGCCCTAATGAGTTCAGCAGCATAATGATGTTGACAGCATCATGCTGACACACCAGCCACAAACGATGCCACGCTACATATCTAGCAGAAAAATGCAAAAACGACGTCCTGATGAGTTCGACAGCATCATGATGATACCGCAGCCACGTCATCTTGCGATAGCGTAATGAAATTCAGCTGATCTTGACGCAGTGATTCCAGCAGCATCATGACGTGATTGACAACATCATGATGATACGCCAGCCCAGCCACGAACCATTACGCGCGACAGTTAGGGCAGCAAAAACTTTTGAATCGGTTCAACAGCATCATTGAGCTGGGGACAGCATTATGATGATGCCACAACCACCCCAAACAGCACCCGCCCGAGCACCCTGCCATCCATATGCTGGGCCGGGCCGCTTGGGGGGGGGGGGTTCAGGTTCGGGTTCGGGTTCGGGTTCGGTTTGTTTTTGTGGGGGGGGGGGTTCGGGTTCGGGTTCGGGTTCTTCGGGTTCGGGTTTTCGGGTTAGCGGGTCGGCCCCCGGTTTTGGGCCGTTCGCGGAGGGGAGGTTTCGGGTTCGGGTTCGGGTTTGGGGTTCGGGTTCGGGTTCGGGTTCGGGTTCGGGTTGGGCTACGTTTTTGCGGGGGGGGGGGGGGGGTTCGGGTCCCGCGCACCGTGTTGGGTAAAAAACAGTACGTGCAACTGAACAGCACCCCAAAACTGGAATTGCACCACCACCCCAAACTGCATGCCCCCTAGCACCCGCCCGCATCTCGGAAAATTGCGCCCACGACGTCACCAGCACCTCAAACAGCACCCCAACAGTACCCCAAAACAGCACCTGCATCAGCACCCCAAAGCGCATGCGGCCTGCACCATCCCCAGCACCTCAAAAAATCAACCCAGAGCAGCACCTACGCCAGCACCACAAACTGAATCCATCAGCGCCTTAAACAGCACAGGCACCAAACAGCACCTCCACCAGCACCCGAAACTGCATGCCCCCTAGCACCCGGCCGTCAATCTCGCCACCGTCAAGCTCGCAAAACAGCACCTCCACTAGCACCTGGCCATCACTTTCGCAAAACAGCACCGCCACCAGCACCCCAAACTACATGCCCCCTAGCACCACCCGGCCGTCAAGCTCGTAAATCAAGCTCGCAAAACAGCACCTCCACCAGCACCCCAAACTGCATGTCCCCTAGCACCCGGCCCTCAATCTCGCAAATAATTGTCCCTTCTTTATTAGAAGTTAGAACCCCTATAGCTTTCAGAAGAAAAACAAAAGAAGAAGAAAAATCCACACCCAGCGCTGTCGATTTTCGGATCGCCTCGAAGATTCCCTCGCCCACTGCCACCAAGGGATCCTCCGCAAAACACGCAAGTCTCGCGAGCGGGGGGGGGGGGGAAATGTCCACCAACTGACCCAAGTTCTCTTCAGTTTGATGCCCTCTCTCGATGGGTATCTCGAAAAGTTGAGAACAAATCTTCATTCTCTTTTGGCTTCTTTTTAGGGAAAATAACAATTGTTGGCCATTTAGCACCCAGCTTGGGTTCTCTTCCAGGCAAGGATCCCAAGAAAAGCAGGAGATCTGGAGAGTGCGGTCAGCGACGTATGTGATGTCCCATCTGCCACCCCAGAATGTCTCGACAGGAAGAGAAGTTGGTTTTGATATACCCCCAGCTCCCTTCATTGGGACATTCCCGCTTTGCTCCACAAAGAGGAAAACCAAAGGTCCAAATCCTGGCTCCCCCAAAGTGGTTCACGCACTTTTGGAGAGCCCGCCAGAGCCGCTGCTGGGCTGGATACCTTGGAGATTGGCAGGTCGCTTGACATGTTCTTCGACGCCTCATAAATTAAACGGGTTTGTCTCAAAATAGAGGAGCCCCATAATGGGGTTGCTTCCCTTTGGCTTCCCTTTCAAATGAACCCAAAAAGGATACACTCAAAAAATGGCATCACCAACTACGGCGCTGACGAATAACTAATAAGGAGCACCTCATGCCACCTTCGTTTCCACCGCAAAAACCAGCTCCCACCGAAGCCTCACCCCAGCTTCCCCCCAGCCAAATCCAGAGATGTGTGTCTCAAAATGGGTTGGAAAAAAATGTGTCGGATGGCTCTCAAGGCAAGCCAACAGGCCACCAATCCCTGATGGTTCAAAAGCGAACCCACCAGGCAGCCAAGCCGTTTTTGGATGGGTTGTTGGAGATATCAGGCACTTGGACCTCCCCGCCCAACTCCCCAACTGCCCAACTGCCCCCGCCCCTTCACCTCCCCACCAACCTCTCCCCCACCTAGCCCCCCCCCCACCGCCCTTGATCGGCGACCCTCCTGCACCTGAAGGCCCGCGGTCATCTCCCTGAAGGCCTTGGCCGCGCCTCGGATAGGAAGTGGGGCGCCAAGGAAGGGGCGTGGCTCAAAACTCGGGCTCCAACATGGAACCCTTCCAGGCGTATGGTAACTTCCCCTCAATCTGGCCCAGGACACCGACTTGACCAGATGTAAACTGCAGTCTCTAGAGCTTGACAAAACTCCAAAAAAGAAGGCACAGCCTTGGTCCACCATTTGGATTCTCAAAAAACAATGATTCGGAAGCCCCATTCGGTGTTCTCTTGGCTTCCCTTGTCCAACCTAAAAGGGGCTTCCCCGCCCCCCCCCCAAAAAAAAAAAAAGCTCAGGTGAGATCCCCAGCAGCATGCGGTGCTCTTTTTAGTGCTCGCGCCACCCCGCAGCCCTCGCAGAACCTCGTGGAACTCTGGTGGATTTATGGTGGAACCCTGGTGGAACCCGGACCACCCCAGAGCCTATCTGGGCCTTTTAATTTCCCCAAAGCTTTCAGCTGTTGGGGAAGAAAACAACCGCTCCCCCCAAACACCCCCCCCAAACAAAAACGACCTGCAAGTCCACCTTGAGCAGCTCCCCAAAGGGCCCCTTTTGGCCCCCAGGCGGTACGGCGTCTTCCGCAGCTCCGGCCGCGAGGACTCCTTGGGACAACACCCAAGGCGGAAACTCCACACCACGCAGTTGGGATTGGTGGGGTTCCCGCCTATTCTTCATGGGGTTCATGCATCACTGGGTTGGAATCGGTGGTTTACTTATAATTGTTTTATAGGTTTTTTCTAATGCATCAACTAACTGCAGGATGTCGTGATGGGCTCCTTGGCTTGCCGGGTTTCTTTTTGTTGTTGCATCCCTGCGAAACGCCCTAGATGCTTGTCCGGTTGTTTTGAGTTTGTATGGCTTGAATGCTTGTTTGTGTGGTTGTGTGGTTGCCTGCATGCTTGGTTGTATGTTTTTGATGTGATCGTTTGTTGTTCAACTCGCGCCAAAAAGTGCGAGACTTGAAACGCCCTGGATCCGCTTAGCAGCATACAAGAGTATCAGGGAAGTATCATCTGAGTGTGCAGGTCCGACAAGGATCTGGCCTGTTTCACCAACAGAAAGCTTGCTCCATGCCGGTCCCCCTGTTCCTTTTCCAGCTTGAAACCTCCTTCCGCTTCAGTCCAAGCCTCAACGCACGAGACCTTGGCTCAACCCAATTCCCAAGTCCCTCCACCTATGTTCAAGCCTGGCGACGGAGCCAACCCTGGCAACCAAACCCAAACCTGGGAATCATTCAGCCAGCTTCCAGCCGCGGATATCTCGGAGGAACCTCTCTCCACGTCTCGTACTTCCCCTTGGTCACCCCAGTTGCGCCAAATCCCCCCCCCCAAGCCCCCCCTGGCTCCTGGGGGCCCAAAGTCGACAAGATCTGGCGAAAGGCCTCCTGCCGAGGTGTCTCAGCTGGTTTGGCTCCGGGAAACCAAAGATAGAAACCAACCCACTTGTGGGAGGGGTCCTCGTTCAAGACCAGCTCAGCCCCGGAAAAATCCATCAGGGATTCCACAGCTCAGTGAAAAGAAACCACTGTGAAACGAGAGGAGTCCATCAATCTTCGCCGAGCTGACCGTTTCAAAAGGACAAATCCTCCAAACGAATGGATTTTGGGGGAGTTCTGGAACTGCCTCATCTTCCACAGCCATCTCCCAATCTCCTTTTTTTCTGGCAAAGAAAAGGCTCAGGAGGCCTCACCTTGTCACCGAGAGAAGGCTGGGCCAGGCTGCCAGGAGCTGGAGGTGATCGCTTTTGCCATACACCAAAAGGAAAAAGCAGAGGTCAAAAACCAGGTTCGGGGCTGGAAAAACACAGGTCCCGTTTCAGGCTACGTCCTTCCTTTTCTTGGAGAGCACGACTGCAGGGTTGGGCATGGCTCCAACCCTTCTGCAAGGCAGCTTTTACCATCCTCACGTGGTGGGGGAAGCGGACCGGACTTGGCAACGTTCCTGGCATTTTTCTAGAAACCTTCTTCATTTTAAGCCAGAAGGCACCGAAACTTACCTCCATCTTGCGACCGGCAAGGGGCGGACGACAGCCTCCCTCCGGGGTGTCCCTCTGAATCTCAATGGATTGGTGTTGGAGATCCAATTTCCGCCCACTTCCTTCTGGGAAGAACGTTGTTTGGGTTGTACTTCCACTCAACGGACACAAGCAACTGACACAAAAGAAGGCGCCCCCACCACCCCTCACCTCCCCCCACCTCCCCCCACACCACTTGCCTCAGCGATGGAGGCGCCCGGCTGGGACCTAAGCTCCCGTCTTCGTGAAGCCCGCCAAAGGAAACGCCGCAAGTCGTTCGGCTCATGGCGCAATCCCTGAGGGAAAATGGCCATGTGGCCCTGCACCGTGCCCTTCATTAGAGATCAAAGTGAAAGGCTAGGCTTCAGGATTTCGAGCTTCGCGATTGGGAGCAGAAAAGTTGCCCTGGGTGCAGCTCCACTGGTCTTCCGATGGCGCCCAGAAAAGTGACCCAGGGCTGCCCGATCTTCCCCAATCGTACCGCCTCCGAAAACCCTCCAACAATGATGCCCCTCCATGGACCCAATATAGAGCGACCTGGCAACCCTATAAAGGGCACAAGCCTGAGCTCTTTTTTCACTTCATTGCCCAATTCGACTGATCGATGGTCCTTCGGCCCATGTCGCACAAGCAAGCTGAGAAACATTAGTTGGTAGCACATGTTGTGTGTTTAAAGTTGAACTGGCAAGGTGCACTTGCCACTGCTAAAATGATAGGAAACAAAAGATGAAAAAACACACGTGAACGAATCCTCAATTGGGCCCCCCGCTGCGGCAGTGCCAGCGGCCGGGACGGGGTCACCAGCTGCACCTGCGGGCTCCCTTCTTTCTTTTGGTTATATATTTATATATGTATATATGGTACCCCCCAAAAAAAAACGGTTTTGTGATATATCGGAGGGGTTGCATATATATATATATATATACATATATGGTTTAATGTGTTTGCCATAGGTGGCCTTTTGGAAAAATAGATGGCCCTGGTAAATGGATAAACCCCATCTAAACCAGGGCCCTCTATTTTGTAAGCAAGCCAACCAAAAAGGACACCTACGGTGTTTGCCTTTACCTTTCCTTCTTTGTCCCGGTAAAGTTGCCAGCCTTATCGCGCAGCCAATTCGCACGACAGAACAGGCACGAAAGCACATGCAGAGCAAGATGCACGACAGGACATGCAGAGCAAGATGCACGACAGCACGCGCAGACCAAGATGCACAGGACAACACGCATAGCAAGTAGCAAAAGCAGCAAAATGCACGAGGAAAGCTCGCACGAGACATGTGGACCTGAAAGTAAAATTAGTCTCTTAAGGCGGTGGGACCGAACCCACTGCGAAAATGATACCCTCTGCGGGGATCGGCGTGGTCGATCTGCAAGAACTGGGGGCTTTTTTGCGATTTGGGATTTGCCCGTGCGACCCTCTGCGGGGATCGCGGTCAATGTGCACAACTGCAGATTCTGTCCAATTTCTACGGCTCGCGCGTGGGCGATATGCAAAATCTGTGGTCTTTTGACGACTTCTGATTTGAACGCGCGACCCTCTGCAGGGATCGGCGTGGTCAATGTGCAAAAACTGTGGACGTTTTGCGAATTCTGATTCGAACGCGCGACCCTCTGTGGGGATTGGCGTGGTCGATCGCACGAAATGCTAGTAAAATAAAACTTTTTCTAGTCGGAGCGCGGGCTTCTGGAAGCGAGCAGCCCCGAACTCGAATCCTGCTTGGTCTCCGCGGGACAATCAGCAGCGCGAAACTAACTCGCAGCTTCGGCTAGAAAATCGCAACTTTCCATTACGAGGGAAGTACGCGAAGTACACTTTCAGAAGGCTCCGGCTGGAGGATCTCAATTTTTGAGTACAAAGTATTGCGCGAAGTACACTTTCGCACGCCTGGATCGACAATTAACTCACGTCTCACGCAGGTCTCGTGAAATGTGCGCCCCGCATCAGCCACTGCCCTGGTGCAAGTTGTCAGGGCACGACGCGTGTGCCAGCGCCAACCACCAGATTTGGGGGGAGGGGGAGTTGCAATGCCTGAAGCTTGCAAGCAGCAGAGCAGCTGGCATCTTCGGAACTCGGCGGTTGCTCGCCTCCCACCTCGTGGCCTGCCACAAGTACCTCACTCGTGGCCTCCTCCAGGGAGTCGTCTATGCCGTCCATGCCGCTCACAGGGGACATGCCTCGGCGAAACCGCATGCCATGTGTGGGTCACCTGCTCGAGTCTCCCCTGGGAACAACGATGGCTTTGTCTCCGAACGAAGATGGTCAGGGAGCTGCTACTTCTGCTGTCTGGCTTTCCATTTTGCCAAGGGAGGGTACCAAGCCTATGCAAAAGTAGCCCTTGCACAACCAGGCAGGGCCACTTGGCAAGTGGCCCATGGTGGTCTGGGCGTCCCGGCAGGGCCGGGGCGTCCGCCGTAAGCTCACCTAAGCTGACTTCGCTGCGGGATCTTCGGAGAAGACCTACCGCTGGATTTGAAATGATTTGTACACGCATGCTTTGGGGAGGCAGGCGCAGTCGGCTTGGATGGGCGCACGGATGTGAAAAGAGGGATGTGCGGACAGTTTGGAGCATCGTTTCAGGACGGCACTCAGTACTTCCCGGAATGTGCAACCACTGGACAGCCCACGGATTCCCCCAGCTGAGCTCCTTGTAATTTGAGCAGAACTCTGCCTGCACATTGCAGCTTGGGCCTCTCGGCGCCTCTTGCGCTGGAAAAAGACTACTCCGCCCGGTCCGCCCCATCCCAGCCCCCGCGCCCCTCGCATGGGGCTTCGGGCAGGAACCCCGTCAGAGGCCAGAGACGCCATGTGGAACGCCTGAGGCACGGCTGAATCACTCAATCGCTCACTCAGGCCAAACCCAAAAACGCGAAGGAGCAACCAGAGGCGGCCATGGTTTGCCGGGTGAAATGTCACGTCAAAACAAGTGACACGCCCTGGACAGGCACGGTTCATCTCCCCGTGCGACAGATCTCAGATCGAATTTGCCTTGGCAGAGCCTTGGCTTCCAAAAAAAAGACTCACGCGCCCCATGGCAAGGGACCCCAAAAACCCAACGTTGGGATGGCCCCACTACCGGCAGCGACGAAACTCGGGCGACTCTGACTCGGGCGACTCGGGCGACTCGGGCGCCCGGCTCCTTGCCCCGGGCGCTCTGAGACTTGAACCTGGCGAGGCTTCGGGGAGCTTCTCCACGAAGGACTCGGCGTGGGGTTTGTTTGTTTGTTTCCCGAATGGGTACCTTCTTCCCTAAAGGATTTGGCGTGTTTTTGTTGTCTTTGTTGCTTGGATTTTTTGTGTTTCCGAATGGGTACCCGGGGTGTTCGCTTCTCCGAAGAAAAAAAAAAAAAAAAAGTACCCGGCGCTTTCAGCTCGGTGTTTTTTGAAGAGAAGCCGCGAACCCCGAAGAAAAGCGGCTCACCATGCCCCAAAGCGGACAACAAAACCCCCGGAGGCTTGGACCAAAAGTTGGCTAAAACGGCGCAGAGACTCTGGCGGTTTGGGGCTCCAAGGCTTCGGATCCATGCGAAGAGAAAAAAAACCACAGGGACACCAAAAAAAAAAAAAAGTCCACAGAAACTGCCAAACAAAAAAGAACCACCTTGAACCGATCCTCCGCTTCGCATCTTTTGGACCCCTCGTCGCTCCCAGATTTCATTTCACAGTTTGATAAACCCCAGCAACCGTCAAAGCGACCCGAGGACCGGCACAAGTCACAAGTTTTCCTCCAGCCTCAATCCAGTCGCAGCGCCGCTGCCGCAAGTGCCCGCCGATCCGGCTGATGACCTGCAAAGGGCTATTTCCCCCAAGCGTGTGGCGCGTGGGGCGTTTGTGTAGGCGCTTGTGTTTTGTGGGTTGGTTGTGGGCTTTTGATGGGAGTCTGTGGGCTTCGAGGTGGTCGAAAGCCCTTCCAAGTTGCCCTTCTTCCATCTTGAAACGTCCGCAAGCGCCCGACTTGTTCAAGGTTTCATGAATTGAGCACATCTCCGAACCACACATCCAGCTCGCAGAAGGTCCCACACATGCAGCTCCCAGAAGTTCCACACACTGGATTTCTTTGCCCTCTGCCCACCCAACACCCCAGGACATGTCGAAATCGGCTCGACCCCGGCTGTCGAATATGGAATCCCCAAAGACCGAGCATGGCCGCCCGGTGACCTGAACCCTCGGGAGGCTTCTGTTCCGGGAGATCCCGAAAGGGTGAACACGGTGAACACGGTGAACACGGTGAACACGGTGAACACGGTGAACACGGTGAACACGGTGAACACGGTGAACACGGTGCGTGGCTTGTTGACCATACAACCACTAAAGGGTACAATCCACTTCGCCCTTTTCGCCCTTGGGTCGTTTCGGGGGTGGAACAAAAGCATCTGAGAATGTCGACGCGCACACAAAAATCGCAAAAAAAAATCAAACAAGATCCGCCTCCTTGGCGATGTACTCCGCCAGCTCCTGGCGAGTGGATCGGAACCCAACGGATGAACTCCGAATCTGTGGGTGGCCTTGGCTGTGAGAGGGACCCTGGCGGTGGTTGTCTACATTCCAGGGGCAAACACAGTCCCTACCCCAAGCAAAAGGGTCTTTTCAACTTTTTCACAGAGGCTCGGGTGTGACCTGGACCTGGCGCAGTGACCAACGCCAGACGAGAGGATTCTGGGGAAAGCAAGCGCCCGAAACCCATCGACTCATCTTCCAAGAAGCTTAAGCTCCTGCAGGCCCGACCCAGATCCTTATAAACCGACTGGAACCCCAGTGGATCCCAAATTCCACCCCCCTCCCAAAAAAAGCGCCCCCCCCCCCCAAAAAAAAAAAGAAAGAAGGACAAACGCTCCCCCCCACCCCACCCCCCAAAAAAAAATCGAGGAAAAAAAAAAGGAGTAAAAAAAAGAAAAGAAAAGGGAGAGAAAGAAGAAGAAACAAATAGAGAGAGAAAAAGAAAAGGGGGAAACAAAAAGGGGGAAAAAAAGGAAAAAGGGGGAAAAATTGGAAAATAAAAAAAAGAAAAAATAAGAAGAAAAAAAAGAAAGAAAAAAAGAAAGAAAAAAGAAGAAGAACAAGAAACAGGCCCCGGAACTTGAAGCCTTTGCCCCCATGGGCCACCCTCCCGCCGCCTCCGCCGTGGTGTGCACCACCGGAAGCAGCAGGCAATCCTTCGGCGAGGTCCGGGGACGTTTGGGGCGTAAAAGGGGGGGGGGGGCCCCGGCAATCCGGGGGCCGACTTTGGGAAAATCCCGAGGATCCCGAGGATCCCGAGGTTTCCCCCCCCCCCCCGGATTTGTTTGCTTTCCCGGACTTTTTCTTGGGAGGGGAGGGGGGTGGCGTTCAAGGGGAACGAAAGGAAGAACCTACGGCATCTTGGTCTTGGGAGCTCCGAGTATGATGCTGACTCCACCCAAGCATGATCCTGTTTAAGCCGAAATTGCAAATACGCGCGAAAGCAACCGCCTTGGGCTTGGGAGCCAGGGTCTGGTTGGTTGAACAAGCTTTGCCCAACCCTGCCTAGGTGGTCGCTTTGGGCGGAAAGCAGGGGTCGTTGTTCAGCCGAAAGCTTTGGGGTCACTGCCCAAGTAAGCTATAGAGGGTCTTCAGAGCGGCTTCATGCATTGGGGGGGGTTGCTGTTGCGGATATTGGCATGTTGTTTGAGGACATCGGAGTGGGCAATGAATTTAAGCCCTGAGGCGATTGAGGTCGACCCTCTGTTTTTCAATAGCCAATGGACAAATACACCACGACACTGGATGATGTCAGCAAAGCCAATTGCTCCTATCTTGCTTTCTGCCGTTCGGCCAGCAGTCTCGTATCCAGGCATCTATCCACGATTTGCTGGGACCGAAATCCCAGCATTCCGAACTACTCCCTCGAATCAAGTGTTCGAAGGTGCAAAAAAAACTCATGTTGGTTTTGGCCGCTGGGAGTGTGGTTTTGGTTTGTTTGCTTGAGGACCATCTGCTGGCAAAACGGACCATCTCTGCAAACAACACGCCCTTCCCTTCCAACCCTTGCAAGCCTCGACCCCCATGTGCCGAGCCCCCCGAAAATCCATCAAAGTCAGCCACATGAGCTCCCAACCCCTCAAGATTGGCTTTTGGTCATGGGCTGCGTCTTTGGGGCACCCGTTTTACGCCTTGCATCTAGAGGTGCCCCCTAAAAGTCCAAAGCACATGTTCGAGTCGTGACCATGTCTCTTTAACTTCGAGAGGGAAGAACATCAAATCCTAAGCAAATGGAATCCACTCTCCAAACAAGGCTCCCCTTTGAGGCAATGGTTGTTGTCCCTTTCTCCAGTACGGGGTCACCATAGGCTCCAAGAGAAACCACCACATTCCAGTCCGGAGTTGTCTCAAGATAGTGGACCCCTCACATGTCACTGGCTTCTACGTTGCAACAATTGCTTCCCTGCCTCGAAGTGGGTAATGTTGACCCCATATCAATCAACCCCAGCTTATTCATAGGGGTGCGTCAACCTGGGTTTAGAGGGGATTCAGACCACTTTTGGAACACCCCCCTATGAAACGAAACTGGTTGGTTGCTGAAAATCTGGGGTCACATCTCAAGGAGGTTCAATGAAGCTCAAACAAAAACAGCAAAAACGGAAAAACATTTATATAAAAAAAAAAGAGGAAAACAAACTCGGCCCGCAGCAGGCAGCTCGCTCGCCCCACTCCTGCAGGGGCAGCACCATTTTCACCCCCTGCTGGCAGAACACCTCCACCAGGTCCGGGCCCTGCGAGTTCGAATCCGAAGCGAATCGAAGGCGTCGATGGGATCGGCTTGGGGCTCTTCTGCTTGGGTGGGGTTGACGGGTGGGCGGGGGGGGGGGGGCACTCGGTACAGCCAGACTCTTTTGGTGTCCCTTTAAATTCCAACCACAAGGGAGTCCATGTTGAGAATCTGGTTCGATGGCCTTATCATAGGGCCCAACACGCCGTTTGACCACAGTAGAGCCAACAGCAATTCGGCCCCTGACAAAAAAAGGGATGGAATGTGTCTCAAGAGCTGGAAAATGCCGACCCTGGTTAAGGGGAACATCATCCCAAAACAGGAGGATTCCTATTTCAACTCCCGAAATCAACCTGGAGAGCAAAAGAACACCTCTTTTTGGTTTCAAGACAACCACCATGTGGGTCTGAACAAAAATATACCGCGCAACGTGTCCCACCCGGCCGCGAATCCACTTCTGCGCGCCGCGCGCCTGCTGCAACCGGAGGACGTTGCTCTGAGCGGGCAGCAGCGTGCGATGATTCAGGCGCCGGCAGATGTCCCGCGCCGCCTAAAAAATATGCGACGGCTGGGCGAGGTGGAGAGATGAAATGAGAAATGGAATGACCCCGAGAAAAACCATACGTTCCAGACTAGTTCGCTGATGGTATCAGCAATATCAATGCAGGTTATTACAAGTTACAATCCATATGCCCCTGGAAACCTTGGTGTTTCTGTGCGTGAGTTTAAAGTAAATTGTTCTGTTCTGGCGCCGGAGCGAGAGATGGAAGGAGAAACGAATGACCCCAACAAGACCATCCAACTGGTGGTTTCCTTTAAGAGAATCCCCTTCTGGTTCAGTCAACCACATTGAGAAATAGAAGACCCCAAGAAAAACCATCCAACTGGTGGTTCCTGTAAGTTGGAATCCCCTTCTGGTTCATTCAACCACATTGAGAAATGGAATGACCTCAAGAAAAACCATCCAATTGATGGTTCCTTTAAGTTGGAATCCCCTTCTGGTTCATTCAACCACATTGAGAAATGGAATGACCCCAAGAAAAACCATCCAACTGGTGACCTCCTTTAAGTTGAACTCCCCTTCTGGTTCAGTCAACCAGATTGAGAAATGGAAGACCCCAAGAAAAACCATCCAACTGGTGGTTCCTTTAAGTTGGAATCCCCTTCTGGTTCATTCAACCACATTGAGAAATGGAATGACCTCAAGAAAAACCATCCAACTGATGGTTCCTTTAAGTTGGAATCCCCTTCTGGTTCATTCAACCACATTGAGAAATGGGATGACCCCAAGAAAAACCATCCAACTGATGGTTCCTTTAAGTTGGAATCCCCTTCTGGTTCCGTCAACCACATTGAGAAATGGAATGACCCCAAGAAAAACCATCCAGCTGGTGATCTCCTTTAAGTTGGAATCCCCTTCTGGCTCAGTCAACCAGATTGAGAAATGGAAGACCCCAAGAACAACCATCCAACTGGTGGTTCCTTTAAGTTGGAATCCCCTTCTGGTTCATTCAATCACATTGAGAAATAGAAGGCCCCAAGAAAAACCATCCAACTGGTGGTTCCTTTAGGTTGGAATCCCCTTCTGGTTCAGTCAACCACATTGAGAAATAGAAGGCCCCAAGAAAAACCATCCAACTGGTGGTTCCTTTAAGTTGGAATCCCCGTCTGGTTCATTCAACCACGTTGAGAAACGGAATGACCCCAAGAAAAATCATCCAACTGGTGATCTCCTTTAAGTTGGACTCCCCTTCTGGTTCAGTCAACCAGATTGAGAAATGGAAGACCCCAAGAAACACCATCAACTGGTGGTTCAAAAGAGTTGGAATCCCCTTCTGGTTCATTCAACCACATTGCGAAATGGAATGACCCCAAGGTGGTTGCTTTAAGTTGGAATCCCCTTCTGGTTCATTCCCACATTGAGAAATGGAATGACCCCGAGAAAAACCATCCAACTGGTGGTGTCCGTTAAGTTGGAATCCCGTTCTGGTTCTTTCAACCATATTCCTACCTATCGCACCAGCAAGTTTTCTGGCCGCTCGCTCAGGGATGGTTGGCTTTGACCACCCCTTTGCTTAAAGATCTTTGAGCACTCTTGCTCAAACAACCTCCTGTTGGTTTCTCTTGGGATCAGGGGTTCGTTGTTCAATCAAATTTGCCCTGCTGGCTCCGCGAACCCCTTGACAGAATGGGGGGCAACTGCGTTTGACGGGCAAAAGGTGTGGCTGAAAGACGAAAATTGAGGGTGTCACTTAAATCTTCAGAAGCGCAGGGTCGAAGCGGACCCAGTTGCGTTATACTCCCTTGTAAACCAACATGGTAAGTCAAAAAGGGATCCTCCAGGAGATGGCTCTAAGTTCCAGGTTCATATGCAGAGTACTAAAAGTTTGCGCAAAAGAGTGGACATGCCCACCTGTTCGAAGCCTTTTTGAGATGTAAGATGGACCTCCAACGATTTTGAGACATGAGCTCTTCAGACTAGTTCACTGATAGTATCAGCAATATCAATGCAGGGTATTACAAGTTACAATCCATATGCCCCTGGAAACCTTGGTGTTTCTGTGCGTGAGTTTAAACTAAATTGCTGTTTGCAGCCACAGAGCACGACTGCCAAAGGCATGGAAAGGACTGAGCATGTCATTGACATCTCGTGTGTGTGTGTGCACGCATCTGTAGCGGATTATGATCGTGAGCAGTGCGTGATTGTTGAGAGGTCGGTGCTTGGATTTCCTATGCAATGAGAATGTTGCGTAGCCTACGTACAGGTCGTTCCGAAAACGCGCCTATCAAAGATGCACTGGTTGGATCCTGAATAAGGAAAGCAACATGAAGCCTTCTGGATATGTCCCAAGCTTATTCTTGACCCCATTCTCTTTTGGCCTCGCAACCGCCACATGGTGAAACAACCAAAGCGCTCCTCTTCCCCCCTGTCTGCCGCGGGGCCTCTAATGTGGATGAATTACAATCAATTCACCAGCCTCTATAAAGAATCTATGCGTGAGGTCGTTGTCGCCCGGCTGTAATTTGCCAAACTGTGTGGCTTCCGCTAAAATGGTGTTTTCCAAAAAGTTTCAAGTCCAGGAACTCAAAGAGTGAGCGTTTGTCCCAAGCCTGAAAAAGCGATGACAACTACCCTGTGAGCCCGAAGCAATCAGGTGCCATGAAGCCATGAAACTGAGCCGACCCTGCCCTGTTGGCTTCGTTCCAAATGAACTTGAAGATGCGGGAAAGGTCCCCTTCTCACTTCCTGAGCTGCTTGGCAAAAAAAAAAGAAGCCTGAACTGTTTGTTTGCCACGAAGATTGTCTAGGTTGTCCAGTAGAGAAGTTAGAATAAGTTGGTACCCTTTTTTCTGTAGCCTATTGTAGGGGAACCCTCCCAACCAAAAAGAAACGGTGAGAAGGGGCACCTAGCTGGGGGACCTAGTTGTACCAGAAAGCTCCAAGTCCAGGCACTCAGGAAGTGAGCCGTTTCCGAGCGAGCTCAAGGGGGTTCAAACAGCTGGCGGCCTCGTGTGCATGGGCCGTCCTTTTAGGGGAAGTGGATTTCCCTGGTAGATGAGAAAAACCACCAGGTAAGCCAGGAAGTGAAGCCCATCGATTTTGTCCGACCAAAAAAACAGAAACCACACATCGAAGCCCATCGATTTGTCCGACCAAAACAAGCCAAAAAGTCGACACCTAGGCTTGTGTGACTCAAACCCGTCTCAATCCCCCGCTTTCCCTTTGCGATTTGCGCTCGCCTTCTTCAGGTCGCCAAAGTCCACCACGTAGCCATCCGCCTGTCAGATGCCCGGGACCCTGAGGTCCGGTGAGTCCAAACTCGGTGCTAAAGGGTGGATGTCCCGTGGCAAGTGCAGGGAACACAAGAAACCTTGTAACTTGCCGCAATGTTCCAGAATTTGTTGTGGGAGTTGAGGCACTACCAATGTTTAGGGAACTCATCATAGCTTTGTCAGGGCATCTCCTAGCAGACTTGGAAGCTGCCATCGCATCCGGAACGGAGGCCTGGTATGATGCGTTCTCAATCTCTTCACTGCCATGTTCACCAGGTAATAACTGCCCCAATGTCCTGGTCGCCATGTCATTCTATTTTAGATTAATGCAGTCCTCCACACTTCTCTTGCGCGAACTTGTGCACGCCGTACACACCTCCCCTCCGCCAATTGAGTCTCTTTTTCAAGATTGGGCAAGCACCTTCTGACAAAGAGAAACCGAAAGAGACTGACAACTTGCAGGGCCCACGTCATTTGATTAAAACCAAAAACGCAGCTCGGCTGCAGAGGTTGAAACCACTTCATCCCCGTCCGCGCGAGTCCTTTCGCTTCAAAACACCCGCCACTCTGCAGCGAGCACACGCGACCCGACCGGTTCTTCGCCTGGATGCTGTGGGAGCCGATTCGCAGGCCCACGGTGTAGTTGTGGCCTCCCGTGGGGAGCGCTCGTCACGGGCTGCAGATCCATGGAAGCCTTCGGAATCTCCTTTTGCGGGGGACCAGGACCCCACTTTGGAGTTCTTTGATGATTTGCAGGAGAGAGTTGAAAGCTATAGGGGTTCTAATTTCCAATATAGAAGGGAAAATGTTTTGCGAGATAGACGGCTGGGTGCTACGGGGCGTGCAGTTTGGGGTCCTGTTTGGGGTGCTGTTTGAGCTGCTCGTGACGGTGCGGGTGCACTTTTGCAACATTGACGGTGGGGTGCTAGGGGGCATGCAGTCTGTTCTGCTGGCACAGGTGTTGTTTTGTGATGCTGTTTGTAGTGCTGGTGCGGCCGCATTTTTGCGAGTCTGGGAGTGCTGTTTGGGGGTGCTGTTCCGGGTGATGGCGCGGGCGCACTTTTGCACTGATGAGAGGATGCTGGGGGGCATGCCGTTGGGGGTTGCTGGCGCGGGTGGTTGGGGGGGGCTGGTGACGGGCGCGAGTGCGGTTGTGCAAGATTGACGGCGGGGTGCTAGGGGGCAGGCAATTTGGGGATTCTCGCGCAGGTGCTGCTTTGGGATGCTGCTTGGTTGACGTGCTCTTTGAACAGTGCCGGTAGAGGTGCTGGCGTGCAATCGTTGACACATCTTTCGCTACCTGGGGTCTATACTGGTGTAATCAAAACGTTGCAAGGGGTGGTCAAAATGCCATTCCGGATTACCCTGCGCCTCGCTACAAAAAACTCGCTACAGGTAGCAACGCTATTCTGTCTCAGATACATACGCAACTGCATACCCTTTCCTGCATGTGGCAAAAGCAGAAAATAATACCTCCTCTGCCCCATTTAGTCAAGTCCATTGTCGTTGTTGTGCTCAACATGTGAGCCCGATCACTGGTTGAGGATCAGCAATCGCGGTTCAGGACATACGCTAAGAACCTGGACAAAGAAAAGAAAAACTGTTTGGGCTGCTGTGACCATCCCTACGTTTTCCCCAAACCATTCCATAAAATTGAAAAGGCTGGCCCACATACATCCCCAAGTGCCATGTGTTATTCGTTGAAAACCAAGCTTTTACTTGCCCACTGACAAAGCAAAGCATAACAACAACTGGACAACTGCCACTACGTGCTCACCCTTCCTCCCCTTCTCACCCTCCTCACATCCTCTCACCACCCTCCTGTCGCTACAACATCGGCCGCAACCACCACCGCCCGGGCTTAGCTTGCACCCTCCCCCTTGCCCTTGCTCCCCGCAAGCCCCAAAAAAGCAAAAAAAAACAAGAACTTATCAAACCCCCTCCCCCCCCGCCCCCCCGAAACCGAAACCCCTCCGCCCTTAAGACCCCCAAGACCCCCAAGACCCGCCCCTTTCCCCCCCCAAACCCAAAACCCAAACCTCCCAAAAAACCTCCTCCCCGGGGCCATTTTTTTCTCGGCCCCGCCGTGCAGCGGCTCCCGGAAGCCCTCGAAGGCCACGAAGTGGGCCGCGGAGAACTTCAGGTCCGACAGGGCCACCGCCACCTCCGGCGAGGCGAGGCGCGCGGGTCAGACGCAAGGCTCCGCGCGCGCGCAGGAAGAAACGAGGCGGAAGGCGGTGGGTTTGCGCGGGGGGGAGGGGGGGGAGGAGGTGAGGGGGGAGGGGGGAAGGAGTGGGGGAGGGGGGGAGGGGGGGAGATGTGGGGTGGGGGGGTATGTGGGGTGGGGGGTATGTGGGGTGGGCGGGGGAGGGGGGTGTTCGGAAGGGTTCAGTCAGCGAAAACTCCGGCACCCTGCCGACGGTTGAATGGAAGGTGTGACAGAATCAGCAGGAACACAACTTGGTTGGTTTCGAGGGCTGGAGGAAGAGCCCCACATGGCCAGTCTTAGGCTCTTCTTTCTTTGCGACCTCTGGGGATATCGAAGCCGCTCATTGTGGAAGGGCTGAACACATGGCGTCTCCAGATTGTTTAAGTAGCTGACTGGAAGGACGTGCTTCATGCAATCTGACATGTCCCCTTGGGGCATCCCGCCAACCCACAAGGTCAGCCTTTGACTGATTGTTTGCGCGGGGAAGCGCAAAGCAAAGGGACCCCCCTTTTCGGATGTTCACACTCTTCAGGCGCTGTAAAAGCCACTCCGGGAAGCCCTTCCTAAGGCTTCAAAGGGTTCCATGGAAGGCCAATGCACCCTACCCTACCCCCGGTCGGTTTTGCTGAGGTGACACTGGAGCTCCGACGCCGTGGAGTCACAATCATCTCTGCAGTCGTCCGTCAAGGGAACCAAAAAACTTCCCCCGAGCCCTGGGAGTTCCTCTTGAGAAAGTTGTTGCTGCCCCCACCCCTTGGATTTTCTGTGGAGTGAGTAAGCCGACCCACTCAAAAAAGGCCTGCCACTTCTCGTCGCGCACAGGCCTGGCGGCTGGCGTCTCTGCACAAAAACTTGGTCACTGCATGATTAGTCAATTCTCGCAGCTGGGGGTTCATGTCCAACGTCCACTTTTGCGGTGGTCCCAACTCTTAAACTTCACAGCGTACCACAAATCTGAGGTGGTGCCGGCTCTGAAACTTCACAGCATCCCTGAGTTGCTCCAGCACATGCGTGGAGGGAGCTGCTCGACGTAGTAAAACAGGGTCCGCCCACAACGTGATGCTCGTGATCACCCCAGAATCTGAAAGTGTGTCTGCTATTGTTTGCTGGTACCCTGTTCAAGGTTATTAGAAACGATAACCGCAAAAGAACGTCCCATTCTTGGAGTCCACAAAAAGATGGACCCAACTGGGAAAACTACGGACCTCTCCATCAACCCCCCCCTTTTCGGCACGAGCTGCGTCCAGCCTGGGCTGTGTCTCGTCCGCCATCGCCTCAGATTGATTGCCCAGGAGGGGGTTCCAGCGCTAGGGCGGGGCCTAGATGGGTTTGACCCAAAATGTGAGAACCCCAAATGAGTCACAATCAAAACCCGGTACTAAAATGGTCTACCCAGAACCATGTAAGGAACCAAGAAGGCGGCCGCAGCTATTTATGGTTGGGATCGTCCTTTACTAAGCTTCATCTACTCGGATTTTGATTGTGGCTCAAGTGGAAGCGGCAACCCCCAAAAAAAGGGCGACCGCAACAAAAGAACTCTCGCCTTTAGAAGATGAAGCCTAGGCAGCTCATATCGCATTACGCGCCTTCAGTGTCAGAGGCCACGGGGAGATGGCAGTCCTAGTTTCGGACAATGGGAACATGGGAGTGATAACCTCTTGCTGGTTACTTGGGGGGCGGTCCCATTTTTTTTAGACCTCATAGCTCACCAATCTGGGGTTGACCATCCTGCGTCAGTGGGATGAACAAGTCACTAGCATGCCTTTAACAGGAGGGCACAGTCCCTGCACCCTCCCTCCCACGCCACCTGCCATTGTTCCCTCCCCCTCTCACGCAGGAAACGTGTCCTGTTTATTGATCCTTTGTTGGAAAGGTTCTTGGCAGTGCCCATAAGCCTTTCCTCAGATTTCAGCCACTCGCTTAAGGGACTCAATTATGTCCATCCAAGCAGAGGCAACACCGGCAGGTGACCCTTTCCTCTGCGACTTGCAGCGGGGGATGCTCATTCCAGACCACTTGCGTAAAGGCTCCAATTCTTTAACTCACTGCCGCTTTAGGGGAACCGTCCACTGCTCCCCTTCGGAGATGTGATAAAATGTGCGGAAACAACAACACAGTCTGCCAACAAGGTCAGGATACAAACTGCCTCATATCTTCCCTCGCGACATGACCCAGGCAAATGAACATCAGGGTGGTTGAACATCAAAGCTTCTTCACTCATGATGTCCAAAGTCCGGCCACGAACAAGTTGACCAGTCTTGCTGGCCCTACATCACCTAGTGGTTTGACAATGCTTCTCCAACCTCTTGCAGAAATAGTTGATGGCCATCCCCCTTTGCCGCACTGAAACACATGCGCTCTGGCCGTCCGTCTTACCTCCGCCCAAAAATCCTCGAGCAGCCCTGACCTTGTCGGCACAGGGTGTGCGGGAGCAAGGCGTGCGGGATGGTGTCTACCGGTCTTATCCCACTAAGCAAGTAGTGAGCCGCGTGGAGGAACTGCTGCAGTTGGAACTGAACTCAAAACTGCGTGAGGCGCTCATGTTGATGTATACTTTGGCCTGTCTGCATAGTTGCATGGTGTGGGTGTGTGGGTGTGTGTGTGTGTGTGCATGCCACGGATGACTCAGGTGTATGTGCGTGGGTCGGTGTGGGTATGGGCATCGGTGTGCGTGGGTCGGTGTGGGTATGGGCATCGGTGTCAGTGTGTGAGTGTGTGTGTGTGTGTGTTGAGCTGTGTTCATTGGGGGCTGAGCATGCTTGTTCCAATACTTGCACAGAGTCATCTTGCGCAATGCATTTAACCTTCATTGCGTGACGCCATGTATGTCTCTCCAAGCCGAAAACAGGGCACAGAAACGGCCTGTTTCAGCAGACAGCTGGCGCCAGTGGCAGCCTAACTCTATGCCCAAGACCACCTTCGACTTGCCGGCGCTGCACAAATATGTTCGAAGAAAGGAAGCAAATTGTAGACATGCGTGGCGCCCTGGAAGTCAGCGAAATTTCGCGAGTCCCCTGTTTTGAAATTCGAACCGCTCTCCCACTTGCATTGCTTGACCCCGCAAGGCCGACCCATATTGCAGCCTCCGAAAAAATGGTCAGCTGGATTGCCCTATGTGCTGCAGAGCTTGGTCCCTTCACCTGATTCTTTCGAGGCCCTCGCGTGAGCAAACAGCAATCCAAAAGTGTTTGCTGAGCGCAAGCCCGCTGTTGGCTGGATGGGGGGTCTGGAAAGCTCTCCTTCTTCTGAGTTCCCCCACCCTCGCTATCCCAGGGCGGTCTTCGCATGTCAACCCCCTCACCCAAACCCACCAACTCCGCCCATTTTTCTCCGGCTAGCCGGCTTTTCCGGCCGAAGCAAAGTGAAGGCCCCGAGCAGAAGGCCTCCGGCGCAGAACCCATTGGCCCGGCCCTAGAATTGTTTAAACCGGTGAAGCTTGTGATACCACTTCCGAAAACCAGGCGGAGTAAGACAAACAAGGCGAACAGCAAACGTTCGGCTTCGTCACCGTACCCCTAGTAGAGACCCCAAGATCCAAGCGGGATTTGCAGTTGCAGTCGTCACAGGGCCCCGCAGCGCTTGCGAAGGACAATGGGCTCTGGCTTTCAAGCAGCACCTTGATGCGCGCCCGCGGTCTTTTTTATTCCTTAGCAGACATATCGTAGTGCCTGAGCTTCTTCATGTGTCTATAGCTCCGTGGTTACACTCTATATCAAGTTCCACGGTGCATCTGTATTGGATGCCTGCATTGGAAGACGCCGCAACAGGACAACCAGAACCAAGCATGTCCCTCCAAATGCTACCTTTGAAACCTGGTTGAAGAGGCAAATATCATCTCTTTCTCGCGGACCTTGTGTCAGCTTCCGTGTCAGCGGGCGTTGCTTGTCTTGAAAACCCCCCCAAAGGCCCTGTCGTGAGAGGTGTGCGGCCGCGGCGTCGGGCCAAGCCGCCCGAATTCAAAGATGCCCACGGAAAGCGCGAGGAGTGGCCGAAAGAGCTGCGGGCGAGGTCTCTTAGTCCTTGCTCTCAGCAGCCGGCGATGCCCAGTCTGACCAAAGCAGCTCCCATCTAGTTGCAAGGCTTGAAAAGCATTCTGACCAAAGAAACTGACGCATCTAGTTGCAGGGCTTGAAAAGGCTCATGGCAGCTATCACTGGATGTCCCCTTGAGTTGCAATTGACTAGTGGATCCAGTGAAACTACACCTTCATCCTGAGATACCTCCCTTGCCTTCGGCCCGCCAGTTCTGCTACACATCTTCCGCATGAAACTCTGTAGGCATTGCCGGCGTCCATGCTCCACTCGCGCAAGGCACACAGGATATCTGACTTGGTCTCGGCGTCCAAACGAATGTCCCCCGGACGCGAGACATAATTCCGTCATCAAATTAGCGCCAGGGATCACAGCAATCTCAGTGGTGCCTTGCTCGCCTGCATAAGAACATCGCACGCCTTTCGAAAACAAATACACCAGCATAGACCCCAGATAGCAAAAAACTGCACCTGCACCAGCACCCCACACTGCATGCCCCCTAGCACCCGCCGTCAATCAGGCAAAAACCGCGCTCGCGCCATCACCGGCACCTCAACCAGCTCCGCAAGCAGCACCCCGTGCATGCCCCCTGGCACCCAGCCATCAATCTCGCAAATCACTTTCCCTTCTTGATTAGAAGTTAGAACCCCTATAGCTTTCAGCTAGGGGACAAATCCAAGGCCCCCTTTTAAGGGGTCACAGGATTCCCCAAGTAAGATCACGAGAAGGTTCCTGGTCAGTGGGTTGCTCGCCACCTTTAAAGGTCATGGCTCCGAACTGCTGTTTCGGGCTCGCCATGCCCTTGCGCGCAACGGACCCGAGGCTAGCCCCGGACGTCGAACCCACGACCCCATTCATATTGGTATGAGATACGGGGAGCGAGCATGTATGTAATTTGTCTAGGTATTTGTTCTATATTTATGTATACATATTACATGGTCTATTCATGTATATATGGCAACATATTTATCAATATGCCGGCTTTCCCAGCTCGCGCATGAGCTGGGATTGCCCCTCACACGCTGAATGGGGCCTTCCGGGGACGATTGGAAGGGGATCCCCAAATGGCTGGTTTGCTTTTGGTGCCCCTTCAACCCCAAGGCATTGCAAGAAAAAGCCATGCCCATCCACAGGCATCGGTTGACCAACACCTTTGCCAGGCCAGGAAGTCGCACGCCAATCTGAAGAAGTAACAAAATCAAGCAAGACGGTTCAGTTACTTAGCTAGCTCGTTGGCTAGCTAGTTAGTTAGTTGGCTAGTTCATTTGTTCGTTGTTTCGTTCGTGCTTTCGTTTGTTCCTTCGTTTGTTCGGTGGGTAGTTAGCTGTTTTTGTTGTTGCTTGATTGCTTGCCTGCTTGCTTGCTTGTCGTCTGTCTTTCTGTCTGTCTGTTTGTCTGTCCAGAACAACACTAAGAAAGGCAACCCAATGAACTTGTGCGAACCAACATTGCGCTGAGGGCGCGGCCACCGCATATGTAGTTGTCCTGGGCAAACATGAGACTCACCTTGATGTCCAATTTGGGCAGGCCTCTGGTTGATTCAGAACAAGCACAAAGAAAGGAAAGAATCTCAAAGGGGACCCCCCCCATGATCCTAGTCAGCAGGCTTTGATCAGGGCTCGGAAGTCATCTGACTGACCTGCCTGGCAGTGTGGCTCACAAGAAGCTCCCCCGCAGATGCTGGAAAATCCACGAAAATCCCACAAGCCCGTTCAATTAAATCTCCTTTTTGGGGAACTCCAGGCTTAGTTGAGTTGCAGGAGAGAAGCGCTTGTTTATGCGGATGAGATGAGTAGCGTGCCCAGTGAGAAACCCTGACAAATTGGACATCGCTCCTTTGTCGGATATGTGGCTTCGAAGTGGATGCCTAACATGACCAAGAGGCCATGTAAAAGCCAGCTTCGTAGACACTCAAAGGATGTTGAATCCATGGCAAACAGATTTTGAGCATAACCAGCTCTCAGCCTGTCAGCTGACGCAGTGAGCTCTGTGCATGTTTGGTCTTATGATGGTTGCTGTTTGACAACGTCCACGTTGTGTGTCCAAACAAAAGAAGGGCGTCTCATCCCCCCTCCCGCTTTTAGGTGGCCCAAAAACTTCGCTTGGGCGAGTTGGCTGGGAATCGGACTTGGGGGGGCTGCTAAGCTGCCGACAAGCCACGCGTTGCGGCATATAACTGGTACTGTACTTGCTTCGGATAAGTTTCCCAACTGAAGACCAGCCAAATCTATCCCTGGTAA